GGTTTCTGGCTTTCATCACGAGTCAATGGCTGTCGCTCCTTGCTGCCCATCGTGGGCAATAAGGAGGTTCAGGCAGGGGGAAGCCAGGATTTGTGAGGCAAAAATCCTGGCAATGTTCCCCAGTGGGGTCTGGGGAGCTCACTGCACCCCGCTGTGCCACTCAAGCCCGTGTTGCCAACTTGAAAGGCAGAACTAGTGTGACCTGGGAGTGTGTCCCTGCTATGGATGAGCCTCCATCTTTGACATGATTTGTGCTTGGTTTCTCCATAATTTGGAATATTGGCGTTAATCAAGAGGCTCTTCTGGACTGACATATGCCAATGAGCTGCAATCAATCAGCTGCCGAAAGGACTGGGCTTGGTTTTTTGAAGGGAAAGGAAGGGGGAGGACAAGGTGCTTTGTTCTTTCATGTGGTTTTCAAATGGTGTTTATTTTTGTCCTCCCCTGCAAAATGAAACATAGCCGCTGCTATGTTAGTAGCAATAAGGCAGCTGATGATAGACCAGTTATCAGGATACACCCTTGTTTTGCCCATTGGGCTTCTTCAGCGACAAGGTTTCCAGGAGATTTTTAAGACATAGGACGATTTCTCCCTAAATGCAGCCTAGCTGAGGCAATCATCTCATGAGGAGGAAAACAAGACCCTATTGGTTATTTTCATGGAGTGCTACATTTCTCAGATCTCTGATGGCAGTATTTTTATTTTAAATGTTTGGGAAAGGCAGTGACTCTTACAACACTATGTTCCTTTGTTGCATGGCCTCCTTGAAAAGGTCGTTGACTTTGAAGTCTCACTTGACTATGAAATGTAAAGCATTACTTGCTTTTTTGCCATTTCAACCCCCCTTTCTATGCTGGATTGCTGCACAGCCTGTCTGTGAGAATAGCTCGAGCAGATCTTTACTGACACTCTGAGCCACAATTCAAATGGCAGCTATCTAATGAGCCAACCCATGAAGAGAAGCTGTTGTCTGTAGAAGTCATTGGCTCAGACAGCCTCTATGAGGGCATCCTTGTAGAATGACTCCTCTCTCACCTTGTCCTTTTTGCAGGAAGTGTCATCACTGCTTCTCCCCATTAGCATTCTCCTTAGTGGCCTTGATTTTCCTCATTCCTAGACTATCACTTTGTTTGTCAAGTCAAAGCTGCTGCAGAAAGAAGGGCAGTTGGTGAGTAACAGCAGCGACAGGTCTATTCTGGGTGAAAGGAAAGCCCCAAAAGCAGTTGGAGGGAGCCATGAAGGAAATACAGGTCTGTTGCTGTGAGAGCTTGAGCAGTGAGGGGAATTTCCATTCTTCCTGGCATCAGTTTCCAGGTGGTTCTGAAGATACCCGGGCTCTCAGCACCATGCATGTCTGTGATTGCTGACTAGTTAGTTTCCCATGGGGGAGGCCACTGCTATTGGTAGGGATAACTACCAAGTTCCAGTAACATGCACCAGAGTGGATCTCATTTGAACCAGTAACTTCTACAGGCAGAGGAAGATTTCTATTCATATGGTGGCCCAGTAAAAGACTGTAACAAAGGACATTTTAGGAATATGACCAATCATTCTGGAGTATTGATATTACTCCCAAAAGCTCACCATTGCATAAAAAGTTTATCAAATTTAACAGCAGGCAAAATTGCAAGTCATAATGCTGTGGGGTCTTCTTTTTCGACAGAGCAGTGCTTAGCTGAATACAGAAGATGGCCTTCTGTCCGAGCAATTATAATAAATATACTTTGGGAGAAATAACACACATGTCATGGCAGTGCACATGTTGGACAGCAGATTCCTATTCCCAGCTTAGTACAGATGCTTTGAGAAATTCTGACTTACGGTTGTATTTCCCAGAGCATCTGTTCTAACCTAGGAACAGGATTTTCTTCTACAGCATACATCAAAAGTAAAATGAACCTTTAATTTCTTTGTGCAATTCAGTATAGTATACCAAAGTGATGCTGATACAAAGTGTCATGGATTAAATTGCTGGTACAGGGCATTCAAATGTAACTGCATGGTGGGAAATTTTGCTGTCTCCATGGGCAGCTTTCTGTATGTATGCAAAATTCCCATTGAGAACAATAAATAAATAATAAACAAACCTTTATTGCCATTACATCACCGGAGACCTTCCCTGCTGAGTAGGCAGGGCTTGTCTACATGTCCCTTTCAACAGATCTACAAAGCTGAATGACGCGGGTGGCACTGTGGGTAAAAGCCTCAGCACCTAGGGCTTGCCGATCGAAAGGTCGGCGGTTCGAATCCCCACGGCGGGGTGCGCTCCTGTCGCTCGGTCCCAGCGCCTGCCAACCTAGCAGTTCGAAAGCACTCCCGGGTGCAAGTAGATAAATAGGGACCGCTTTCTAGCGGGAAGGTAAACGGCGTTTCTGTGTGCGGCTCTGGCTCGCCAGATGCAGCTTTGTCACGCTGGCCACGTGACCCGGAAGTGTCTCCGGACAGCGCCTGCCCCCGGCCTCTTGAGTGAGATGGGCGCACAACCCCCGAGTCTGGCAAGACTGGCCCGTACGGGCAGGGGTACCTTTACCTTTACCTTTTACAAAGCTGAATATGCCTAAAATCATTCTGCTTTGTAAATCCAGAGGAATTTAAAGCTTAAAAGCACTACAGAGACAATCTGCTATCCAGCATGGGCAGGGTACACTAGTCATAATTTCCTTAAGCATACCTGCCCTGTTGGCCAAATGTTTTTGCTCCATCTTCACAGTATAACAAGAACTGCAATTTTAAATCATGAACCACAAATCCCCACTTACCTTGGTTACCTACAAATTGCTTGTCTACCATTATTACTTATTCAGATGCATAACTTCGTTCTAGAGACAGAGACAGTACAGAGATGGTTTGTCTTAGAAGTGGGATCATGCTTGCACTTTTTCAATTATTTTTACATAGAATTTCATTTACGTGTGAAATCACTATTATCCTAACCCTCAGTTCAAAACTTTTAAGATACCTTGCACATCAGTATTAGTTTTATCCAACCAACAAGCATAAGATACTGACTTTTATCAAAGGCTATGATGATATTATTTTTTATTAAATATGAATATATTCTATGCAAGATATGATGTAATCCAGAAAACAAAATCTTGGAAGATAATCGGAAGCTATAAATCTTCTCAAGGTCATAAGTGAAACAAAAATAATTAGTCTTAGAAGGCTGTAGAAGCTGTGTGCCAGATGGCTTGGGGCTAAATAAGGAAAAGCTTATTCAGGTATAAAGGAAATGTTAGTAATTTGACTCAGGTGCAAGTCAGCATGCACCACAACTGCAGACATCAAGAAATAGCTTAAATATTGGAAATAAATGCACAAAGAACAGCCATTTTAAAAAGCCGGTAGTCTGCACACCATGCTCAACAGTCTAAAAATCACTTGCTGTTCAGGATCATACCCATCTAGCTGTGCATATCTGCATATGTAAGGCTTCTGTTTAGGTATCATTTGTTGAATCAGAAACTGAAGATGAAAAGTAGACATGTGCAGGAATGCCTTTTGTAAACCAAACTAGATTGGGATTGCAAATCTCTTTCTGTTGTGTGCAGGAGATTTGAGTTTTGCTTTGTGTACCATGTGGATGAGATTGCCCAGAGCAGCCATCAGTTGTCACCAAAAGAAACTGACCAATGGGCAAAGACAACTCCCCCCCCCCATCAAATCCCCCTCCATGGCAATGCACACATTGTAGCCAACATTTTCAGTGCTCCAGAAGATGCCTTTCACTATACATGACTTCACCAATTTCCCCCCCAAAAAACACTCTCCCCTTACAGACATTCTCGCCATTAGTAGAAATGCGAAGTAAGGCTCTGGATTTATTTGGTGAAGGCCTACACACACAGTTCACAGCTGTTAATATTTAAAGCAGCCTCAGCCTGTCCAGTCTTCTTTGTCTGATCACTCCTTGTTTCAATAACTAAGGTGTGTGATTATTTCTTATTATTTTTACCAAACGTGGGAGTAATGATGCTCCAGCAAATTGCCATGATGAAAACTAATTAAAAAGCAAGCAAGATTGTCTTAAGGTTTGCTTGATGTTTTAAACAATCAGGAAGATACTGCATTTTGGGGAGTGTATAGTTGCTTAGAAGAATCCCACATGTGTGAGCAAAGGATAAATTTGTAACAAGGAAATGCAAATTGTTAAGTAGTGATCCCTATCTCCTGGTGTGTGTGTTTTTGTATATGACAAAGGGTATCTATAATGCATAAATTGCTTAGCAGTTGGATTTGTCACCAAGATAAAATCCTATACTAAGAAAGATATTGTGGCATTGATTAATAACATTCTAATTAACACTGTGTCTTCTGGGAAGTTCTCAAAAGAATTTCACTGCTAGGCACTCTAGCCTTTTCACAGTAGAGACCAATTCATTCAGTCAGCTCTAACACAAGATAACTAGATCCAAGACTAGATTAAGTCATTACTAGATTTCTAATTTGTTTCTACTGTCTCCTGCATCCCTTTTTAAAGGTTGGAGTGGAGTAGAAAACAAAACTTTCCTGGCAATTTAGTGTAGATTAGAAGAAAGGGATATGCAGAACTAACTGGTTCAGATAATTGCTTATATGTACAGCCATTAATTATCTTGAGTATTACTACATAAATTTAGAGGTCTCCAGAGGCTAGTTTCTGTGCTAGTTTGCTGCCACAGAAACAAGAAAGCTTTGTGGCACCTTAAATATATTTATTATGGTATAACCTTTTATGGACTAGAGTGCACATAAAGTATTATTTCTCAATTGGGAGGTTTACCTTAATAATTTTATTAGGCTGTAAGTTGCCACAAAACTCTTTCTTGATTTGAAAGATAGGTTGGAATGAACCTTTTATTACAGCTAAGTGAGTGTGATCAAGAAGCAGATTTTCTTCAGTGTAAAGTGGTGGTCTGGGTTTAAATTGGAACGTTTACTAGGGCAGAAGGAACAACAGTGACGCTATGATGACAAAGGGGAGAATTGTTGCAATAACTTTAAGAGAAAAACTGACAGCCTCTGTTAAAAAGAAGCGAAGTGACAGCAAAAGCACCTTGCTTCCATTCCAAATCTCTCCTTTTATTTGTAAAGACTGGCATTACAATCAAAAAAGGACTCAAAATGGAGTGATGTACACATCATTGGTGTTTCATGATGCAAATAATGAAATCCCTGAATGGATATTGCTTCACCTTGGATTTTAAAAATTGACCTAAGAAAAACCTTAATTCCACTAATGATCACAAATGGCAAAATGAACAAAAAGGAAAACAACAAAAAGAAAATAAATCCAAACTACTGGCAAGTTCATAACATATACATAGTGGGTTGATGACACTGGTTTCAAATGTACAATAAAGCCCACAACACTTTATTACTATGAATATTATCGTGAATGTTTTCTCATGTTGATCAACTTGCTTCAGAAGGTTGCTTTTTGTTGTTTTAACTTGCATAATAAACATGCAATGAAGTTATTCTTTTTAAAGGTTTTTTCTGCAGTCTTTTTGTTTTCATACAAAGATTTCATAAAGTTGCAGTGTTGCATCAGAGCATTACCAAAATAAGTGTAATAGATAAAGAGGAAGATACCTGTGAACTGAGCTTAATGAGAAAAAAAAAACTACTTTTTATCCTGAGACACGCCATAGTCTTATTTAAAAGGTGTGCACAGCCAAATCCCTCCCAAGCCCCTCCAGAAGACAAAATAAATATTAACTGGGAGGAAAGAGAGGACAAATAAAGAAAATAAGATGTCATCATGCACTCATCTTCTGCATAGCTCAACCTACATATAGTAAGGCACTATTTCCCCACAACTTAGCGTCCACAACAATCCTTTACAGCACTCCGTGAACTACAGAGGTCCTTCCAGGATGATGAAATAAATAGATTGAATGAATGTGGCTATCACATTACCCCACGTGTGTTCTCTTAGTTAAGGGAATCATCAGGCAGTCTCAGAGAAAAAAAGCTGTCGAGTCTCTTGTTGTGTGCGTGTGTTCATGTTATGTATGGGGATTTGTTGTGTGGGATATTTTTTCTTCTCTTCCCAGAGTTAAGTTCTCATTGTTCTCAAAGCAAGCATAGAAGAAAAAAGGACAGCTGAGTCATCAAAAAAAGCTTTGGTGCTCCAAACAGCACACTGCTTAATAGATCTGGGAAATCTGGTAACTGTTCCCAAAGGAGTCGGGAGAGGTGTGGATGGTTTCTCAAGAGATAGTCCTCAACTAGAATTAGTTAAGCTGGTCTTCATACTGCTTTCGAAAGCAGTCACCGGCAGGGAAAAATTCCCAGCATCGCTCTTGATACATTTTCCATACGTAGGATTCCTGTAAGACACAGAAGAGAACTATAGTTGAACTTACTTTTAAAATACATTTGAAAGACTTCTGCCACTTACTCTAAAACTTTCACTATTGCAAGTCTGAAGGATTTTGAGAGGATGATCAAAACCTAGCTTTTTATGCTGAAATACGTACTGTACACACTGATTCAACTTTATAGAGAAGGAATCATTAGCCTTATCTGAAAGGTATTTCTCCATGATCTTACAACAGTCTGGTGGTTTTAGTGTCCCCCCCCCCATACCCAAAGACAGGAATGTAGTTACTTCAGAGAAAAGCTTAACTCCGTCGCCTTGAAGCAATCTCAAGTACGTTCCTGCTTTCACATGAGGCAGAAGCATTATAAATACTTTAAGCATTTCTACTTATTTCTTTGTTATCCAAGTCTGTGTTTCAGTTTCTGTTGTTGTATAGTGTTGCCTAGCCAGGACCCTATTTCTTTATTATCCTCGCCTTTGTAGGTCTTGGGAGCTACTCTGGAGATAAATAGACTAGATCCAGTCCACAGCATCAGAAAATTACCGTAAGCCTCTTGCAAGTATACAAAATACTGTATCTCTCCCTCTAGAATAGCAAAAGCAGCAATTTTTGTTATGGGGTAATATGCTTCTGTAGAACTTTACAAAATCTATCTTGGTTTCTTCCACAGGGGAAATGAATATTATGTACGGATGAGTATTAACATTTCTTAATTTTCTAATGCTCGTATTCTTTCAAAGGGCCAGAACTCAAGAACCATCCAGTCATTTGATTGATGTTCAGAGGAGCATGGATACAGGATATGCATCCAGATGAACATACGTATATGGAATGCTTAAATCTCCCTTGCTGGACTGGAACAATTCATCAGCAAAAAGGAATACAGGTGGCAAATCCCACAGTTTCTACATGACATACCATAACTTTGGTGAGTGGAAAGAAATGTTTGTGAATTCATTAAAAAAGTTAAAATGTGACCTTCCAAACTAACACAAGTAGTAGAGGAGACAAAGAAAATATCGAAATTGATGTAATCTCTCGAAATGCTTCTAAATGAAACTTCATATAGCTATCAAAAGTAACAAAAAGTCATTTTCTCATCTAATGGACTTCTAGGTACTGGTAACAATTTGTATCACAATAGATTACACTTAAAAGTTTCTGACAAAAAAATGAATCTTAGGTAGTTATTGTTACACAACATGTTGGTGACTCACCTGTCCGGTATGTTCAGTTTCATCTTTATTTATGAGATACATCAGGAAAAATCTAAGATAAAGAAATAAGTTGTTGTTTATTATCATTCTCTCTCATATATAACACCTGTATATAAGAAATTAACTAAAAATGAAAGAACGTTATCAGCCTGTCATTAGAAAGGAAAGGCCTCCCACATGTAGAACGAGAAATTAAGTGCTATGATTTATAGCCCCAGTTCAAAAACCAGTCTACTAAACCATATTTTATTGAACTAGGAGCAATCCATATGCTGGTTGGCTCCCTCCTCACCTCACTTCACTTATTCCCTGCCTGAACATATTCCTGGTTTCTTAACATCCAAACTGAGAAATTGGGGGTTAGGGTCCCTCCATACTAGGATATGAAACTAAATTCTGGTTTCAGTTGAATTCAATTTCTGGAAGCCAAGTTTGGATTCAAATGAAAGGCGACAAGACTCATTGTAACTTGTTAATATATATTGCATCTGTTATTTTAATAATTTAACTACCAGTAAGCCTTAAAGTCCCATTTATTTCATAGAATCATAGGGTTCATCTTGTCCAACCCCCTGAAATGCAGGGATATTTTGCCCAATGTGGGGCTCGAAGCTACAACCCTTAGATTAATAGGATCAATAGGATTTATTTTTTAGTCAATTTTGTGCTGTTTCCAAAGATTATGGTTCAGTTTCAAATTTCATATCATAATTCCAGATTTAAACATATTATCCAATACTAGATGGGGGCTCCCCTGACCAATTTTTTTTGTTTTTTGTCACAAAGCAAAATACTTCCTTTTCCAACCACCATATAAATGGTTGGAATGGTTCCAACCACCATATAAATTAGAGTTTTACTTCAAAATATTGACTTGTTGCATCTCCTATAATGTTTCAGATTTGATGACATTAAAGTACTTACAGATAATTAGCCAAGTTGTGCTCCTGTAGAGTATGTGTTTCAAAACCATGGGGCACTGTGTCAAAGTAGTCATTACCTATCCCACAAATAAAGCATTTGGTCTAAAAAGAATGAAAAAAAATACATTGTCCAAATATTCTTTAACAGTACAAGGAAAACAAGGAAACTCTGTATGCCAATTTCAAACTTCTTAGCAAAATCCCTTGCTTTAAGGCCTTAAATAGAAATGTACCCTCTTCTTTTCCAACCTATGCTTTCTGAATGATAAAATATTTCCCTCTGTTAAGCAGAAGAAAATAAAGGGTCAATGCTGAAATGCAAATTTTCCTATTCCTTTTCCTGTACTATTTCTGAAAAAGCCTTATGTATCAGTAGTAGAACTAGGGGAAGATGAAGCAGCCCATTTCTGTTTGTTTGTTTTTTCAGATTTAGCTGCATTTAAATTGTATGCATCCCTTCCAAAACACACATTTCCCCCAAAATAAGCTTTTCTGTACACTTTCCAATGCATTTGCCTTCTAAGTTTGTTCAAAATGTGTATTTTTCCAAACTGAAACTGCATTGCAATATTCACAAAATACATAATCCAATTGTATTTATCCATGTATAAATACAAGATTGGCAAATCAGGTTGGTTCTCTTTAAAATGTGAACCATACTAATTTATTCTCCATCCCTAGGTGGAGAACATGCATTTCACACAGAAGATTAGTCCCTAACATTTGTTGCTTAAAAGGATCTCAAGAAACAGGGCTGGGAAATACCACTGCCTAAATCTTTGGTGAACAACCACCGCTTGGCATAGATTACAGCAGTGACTGTTGGTGGTATAAGCCCTCAGAATGCAGTACTGCTCCATAATGCCAGCCCAATAGTCCATTATATATTCTATGTAGAAGAAGTACGCCAGGGAAATCCTAAACTGGAATCCTCTCACTGGCAATTTATTTTTCTATTACACGTGTATTTATGTTTCACAGAAATACCATATACACCACGACAGAATTGCTGATATATATTACCTCCATGTCTTCTTTAACTTGTTCTTGCTGATCTCTTAATTCTCCAAATGCATCAATAATTAAACCTGGTAATAAATAAGGTGATACTTACAATAAGGTGATGCTTTTGATTTTGTTAACTCTGCCATAATCTGATGCACACGTTTAAACCTTACTCAAAACTAAAGTTATATGCACTGAATGCTCCATTCACCACCAGAGTTTGTAGTAAATATGACTGTAGAGGCTGAATCTGTGTTTAACTCAGAGAAACATTTCTGTCAATCTGTGGGGAGGTACGGCAAGTCCCTCCGCCGACACAGGGATGCCCACAAAGTCCTCCGCTTCCATGGAGAGGCACTGCAGGGCCCTCCTCCCCTGCGGAGAGGCCCAGTGAGACCCTCTGCCACCACGTATATATATTGTGATATATTGAGATATTGTGATGTTTAGTTGGTGATATAACATTATATTGAAAACCAGATATCATCCAGCCCTAGTGTGTACATGAAGTGTTTGAATTTGCCATATAAACTGGAGTTGTCTGAAGCGCAGTTCATAAAACAAGAGGAGAAAACTACCATAGTTTTCAGTGTATAAGATCATGTTTTCTGATTAAAAATTTTAGTCAAAAATTGTGGGTCTCCTTATACACGGATAGTGAATGAATAGAGGTTCAGGCTTTGGTGCAGGTAGCCCAGGCTTGGGTTCGAGCTCTGGCTTCCAAAAAATAGGGGTCATCTTATACATGTGTCTTATACAGGCACAGGCAAACTCAGCCCTCCAGATGTTCTGGGACTACATCATCCCTAGCTAACAGAACTAGTGGTGAAGGATGGTGGGAGTTGTAGTCTCAAAACATCTGGAGGGTCAAGTTTGCCTATGCCTGGTCTTATACATGGAAAAATATGGTAATTGTGGATTGACTTTAATCTCTTGTTCCTTCTTCACAAGAGTGTGTATATGGAATGCAAGTCTTAATTGCCAAAAGATGCTTTATGTGACAGCATCCAGAGGTTACATCATTTCATTTTCCTGTTCTCATTATTAATGCTTATTATTAACACAGTCACATTAACAGAGCTCGAGAAAGGTAATGGACCGTGGCTTAGAGAACAGGGTAAAGAAATAAATCACATCAGAGCCAAGAATATAAATACAAGAGAAGGGGAGATTTGTTGCAGAAAAAGGAAAGTGTGAAGAGGTACTGGGTCTGAAGGCTTTTGCAGATGAGAAGTATTCATATGCATACACTCAGATTGTGGGCATGAGCCAATCATGTGCAAAGCTCTGCAGGACCTTTTGTGGTTGGAGTTCTTGTAGAAGCGGAACTAGAGTGTGTGCTTTTATTAGATTTCAGTAGATATACAAGACCTGACAAAACCATTTTATCCTATTTGCTTGCCTCTAATTTTCAGCTATATAGCTCACTATATACACTAAACTCACGTTAAATAGATTTTGAACATAATCAAATACACAGGAAGTTTATGTTTTTTATATATTGGGTGGCATGATAATTTTGTCAGTTAAAAATACAATATAAACTGAAAAAATATGCATATGTACCTTGGATGATAGCGAGGAGAATAACTATTACAAAAAAGAAAAACGTAATATCAAAGATGATTCGATAGATTTCATATTCATCGCCTGCTGGATCTTCAATTTCATCACCAATTCCACCACCAGCACGCACTCCCACATACATGTGAAACATATAGCACTACGAACACATGGGAAAAGACAGTAATATTAAAAATGCACATTCTACATCTGCTATGGCTATTTATTAATCTGCATAAGGCTTAAACTGCGCCTTGATCTTTCAGTCAGAATTTCAGATAAATGAGTGGCTGCAAAGAGAGTGGGAATGCAGGTCTGTTTACCTGAGGGAAAGGGGTGAGAGAGCCTCACACTCTTCAGAGAAGCTCTCAAAGATCCTGGCCTGGTTTGGACATAACAAACCTACACCAGCCTCAAGCCTGAATGCTCCCTAGTCCTTATCACCGGGCTAAACCTTTCCATGCTTTGTTGGGGGGACCATTAAGCCCCTGTACAATTTTTTTTTTGGGGGGGGGAGTCTTCAACCTTCTCAGTGGGGAAGATGAAATCTGTTGAGGAGAGTTACCTTTATAACAGGAGTCAGCAGAGGGTTCCAGTTGCCTTTCTTTAACAAAACACTGCATGAAGCAGTGGTGAAGTTACCGTCAACAGGCTGGCACTGTGGCAGTGCCCTCTTACAGAATTTCATTCTCACGAGGGTGCTGTTGGGCTGTTGACTGCAGTTTTACTACTGCTTAAATCAGCAGCAAAACTTATTTTTTAGGCCACACAGAAGTAGTTACCAATGTGAAACTGCACAGAGGCCACAAAGAATGATGAATAAAGTGGGCAATTACTTTGTTCTTAAAAACTGTAGAAAACAAGGCATACTAATTATTTTTCCTATATTCATACAAAATTTGCTTGCTAAAATATCCCTCCTGAACAGCTGATCACTGGAAACTAGGAACATTCACACGGGAAGGAGCCAGCTTCCCCCATGGATTGGGATATCTGTGTACAGAATACGGCTTTCTTTTAAATTTGTTGTTTTTATTTATTGGCAGTTTCACTTTGTTGTTTGGCATAAATACAGAAACTAGCAAGGCCCACCTGCTGGAGACAGGATGCTGCATATTGACACTAGGCCTTGGATTCGTAACTATTGATACTGTTTTACAATGCTTTTGTAAACAAAGGGTTAAAGATATGTGGCTTGAAATGAGAAACCTTACCAATATTTTTAACAGTCCAATTCCCTCCCTCCCCCACACTGACTTCAGTTCAGGCTTCAGAGACAGACAAATTCATTTTACTAGACAAAGACTCCGGTGTTATCATAAAAGTAGTTTTTGTTGTACTGTATAAACAGTTGGTATGTTACTAGTTCTGTCTGTAACTTTGAAGCCTGACCAAAAGTCAACTCATGAGAAATTATCATCCCAGCTTTCCTGATTGTCACTATTATCCAATAAGAGGAAGCTTTTGAGATGTCTTTATTCTGACTACAGAGTATTTCTAGTATACTGTAGAGAAATCAAATTACTACATCCTTTTACCATTGTCAATTTATAGTAACAGAACCTTCCCTTTTCTGAAAGCATTATGTTTATAATAACCATACTGAGTTATATGAATGGCACTGAGAACTTGTATTGGCAACACAAGGGGAGATGAATAAAAGTTGAAGTAATATTTACCGTTAGCATATCATCACACTTCATGTCTGGCATATCTCCATCTTCACTCTTATTGTAGAATTTGCGGAAAAAATTAAATGCGACTACTGTGTACAGGTAAACTACCACTGCCAGTAATCCTACTGTGAGCACAAGCTATAAACAAATAAACAAATAAGTCACATGATATAAGAGTACAGCAATATGATTTGATGGAACAATTATATTTCTGTGCTGAATGCCCTCATGCAGAAGCTTTTTTTCTAATAAAGATAAAAGAGAGACGATTTAGCATATTGACTTGAAGTTTTGGGTTATAGCCAACTGTGCCCTTCAGTTTGAGGATCTAGTGATCCATACCTACGCTAATGGCAGAAGAGAAGAGAAGAGGCAACTTTTACCGTATTTTTCATCCTGTAGGGTGCACCAAGTTTTCAGGGGGGGAAATCAAGGGGGGAAATATGATCCCCCCCCCCCCGCAGCTCTGGGAGCAGTGGACAGGCTGCACGCAGCCTGTGCGCTACTCCAAGACCTTCTTCCTGCTTTTGCGGGAGGTGGCGGAATTCCCCCACCTCCCGCAAAAGCCCACAGGAGCCGCGCACGACTTCTGCAGGCTTTTCGACCAGGAGGGAGAAGGGACCGAAACGGCCAGTCAGTCCCTTGTCCCTCCTCGGGGAAAAGCCCCCAAGAGCGGCACGCTCTTTAAAGGCTGCGTGGCTCCTGCGGGCTTTTCTACGAGGTGGGGGAATTTCCCCACCTCCTAGAAAAGCCAGCAGAAGCCGCGCAGCCCCTTTAAAGAGTGCATGGCTTTTGCCTGCTTTTGCGGGAGGTGGGGGGATTTCCCCATCTCCCGCAAAAGCCCACAGGAGGGAGAAGGGACTGACCCGGCCAGTCAGTCCCTTCTCCCTCCTTGGGGAAAAGCCCCCAAGAGGGGGCTCTTTAAAGGCTGCGCAGCTCCTGTGGGCTTTTCAACCCAGCTTGTGGGGCTGGCGGTGGGGGGAAGCGCTGCTTTCCCCCACCGCCAGCCTCAAAGCGGGGAGCAGCGCTAAGGCGTTGCATGCCTTCCCGCTGCCCCCAAGCTTGTGGGGCTGGCGGTGGGGGGAAGCACTGCTGTCCCCCACCGCCAGCCTCAAAGAGCAGACTCTCCTGGCTTCAGCGAAAGCAACGCGAAGCCTCCGGAGCGCAGGCTTTGGAGGCTTTGCGTTGCTATCGCTGAAGCCAAGGAGCCTGCATTCGCTCCATAGGACGCACACACATTTCCCCTTCATTTTTGGAGGGGAAAAAGTGCGTCCTATAGAGCGAAAAATACGGTACTTTTTCCTCCTCACCCATTGCAACCGCAGGAAAAGAGCCTTTAGTAACACGGATAGCATGGTGCTGGTTAAGACATTAGTACCGTTGCATGTTTTTTACCACGAATTAAGCAAACTCAGAGTTGCAAGTATGACTGTGACTTATCCTTTGAAGTTTTAGGACAAACATTATGAAACTTAACCCTTTTGTTTCTATCTGTTCTGTTTGTATAATTGTTCCTCCTTACCAACTTGGTTTTAAAGGATAGCGTAGTTAATGATAGAAAACATTACCTGTTTGCCATTGTGAGTTACGGATGACAGAATAGTTCGCAACGTTTTGAATCCCATTGCTATGTCAAGAAGATGAGCAGCAAAAAAAAAGTTGTTGTAATGACCAAGGACTGACATGGTCATATACCAGGCGAGGTACAGAAAAGACTTCAGGGAGAAAGCATAAAACAAAATTAGAAAAAGAGCAGACAACGTGATAATTGCGATTAACTGGACTCAACTGCAAAACCAAATAACTCAGTAATTTATACAACTAGGTGCCAGATTCCTGGTGCCCTAGCTCTGAGCATAACAGCTGCCAAATAAACACAAAACAGGTAGATTTTAAACATTTAAAAAGAATATGAGTTAAATAAAACTAATTTAAAATGAACAATTTTTTGTGCTGTTTTTAAATAACCTGGCTAAAACCTTCAGTTTTTCAACTGAATCAATAATCCTCTACCAAAAGCCTGCTTTTGTAAGTAAAGGAATGAATTGAGGAGGGAGGATATCCGATTTCAAGGTCTAAATAACAAAATCAGCCAATATCATTTATCATTAACATAGGCTTCCTACTGAACCCAGGGTCTAGCAAGTCATTACAATAACTGGGATACAGGAGGAACCACTATATCTCATCAGGTGATTTTTTTGCCCTCTAGGTGAGCTTTGCAATGTGTTCAGTTCTAGCTCTGAAAAATGATGAATAGTTACATCTACAAGGAAACAGCATGGAAAATGCTTGTTTATTGCAGCATGAGTAGTCATAGGCAACAGCCTAGTGTTGCATCAAATGCAAAGCTAAACAATCCCTTACATGTCATAAATAGACTTTCACCGATACAATAAAACTTGCACTACATTACAACTGAATATCAAATGGAATTCACCATATATATGAGTCTTAATATAGCAAAGCACACATTTTCAACCTCACTTAAAATAGCCAAATCTCACACTGTAAACCAGTTTCTTGCTTTAGTACTTAATTTATATTTGATGGCATAAACTTACATTATCAGTGAAAACAACTCCTAATTTCCACATCTGATACTTTACATCAATAGAATTCAGTCTGGAAAAAATATATGGAAGACACAGTAAGAAAAAACACTATATTAATATGTAACAATTACCTCATTCAGCCTGGGTATCAAGCCATCACTGCCCTGTTTTCAACATAGCTGTCTTAGAACCAATTCATATGAGTATCATTTTAATTCCTGCTATTGCTATAGCTATAAGTGGGAGTGGGGCAGATTCTGGTGATACTATTTTTTATTTTTGTTCAGAAACCCCCACTGGAACAACACTGCATTTATACTTCTTCCTCCCAAGAAGCTGACATCTCTTAACTTATTTGTGTTACTGTCATTTGTACCAATCCACATTAAGGCTGTCATACTTAGGTTCCATTGAAATTAATGGAAAAGTCACATCTTGCTTAAGTCTTACTGATTACAATGGAACTTGGGTATAACTAACTTGGAGTCTCCTATTCCCTTACTGTCAAGGTCGGGGTGTTGCCAAGATAGGAAATTCTGCTAGCTGTTGTTTAAAAGCTACCAAGCAAGTTGCCTTTTTCTTCACAGCGCAAATACAACAGGCAACTTATTTTTTTTCATCGGCCCCCAACACATGTACTGCTTCAGAATATCAAGTCACTATTAACTAAAAACAGTCACTCTTTAAAAGCTTAAGAGCTGTAGGCTCTACATATGAAAAAATGCTTAATTTTTTTAAAAAACCAAATTTTTGAAAACTTACACAGCGGATAAAGAACTATCTTTTTTGGGTTTCTTTTTTTCTCTAGCATCACTGAAATCCAGAGCAGCTTTGTCCATTCCCAGCAATTCACTGATTCTGTCCTTTCCATAGAACTCTCCATATTTATCCATAACCTAGAAGAATGGAGGTGATTGTTATTTTTTTCTCTACTTTGGAAACCTAATAAAACAGGTTATATTTCAGCTGAATCCAAATTATCTCAACAGCCCATTCACAATATATGTGTATAATACTGATTGATCAATTATTTGGCAAAGTGAACATGTAGATGTCAGTCAAGAACTGAGATCTGCTCTCTGTATAACAGCAGCAACAGCCATAAGCTTAAGGCTGATTACATACACACATAAAGAAAAATGATTCTAACTATATAAATAACTGGGACGCGGGTGGCGCTGTGGGTAAAAGCCTCAGCGCCTAGGGCTTGCCGATCGAAAGGTCGGCGGTTCAAATCCCCGTGGCGGGGTGCGCTCCCGTTGCTCGGTCCCAGCGCCTGCCAACCTAGCAGTTCAAAAGCACCCCCGGGTGCAAGTAGATAAATAGGGACCGCTTACTAGCGGGAAGGTAAACGGCGTTTCCGTGTGTGGCTCTGGCTCACCAGAGCAGCGATGTCACGCTGGCCACGTGACCCGGAAGTGTCTTCGGACAGCGCTGGCCCCCGGCCTCTTGAGTGAGATGGGCGCACAACCCTAGAGTCTGTCAAGACTGGCCCGTACGGGCAGGGGTACCTTTACCTTTACCTTATATAAATAACTAAATTGGCTAAATTTATGTGTAAATATAGTCTATACATATATATTACACAAATCTTATATCATTTTTTTCCATATAAAGTTGCATCAATTTCCATTATGTTAGTATCTTCCTAAAGAAACAATTAGAATGAATTCTGCACATACAGACGTGAGCCACTGCCATCTGTCTGCAGAATTTCTGGCTGAAGATTTGTTCTCCCTAGAGTATGAAAAGCTGCTGGTAGGAAGGGCGGTTTTCATCTTCTAGCCAGGATAAGTGCTATGGATTGGGCCATGTGAACATTTTTAACACATAAGCTAGCCTGTCCTCCTCTGACAACGCTGATTAATTGTTAGATGGAAAGAAGAGTAGTGGTCCCCAGTCAGTGTGTAAAGTGTGCTGTCTTATCTCCGTAACAGTGCCTCCCCCGAAGGCACTGATCATCTCTGCAGTTTCATGAGCAATGCAGCCAGCTGCACAGCCTTCTGTAGGCAGTCATGGTTACAGATAGATAAAACGTTCTTGATCCAGTCCATGTCCCTTGCACTAAGAGCCGACTAGCATGTCTGTTCCACCCCAAATGCATGCAATTTAAAAACAACCCAAAAACCCACACAGTTTCAAAACACACTGATTTAGAAATACTACCCAAGTGCTCTGAAGGGTCCCTGCTTCATTCTTTCTTGATTTAAAACTTTCTGCATGTTTGCAACAGCTTGAAAGTGCATCACTTGCTGTGCATGCATAAAACCTTTGAGTGAAACACCCCTAGAAGTGGCAGTATGATATGGTGTGCCACTGTATAGAAAAAAGGATGGCTGTCCCTATGAAACCATGGAGCAGCCATCTCTTTTCTGTACAATACCCTTGGACCATCTTAGTGGGGGGTTTTTAAGTACACTGTGCATAGAAGGTTTGGAGACATGCTGTCTAATTTGCATGTTCCAAGTATAATCTGTCCAAACTGTGGAGCAAATTGAAATCCTTCCCCATCTCTAGTCATAGTTCTCTGAAATGGGGACCAATGCAGTCACCTCTGCAGAAAGGCTTTATATAACTGCATTAAATTAATAATAATGGATACAAGTTATAATGATACAAAAAGACATGTATAAATAATTTAGACAAATTCAAAATTACATAATTCAACTATAATATTATGAACATTACCTTTCGTTTTACAAACTTGTCCCAATAGTTGTTAGGAAATGATCTAAAGATATACAAAAGTAAGATAGCACTCATATGAGTAAACATTTTTCTGAATAGCAAATTCACAGGTAACACTATTGTAGGAATTGCCTACAGAAAAAGCTTAATAAAGCTACCTAATACAAATGTATTTATAATATGGTATAGGTTTAATAAATAAATAAATTCATTTAATAATTCAATTTATTATAGGTTTAATTTACACAGGTAGTCCTAATTACTAAAAAAAATCCGCTAGGAATGTCTTCCTTCCCTAGTGCAAACTTCCCATTCAGAAGTGTTAATGTGTCCACAGAACTCCCACAACCCAACATTGTTTCATGTGAAGCTTTGTTTAGAGTGTGCTGGATTGCTGGTCTCTATTATGACACAAAATTAACTTTTGCCTACGAGATGCAAAAATGACATTTCAGGTTTTTCTGCAGATTGTGTTAAGCTGTGTGTGTAAAGGTGCTGACCTTTAAAGCCCTAAACAGCCTCAGCCATGTATACCTGAAGGAGCATCTCCACCCCCATCATTCAGCCCGGACACTGAGGTCCAGCTCTGAGGGCCTTTTGGCGGTTCCCTCACTGTGAGAGGGACACGGGTGGCGCTGTGGGACACGGGTGGCGCTGTGGGTAAAAGCCTCAGCGCCTAGGGCTTGACGATCGAAAGGTCGGCGGTTTGAATCCCCGCGGCGGGGTGCGCTCCCGCTGCTCGGTCCCAGCGCCTGCCAACCTAGCAGTTCGAAAGCACCCCCGGGTGCAAGTAGATAAATAGGGACCGCTTACTAGTGGGAAGGTAAACGGCATTTCCGTGTGCAGCTCTGGCTTGCCAGAGCAGCGATGTCACGCTGGCCACGTGACCCGGAAGTGTCTCCGGACAGCGCTGGCCCCCGGCCTCTTGAGTGAGATGGGCGCACAACCCTAGAGTCTGTCAAGACTGGCCCGTACGGGCAGGGGTACCTTTACCTTTTACCTCACTGTGAGAAGTGAGCTTACAGGGAACCAGGCAGAGGGCCTTCTGGGTAGTGGCGCCCACCCTGTGGAATGCCCTCCCAGTGTCAAAGAAATAAACATCTTACTTTTAAAAGACATCTGAAGGCAGCCCTGTTTAGGGAAGTTTTTAATGTTTAATGCTGTATTGTGTTTTTAATACATGGGGAAACCCAGCCAGATGGGTGGGCTATGTGTAAATAAATAAATAAATAAATAAATAAATAAATGCCTTTCGTGAGTGAAAGAAATACCTATTTTGGGAAATCATCCTTTATTTCTTCTTTTTAACCATTTAATGTAACTTAACCATTTGGAGATACATGATGCGTCAGTTCACATGTAATGCTAAACTGACCTGTTGGGGATTATGCATAATGATCAGAAAATGTACAGTCACTATATGAACATTTCCCGAAGCCTGTTGGAGATTATGTATATTGACTAGGAAATGTGCACAGTTCCTTCTTCATGGCTGGATTATGTGCATACTGTATTCTTCATGAGACCTGATGAATGTGCACAGTTAACCCATTCTCCTTAAAATATATACTATGAATAAAAGTGCCCTGTTCTCTCTTTATATTTAAAAGGATGAAACATGAATAAATAATTGGATGTGTCACCTTCCATGTGTTAGATGGATTTAAAAATGCATATCATTTTAATTTAAGTAAAAGAGAACCAACTTGACTGTATGAATCAACATTTATGTTTCAAGCATATCAGTGCCATTGGAAACAAAACTACTGTTTGGGGAATGGAAGATTATTATTTTTTTACTGATATCCTCACAACAAAGCAAGCTAAAATGTACATTTAATAGCTATATAAAATAGTTATAGCTGCCTCAAATCTTGGAGTTTTCTGTGCTGCAGATGAATCCAATCACAATTCGCAATTGAGATACACTTACACAAGCTTCACGGAAAATGGGGGGGGGGAGGGCGGAGAGAGAGAAAAATATTTACTGTGTGTTGATGACAAGCCTATCCCACTGCCCTTTAATATCATCTTCTGAAGGCTGTTCTGTAATATACAGCCCATCAAATTCTAATTTCCGTGCGACTTCTTTTTCTCGTTTAAATATAACCAGTGGAACCTGCAACCAAACATAAAGACACCAACATTTGATTGAAATGTTCTACAGCACTTGGAGCAACAATATCTTAAGAACAGCTGGTTGTTGGGGAAAATGCAGACTGAATGAACTGTACAATTTCTTAAAGGAAGTATGTATTGTATAAAGCGAACTGGATCAATTACAGCCCTTCCCCTATTTGCGCTCACAATCCAGTGCTCAACAGAAGAAGAAGGAGATGTTCAGTGATGCTTCCTTCTCCCTGCATTCACCCAGACCACTGCTTCCTCTGGAGCAAATTTTCAAAGGATACAAGAGGCTTGCAGGAGGAAGAAATAGCAAAAATCTCTTATCTCCCCACCTATGAACAGGAGCACTCTTTTTATTTGTAGCACGTTTTACAATATCCTTATTATCATTACTTCAAAGCAAGAGCTTCATTGGCTCCCAGTTCACTTCCTATACAGTGCCCTGGATATTTTAATTGAAGGAACTGTGTGTGTGTTTGAAAAAGCATCCTGCACACAAGCCAAAAAAAAAATTAAAAAAAAATAAAGATACAAGACATTATTTGTAACTACTTCAATGGAAATGTATGAATTCCTTGTCCTCTTACTTTCAGACAGTAATATCCAATGATGCAGAAAAAGGAAATGACTGTGTGCAGAATGGCTAAAATGCGGAGTGTGGGTTCCATGTAGCCGCTACTTTCTTCAAGAACATAGTGCACTGTGATGATTCTATGGGAAGGACTTTCTAAGCTGCTTAACTTGGAGTTTTCAGCAATATTAACCACAGGAACCTCCTTTTCTTCAGCCACTGCAGATGTGGAGACCTGTTGAAATAAATTAAAGTGATTAGAAAAAAATAAAAATGCTCTGTGAATTTCTGTTCTCAGAGGCTCCTGGAGGGCATTCCTGACACGTGAGATGGCACCTCCTCCTGAAGCCTTCAGGCACCAAACACTTGGTTGCTCCTCTAGGGAGAGGAGTGAGTTACATCCTAGACCCAAATGGAAGATCCAGTAACCCACCTGCTCATTCAGAAAGACATTTAAAATTTACGCCTGTTGGTGTAGTGAAAAAAAGAATTAACAATAAACATGGCAGTGTTAATAGTCAAACAATCAATATAAAACAGGCCAGAAAAGTAGGAGGAGGAGGACAAATTCCTAAAGTTCTTACTTTCCTGCTCTACCTGTGTGGAGCATAAACTGGATTAAACTAATAACCCCTAGTTCCAGGAAGGAAGAGATGGACTGAATGCCCTCCTGGAGAGGCTGAAAACAGAAAAGACCTTTGGTCATACCATGAAGGGCACTTCGAGGTGCATGTAAAGATCAGCTCAGGTGGGACTAGATCTCCCTCTTGTGGCTGAAGGCAGGAATCACTATTCATTTACCAGAAGCCTGTGGGTCTCACTCTAGGGCCATTGTTTTTATGTTAAGCCATGTAGAGAGGAGAGAGTATACACAGCAGCAGCAACATTAGAGTTGCCATGCACCCGGTTCTGCCAGATATGTCCTCTTTTCAGCATAAAAAATCCTATCTGGGGGGATTTTTAAAAGTAGGCAAAATGCCTGGAGTTGTTTTTTTGTTTACATGTGGCAATATTTAGTCTTGCGCCTAACGAGCATCAGAGCAGCAACTCCGAGCACCTGGGAATGGAGGACTGGGGGCGGGGAGAGAGATACGGAGGAGGGGAAGGCGGAGACCAGTGGGCATTTGCCTTTCCTGGAGCAGAAGCTGCAGAGGGAAGAATATGCAGGCAGGAGCAATCAGTTTCAGAAAGCAAGAGCATCGTGGAAGAGTGGGGAGCTTTAAGTCAAGGCTAGAGGCAGAATGGAGCACTCAAGCCGCAGGATGTTGGAGCCTGAGCAATCAGCCCCAGAGGCAGCGGCTATTGTTATTGTTGCCATTTCCCCTATGACTTGTCTCGCCGCTGGACAACGTGTGTGGAAGCTGGGAGGGGTTGGCTGTAGGTGGAAACTACTCTGCGGCTGGAGGGTATTTAGCCAGTCACCCTCCACCTCATCCCTGCACCTCTCCCGATCTGTGTGATTCTTTCTCTCCCCCCCCCCCCCCGCCAAAGATTACATGCTCTTATGGGGATGACCCATAGCTTAGTGGTAAAGTACACGCTTTGGATGCGGAAAGACCCAGGTCCAATCTAGACATCTCCTGGTAAAAGCAAACCCTCTCTGAAACCTGGAAGAATCACTGAAGACAATACTGAACTAGATTTGTGTTTGTGTGTGTCATACAGTGATAAGCTATGTAACCCTTTTTGCTCCTAAAATGTCAGTTTTCAGCTCAGATTGTTTTGATATGCTGGGATTGCCCAGGAAGGCTGAAGAACAAGAAAGTGTATATGTTTACTTTTTGTGCATATGTATACTTTTTGTATACATTTTAACTTTTTGTGTACAGTATATGTGTACTTTCTGCATACATTTTCATTTTTTATGGTACTTCATTTACACTTCAGTGGATGAAAACATGAAGGAGTTACCTTATAGAAGAGCAGAATGAAATTAATGGCAAATGCAACAAACAAAGCCAACATCCTCATATTGTAGAAATTCCGAGCAAAATAGTTCTGAAAGACAAAATAATAAATGTTAAATGCACTAAATACTTACAGTTGAATAATTCAGCTCCGTTAACCTACAGAATGTGATTTTGATTACCACATTGACTCGAACCTAATGCTCACCTTTTTTGGCCAAATTACATTGTGAAATTTAAGGTGTGCATTAGATTCGATGGCACATTTACATTCACCAGCAAATACTTTTTTTGGTGTTCATTAAGGAATTCACATAATAATAATAATAATAATAATAATAATAATAATAATAATAATAATAATTTTTATTTATATCCCGCCCTCCCCAGCCGAAGCCGGGCTCAGGGCGGCTAACAACAATAAAACAGTACAAAAGTAGAACATAAACAACATTCTAAAATAATCCAAGTGAGTCAAGGTTTTGGATTTTTTAGCCATGATCAGATAAAGCAGGGGTGGCTAATCTTTTTTGGCCTAAGGGCTGCTGATCCACCCTCAGAGGACCACATGCTAGTAATGGGTGTGGCCAGAACAAAAGTGGTCACTGCCAAAGTGGGCCCAGACACACAGGTAGCACATATACCACCCCCTTCTCTGGGTTAGTAAACCAATCCACCGGGGCTGCATTTTGTGATTGGTATAATTCACATGCTGTCTGAGTAGAGTGTGAGAACAGGAAAACCATCTTATCTCTTCCACTGTACGTGTACTTTTGGAATGTACTTTCACTTCTGTTGTTCTCTCGGAGCTGGAGATAACAGACGTGATTACATAAAGGTAAAGGAACCCCTGACCATTAGGTCCAGTCGTGACCAACTCTGGGTTTGCGGCGCTCATCTCATGACTAAGCCGCTTCTGGCAAACCAGAGCAGCGCACGGAACGCCGTTTACCTTCCCGCTGGAGCGGTACCTATTTATCTACTTGCACTTTGATGTGCTTTTGAACTGTTAGGTTGGCAGGAGCAGGGACCGAGCAACGGGAGTTCACCCTGTCGCAGGGATTCAAAACGCCGACCTTCTGATCGGCAAGCCCTAGGCTCTGTAGTTTAACCAACAGCGCCACCTGTGTCCCTTGTCTGCACATAGACTGTAAATAAACATAGTTTAGAACTACAAATGTTTTTTTCTTCTTGCTGAGTTCTGCCAGAAGAATAGTGTGCACTTTTCATAAGAAAAGTGTCGCTGAGAGGCACTCTGGAGATGAAGGGACATGCCATTCCAGAGTTGTGCCTACTGGGAGATGCTCGGAGAAGGAGGGAGTCTCTGGCGAGCCCCAGAGCGTTATAAAATCCCAACACTCTGCTGATCTATGCCCATCAGCAGAGGTGGGGACAGGCTCCTCCACATCACAGAGGTGGCCTTGGAGGAGAGGTTCTTCTCCTTCCAGTGCTGCAATTGAGAGGAAAATTGCTTTCCCTGCTCTTCAGAGATGACTTATTCTACTTACAAGAAGTTTCTGCTGGTATGCAATAATTTTCTTCCAGAAGGCTGATTCCTGTGATTCTGGTTCACCATGCCTATGTTTGTGGCGCTGCCTTTGTTTCTGCTTTGCTTTATCTTCTTTTGCTTTCTCTTCCTTTTCTCCATCTTCTCCTCTAAAAGCATAAATCTTATTGTGAGTCACACTCTATTAATTAAAATATAATCTCTCATTGGAAAAAGAAACAAGCTGTGTCAATCACATGTTTCATGGGCACTTTAAAGAAGACTGGGTCCTCTTTCAAGTACTTACTGTATGTGAGATGATCACAGCTGGAAAGGGCATTTAGGGAATGTATAATGGATAAGGACTTATAAAAGCCCTTGAGATACAAGACACTTATAATGGATTTAACACAGTGAGAAGAAAATAAATGTGCGTTAAAAAGGGAAAGGTCTTTACAAAGCAATTACAATATAATTAATTCACATTGAAGCACACAGGATGTAAAACCCTTTTAACAATGACAGCTCAGTTTTATAGAGGAGTACAATGATCACTTTAGCAGTTAAAAGATAAGGACATAAATACAACTGAGTTGTCATTTATTTCAATGGGTTTTGCTTCCAAGTGCATTTAAGACTACAATATTCATAAGTAGATTCATAAATGCTAGAAATATTGGCACATACTCTGCTTTTTCAGGTACAAATTTAGTTTCTTCTTTCTCATCCTTTTCATCTTCGTTCACCTTCTGGTCCTTCAACAAATAAGGAGGAAACAATTACGGCAATGCACAACTTTCAAGTCATGTTTTTAAAAACCCAGCACCATAGCCTTGAATATGTCATTTAAAATATACTAATGTTCATGCTGAGTAGAAAATGAGGAAACTCCTATTTACTTGAAAATATTGTTTTCTATTTAAAACTCAAACAAGTTATAAACAGAGTAGATGAGGAACTCTAACCATGTCACTTTAGAAAGATGAAAGCTTTGCTTGCTCAATATTATTGTTGTTGCTGTTAGTTGTATTTTTCACAAAAGGTGAAAGCAACTTACACAAACCAACATTAGAAACAACAGTATAAGTGACCTATAATGTTCACTGATATGTACAGAAGAGTATTTATTATTTATTTATTGAATTTATATATTGCCCTATACCCGAAGGTCTTAGGGCGGTTCACAGAATCTCAGGGTGGTTCACAGATTCAGCACAACCCACCCAACTAAGATATGACAGAAAATTAAAGTTCAAAAAATAAGTAGTGATGGTGCCAGGCATGCCCCTCTAGAGAGAATACTCTGTAGTTGTTAATCCATTGAAAAATGGGATCAACATGCATGATGTGCTGATTTATATTTCCTAAAAACAATTTTTAAAAGTCTAAAAACCAGATCTAAACAGATTTAAACAGTATAGACATAGACAGTATAGACATACAAATTATAGTGTGTACCTGTATTTTTTCTTGCACATCAGGTAAGGGGGGTAAAGAAGGACTGCTCAGCAAATCACTTAGGCCTGCATTTGGATTGTGTGGGATTAGTTTATATTGCCCTCCCTCTCTTTTTAAATCCAAGCCAAATATGTCCGAGAGGAGGTCACTGTCTTCTGACAAAGCTTTGAGATCGGTCAGATCTTCTGCAGGCAGGGGAGCTTCTGTTGGCTTTCTTTCCGCTTCTTCCCCTTCACCACGCACCTCATCTTGAGTAGGGTCAGGCATGTTGGCTAAGAGTTCAGCCACCTTGATTTTCTTAGCCCCTTCAACTAAGCTTCCTCCAAGCAGCAAACTGTACATGATTTGAAAGAAGCCTCGGAAGACGCTTGATATGAAATGCATTAAGCCCATTAAAATGCTCCAATATGAGGAGAAAAAAGCCATTGCCATGTCTTTCATGGTCATCTTTTTCATCTTCTTCATCTGCTTCTTGATACTTTTCATGCTTAGCACTTTCATGAGTGTCATTATGTTATACCTGAGAGCTACTAAAGCTGATTTAACAGTTACTAGAGAAAAGAAGCCCATTCTGGGATCCTGTTCCTCAGGTTTCTCGTTCTCATTTTCTTCTTTATTTGCCGACCTCTCATTCAAATCTGACTCAGAGATCTGAGCTGCCAATTGCATTTCAAATATGGTATCCTCACAAAAATTAACAAAAAGCTCCATTTTTTCCTTTTCCCCTCCTTCATTTACTACATCAAATATAAACTGTCTCTTTGATTCTTTAACTTGAGGTTTTTCCCATTGTGTCCGACTTGATTCACTTATCTCAAAGTAAACTCGTTCAATGCGCTTTGCGCTACCCATTATCTCTATACGCCCTAAGAAGGGCTGGAAATAGTTCAAAACACTATCTGCCAGTTCAAGAAAAGTCTGCAACCGAGTGTCATGAGGCATGTGCTCTGACAAGTTTGTCAGGAGGACAGCAACGTTGAAGCCAATGTCTTTGGCTGGCTCATGAAACCGTTTCACAAATTCCTCATAGTCCAAAGTCTCATTCTCATCTGTTTCAGCACATGAGAGCAAAAACTCGGTTTCAGATTGAGTGTAGTGTTTGTGGCTCTCCATGGCTTTGTGGAAATCTCTTTTTGAAATGATACCCTTTCCGTCAGGATCATATTCTTTGAATGCATCAGAGAAAGTTAAATCCTTCAGTTTTAGGAACATATCAAAAAACTTTAAAATCATTTCTACATTGTTGGAGGATTCCACTAGCATGTCAACCATCTGCTTGCCAATTGTGCCATTCACAACATTACCTGAATGTGGAAAAGTGCATTGAAATTCTTGTTAAAATATTTACTCAGTTAACAACTAGAGATATATAATGCCTTGTAAACTGTTCCAGACATCAATAAAATTACTAGATTGAATTTCAGAGATGAGCATTTTGAACTACTGATAGTAATACAGGGGGTGAGCAACATTTACATTAGGAGAAAAATAATCAGGCTTGTAAGATTCCAGACTTTTTGTTATACAAGCCTTAAAAGATTGCTGAAACCTCATGGCCTGAATACAACAAAGGGTTAAGCTTGCTTAAGCCCACTGAAATCAATTGGCTTAAGGATGCTTAACTCTATGTTGATTTAGGCCTTTGCTTATTTAGCATTTACCCAGATTTCCTGTTTACTGAAATATCTCCAGCTTCATTTGCACATAGGATTGCATGTGGGTCAATAGTGAATATGGATGTTGCCTTGCTTTAAAGCAGGAGTGAGGAACCTCTAACCCACAGGCCCAATTTGGCCCAGCATGGGTCCCAATTTGGCTTACAAGGCTGTTTTCCCCTACCCACGCCCATCTGCTGCCATATGTGACATCAGGTGTGTGGCAGGTAGAGACTAGCTGAATTGGCTGCCCAACTGAGTTTCCTGTAGGAAATTAGATTGCGCAGCTGATCCTTGTAGACAGCAGGATTGACACTGCCACCCATCAGCCCTGGGGTATGAGCTCAAGGCTGCTGCATGGGTTGTGTGACCAAATTTCCTGCGGGGAACTCAATCACACAACCACTGCCTGCAGAAAGTAGCAATGCCAGCCATATGCTCAGCACTGGCAAGCATAGGACTGGCAAAGCCTCTTGCACTGTGGCTGCCAAGTATCTGGTAACCACAACTAGCTGTTGGGGCATTTTGCTGTGGAAGAGATTTTGACAGGTGGCCACAACAACCCACCTCTCCGTCATCTGGCATAATGATGCCAAGGTGATTGACAAGTGGGTGGTCACATCCCCCTGTCAAAATTGGCTTGTAAGACTGGAAACTGATATGGATCTGGTCTGTTGGGCCAAAAAGGTTCCCCACTGCCGCCTTATAGAATGGAACCAAATAAAACTTGTGGGTAAAAGCTTTTTTTTTTCCATATGCATTGCAACTTGTGTTCGTGGGAAATCACTAATCCAATAATGTACACATTGGCTGGCTATAAAACAAAAACATTCTGAAATAATTTCAGCTAGTAGAAGGCAACAAGATGCAGAGGAAAAAATAGAAAAGGGCTTATGAACAAAAAGAAACAGAAGTCAAGCTTTGAATAATTTGTGTATTTGGATAAAAAGTGATCCATTTAAAGTTGTATAAATTCTGTTTTGAGGCTTTTATGAAGACTGCTTACAAAACTGAAACTCATAGAAACAAAAAAATCAAGTTATGTTAGTAAATACTGTTTTCTCTACAACCTTTACACAATAACAGTAAAACTGAACATTTTACATTGTGCTTTTATTGGAGACTATAGTACATTAGCAGGTTCCATGCTCTCTGAGCCAAACTAGAGGTGATGTTAAATGAGTCTTTGTAGTTCACCAGAACATTTTTAAAAATGCAAAGAGCAGCTATGAGATGGTCACGGCGGCTGATAATTACAGGGATCATAGCAGACAGGAAGGGGGAGTTTAAACAGTCTCCTCCCTTGATGTAGCTGTGACAGAAATAGATCATATGAAGCTATTTGTATTAGGACGAAATCCTCCATTGGCACCAATTTTTTTTACCTCTTTGCAATTTGAAAAAAGTCAATAAAGGTTTGGTTTGGGGTTTGCTTGTGTGTGTGTTTTTAAGAAAAAAAAGTTTTAAAATGAACTTGAAATTACCTTCTAACATAGATAACAACATGACCACCATATCCTTCTGAAGATCCATTAATTCTTTCAGTAATTCAATTTGGCTAGAATCCTGTCAACATAAAATACAAGATTCATGGCAGTGTTCTTTTAGCCCAGCAACTATGATCATATTGAGAAAACTATGTCTCTGGCTTAGAATTGGGGGCTCACAGATTTCTGATAATACTGTGACAGCTACAGGTCCCTGCGTCACTTTGAACATTCGAGAGTAGCTTTTGGGTGATGGAGAAGGTGGAATGGAAAAGGAGGGGCTGGAAGGTGGAACACAGCGTGTGACTCTTTGGATCAGATCTTTAAAAAAGAAACTCAGTTTTCCCAACAATAATTGGTTGATTTGAACCAATTGCAAACTATCTATGAATAAACAATAGCTTTGAAATGTGGCTTGAAATAATTAACGTTTTTCAGAATGAAAATCAATCATTTCAATATCACTCAGGATTTGAAAGCAGGTTAGCCAAACCCTGATATGAATGAATCTGGTTAAATATTGTTCTGTTGGTGCAGATGTAACATGGAACTATGTTTAAAGCTGAAGGGGAAACAAAAGGAATTCAAAGTGTAAAAAAGGAGGGTGGGGATAGGATGGCATGTGAGACCCCCTCCAAATTTCTGGTTAAGTGCAGTTTCATGTCTGCAGCAGGGCACACTTGTGTGAGTGAAAAATGCTTACACCAGAGGTGGTTAACTCCCACTTAAGAGAGGCCTGAGGTGACTGCCCAAGGAATTTTTCTTGCTACCAAGATCACACTGATTTTGGTGACAACAAAAGTTGAGGACATACACAGCTGGGATGGGCATTCTGATGAAGATGAAATTTCCCACTCCCTGGTCATCAGATTAATCTTTGGATGAGCAGAAAGGGGATAATACCCACCCCAGCTACTCTACGTGGATGCATGTTTATGAAGGTGAATGAAGACCAATCAACTGATGATAAATATTGGTAAGACAAGGGTCCTATTGGCCAATGATGGTTACTTTCAGGAATTGGGATGTCAGCCTGCTTTTGACAGGCTAGCACTCTCCCTGAGAGACCAAGTATGTAGCTTCGGGACTATCTTCTTTAATAAAGTTAAAGTAAAATAGTTTTTTTAAAATGTATAGATAGAGATATTGTACCTGAGAAAGCTTCATCTGCATATGGGCAAATACATGAAGAAAACCAACAACAGCATCCCACAGTCTGCTATGCGCCAGACTCTGCTGGTTACCCGTACATGGTCCCTGAAAAAGAGGTTTTAACAAACAACAAAACTGAAGTTAAAAGGGAAATATAACATAAGCTGCCTCTGGCTGATTACTGTCACGACAATGGGAATGGCTAATGAAAATGTTACACAAATGAAACATATTTGAGAACAAACTCACATGCTTAGCCCATGGGGTCCCTGTGAAAAATGGCTTTTCCATTCACCTTCACATACACATTAATTTGTATACACAAAATTGTCCACCCATTTCAATGGATGGAGACTGGATTAAGTGTAGGGAAGCATCACTTGGACAAGAATATGAACAGAGTTACTGGCCAGGGTGAGAACTTCAATACATAACATGGGCAATAGCCAATGAAATGCTTCCACTAGAGGATTTCTGCTTCCACCACAGAACCTCTCCTCTTCTTTCTCTGCACCCTCCCCAAATTTGTTCTAGAGGGATGAGAGACACACCCACCCCAAATATATCTAGTGGGAGAGGAGAGGGAGTGGAAGTTATATTGTGCAGCCGAAAGTTATTGCTCCAAATGTTCTTTCTTACCACCCACCATACATGCAGACACTTTATACCGTGTTTGTGGGTTGTTTCAAACATTACCTGAATATATTCTGTAAGTGTATTGAAAACCTGCTTTGCAACTTGAATTGCTTTAGAGAAATTACGTTGTCCTTGTTCATCAATAACATCCTTTCCAGAGTAATACCAATAGAAATCACTAATTGATTCCTGAAAGTGGATGAAGAAATATACAAAGTGCATGAATTCACAACTCAGAAACTAGAGACTATTTTTGTATTAGACAACTAACTGAATAAATAATCATAATTAGTGATAACATCACTAAAATTGCATTTGACATTAAAAAAAAGCAAAGTGTTCAGAAAGTCTCCAGAACTATGACGCTGACTAACGTCACTTTAAGTTCCAGTTCCCAGAATTCTTCTAGACAATGGAAACTCCATTGCAACTAAAATCAGAGTAAGCTGCTAGTTTGCATTAGCTTTTTTCTGGGACTTGATTCCTTTGCTGCTTTTTGCAGCCTCACATGTTTGGGAAGATGCAAGAGATCATGGATGGGGGCAGGGCAACTAGCTGGCATTGGCAGAGAGTTGGGGGATCTCAATTTTGATGCACCAGATTTGTCATCATGCTATTTTGAGGGTGTAGAAATTATAGAAGGATGCCACCACTGTGTATAAGGCAATTAAGCAAGATCATGTTCTTAGACATTTGACTGTTTATAACTATTTTAAAAACAAACAGAAACCAAGGTATTAATTAACTCTGTAGGTACATGTCTTTCCCTCTCTTCTATTTTTATTTAAAAGCATTTATAAACTACAGTACTCAATTTTTTTTTAAAGTTGTGAAACAGTACAAAACATAAAAACACTAAAGCAATATAATAAAGCAGAGCTTTAAAAAACCATATAAAAACAATAGTACAGGGCCCACACTTATGGATCACGAAAAAAGTACAAAATTATTTCGTGCTTGTTGGCTGGTAAGCAGTGTAGCACAGGAATATTGACCCCCAGCCAGCCACCCATTGGAATTTATTTTTTCATACTTTCTTGGAAGCAGAGAGATTGGAGAGGCTTTTATTTCTTTCCTCCAAGTTCTCTTATACGGTTCTGGTTTCTTGTTTTTTTTAAAATACATTAAAAGGTTTATAAATACTTTTAAATAACTAAAAAAAGTAGCAATATAAACACTTGATGTTACACAATTTTGCATTTTGATGCAATTCTTTTCAACAAACTAGAGTTCACATGCATTATATTTTACCTGAACTCTCAGTAAATAATCCACAGTAGATATTATAATATTGACAGTTGTATTGTTACCAGTCTGAGTCCTCAAGTAATTCTGAAAATCTTGGAAAGATAGAACAAGATTGAATTAACTTTAGCCCCTGTCTTAAATCCCTTTAAAAACTCCTATCAGAGTATAAAATGCATGTTTTCTAAAGCATATTTCCTGCTGATAATCTGTATTTTCCTTTTCCAAACATTTTAATTATGCTTAATTTTCTAGATTATGCACTATAGTTATTCTTGAGATAGTAGACTTGTTTATATTGTAGGAGAACTGAATTGAATAACAGGGAGGATCAAATTTAGTTTTCTACTTTCTGTCCACTTACGTTGGAGAAGAACATCTCTTGATTACAGTAGTAGTACTGTGCACTAAGTAGTACTACATAGCTATTAGGGAGATTGTCTACCTGGTAAAAAAAGACCTGTGTTATGGACATTTACAATTAGGGGAATGAAAGAATCAACAAAATAAGCAGTGTTGCTCCACTTATTTTTCCTGTATAACATGTTTCTAGAGATGTCATTTAATTTGTTTTCACAGCTCAGCTGTTTAAGAAAATTGGCACTATCAATTTACATAACTATTCTTCCTTCATGCTGTGTTTACTTATTTGGAGCACTATTTGGAAAAATTCATTAGGGTGTTAAGCCTTTTACAGTGAGTACTTATAGCTGGTTACTTCAACACTGGATGAGTTAATAGCATTATTTAAACAAACCTGAGTTGTGCCCCTCGCAAAGCAACTGGAGGAACCGGAAGAGGTCACAAGTAAATTCATCATCTTGCATCACCTTTTCTCCTGTGGAAAAGCCAGTTGCCAGTAAATATTATGAAAAGTTGCAAAGTAACTCTGAAGCTTCACATATTCATCTGATTGATATAAAAAAACTGCATAGATTATGAGTGAATCTAGACTTAAAGCATGTTTTCAAAATCAAATATATGTCATACTCACTTGCAGGAAAGGTGTATTTATTTATCATAAGAAAAATATGTATAATTTAGAAATACATTTCTCTCAAAAAATGGTAGAATGGGCTTGGCAACATTTTAGAAATTTCTGAACTTTGTATAATAATTGAACTATAATCTTGGTTTTTTAAGTGTGACTAAAATGAGCTTCTGGAATAGGGCTACCAATTACTGACCCAATGAGGCTCCTGAAGAATTATTCCTCCATTCATTCAATTTGAAACATTTCTATGCTGCCTTCAATTTAAGATTTCCAGGGCAATTTACAGTAAAAAAAAACAAACACAGAAAGGCAGTACATAGAACAATCACAGGATGCATCAAAATTAACCAGAGTTTAAAAGCTTGGGGAAGTAAAATAAAAATAAAAAGGTCTTTGCTTAGCACCCAAAGAACATTACATGCCAGAGTTCTGCATGGAAGTCCTTTCCTAAAGCTGTCCACCTCACTTTAGATGGTGAAACCATCCAGAAGGCTTTTGTGTATCAATACTTCAAATCGTGCCCAGAAACACTGACAGCTGTGTTTTGGACTGCCTGGTCTCTGGACGGTTTTCAAAGGCAGCCCCACACACAATGCATTTCTGTAGTCTAACCCAGAGTTTACAAAGCTTGGGTAACTATAGTCATTCATTCTATCCAGGAGAGATTACAAATGGCACACCAGCTTTAGCAGTTCATGCTACTGAGGCCACTTGGACCACTAGCAACAAAGCTGGATCAAATAGTGCTCCTCAGACTGCCAACCTGATCATTTAAACTGGAGTGCAGACCCTTCCAGAACAGACTGAACCACACACCAATAGAATCTCTGGCTTGTTGGAAGTGAGTTTCAGTTTGTTAGCTTTCACCCAGTCCATCTCCTTCATCCAGACAGTGATTCAGCACTTCCAACATCTCACCTGATTCTGATGCAAAAGAAAGAAAATTGAGTATCACTTGCATTTTGTTGCCAATTGACTGTGAAACTCTGGTGACATCAATCAGTGGTTCCATGCAGATGCTGAAAAGCACAGGATTGAATCCTGCAGTATACCACAGCACAAATGCTATGGGGATAAGCATAAGTCTCCTAGCACCACTTTCTGGAATCAAAATAGAACCATCAAAACATGATGGAACAACCACCAAGGCAGCAGGAAACCCTGCCCTCCCATCCATCAGCTGACATTGCCAGTGGACTGATGTACAATAGGCATGTTTGGGGGAAAATGGCCTTGTAGACCAAATTGGACCCCATGGCAGGCCAAGATGAGCCTGCAGATTAGAGGTTCCCCACCCCTGCCATAAATATATGAAATAAAAAAAAATATCCAGTAGCACCTTAGAGACCAACTAAATTTGTTCTGGCTATAAGCCTTAGTGTGCATGCACACTTCTTATACCCAGAACAAAAAATGCTACTGGATAATTTTTTTAAAAAAAAAATATTTATTTCAACTGCATCAGACCAACACGGCTACCTACCTGAATCTATAAATATATGAAGTTTCAATTTATCAGAAATCTATGTAAATGATTCACAAACAGGGTTTCCATCAGGCTTGTTCAAGAGCAATATTTGATGAGTTCTTAAAACAGGTATCTCAAAGGAAATTTATTTTAAAAGGTGACATTGAGTCATGGAATAAAAATTGTAGGGAGTCAGATCTTAATGAATGAATGGAGAGAATGGGTACAAGCCTTTTTTGAAGGACTGCTCATATTTCTATCCAAGTTTTGACACAGCAGGATAAACTACAATAGAGGAATATGTTGTGCTTATATAAAAGAAAACTGGCAGTCTCAGCCAGAAGCCTTTAAAAACAATTTTGTATAGCTTGTGTTAAACATTCAGACAATGCAAAATTTTAAAAGTCTCATTGTACATGAACTATTTAGCTAAAATACTGCCATTGCCCATGCTGCATTTAAATGATATTGTTACACATATAGATGACTTCATGTTACTGCCATGGACAATCTGAAATAGAGATGTATTTAAACAAAAGTAATGTCTGGAAGAAATAAAAAGTGGTGTATGTACTCCCTTGAAAGTGCTGAATGCCAGACTACTAATGATCTCTCCATAGTCTTGTTCTCTCCTTGTCACTAATGATTACCTTTTTTGGACTATAACTTCCATCACTCCTCCTGCCTGTGGCAAATGGAGGTTGTAGCCTAAAGCATCCAGGGATCACCAGGTTAGGGAAGGCTGATTTTAAACTGTTACACATAAGCATACATATTTCACATTATAAGAGGAGGGAAAAGTGAATTTGTGGTAAAACTGCCATTATAAAGGAAAAGAATAGAGGAACTAATTGGAAGCAGCCAAGAAACTAGGGAGGTCTTGATGAGCTTCTATCAGCAACACAGAACTGCAACTAACAGTCCTTTCTTGTGTTGGTGATGAATTTCATCAATGTGGGATGTCTAAAGCTTACCAAATTCAGGTAAGATATATGGCTGCAGGTTATTGGTAAAGGACCTGTTGCGGGACTCTCCTACCAAATGCCACTTAATTCAAAGCATACAAATAAATTTCATTGAGCGCAGTGAAGGAACAAGGTGATGCCCAAGTGCTCTTGCTGTTGTTGGCGGCGGCAGCATCTTTCTGCATCAGGAGACAATGGAAGAGTATGCCTTTGGGAGAATTACAGTGTCTGCTGTGGCTTCAGGGCCTGAAACTGGAAGTGGTGCTGGCCGAAGACAAACAAAGCAATTTCTAATTACTGGGATGGAGCAAGAGATGGAGGTAGGCTTCTTTGAGATCTCTTGAAGTAAAATGTCATCAGGGTGCAGAGCTACCTGTACAGATGATAGTTTACATTCTGAATTGATTTGGGAGTTTCAGATCAAGTACAACTGTCCAAGAATTTGAGTCCCTCTTCAACACCACAAAGAATATGGAGTAGATGCTGAAGAGACACTCACCTCAAGGGACTGGTTTGATGGCAGCCATGTCTAGGAGGAGCATGAAGGGTAAGAGCCAAACCTGTGGTTCAACACTTGAGGGTGTACTGGACCAGGACTCATGTCCTCCTAAGGAAGACAAATGGCTCTTTTGGCTGGGAAAATTGATGTCCCCCCACACTCTGCTCCTTCTGACAAAGAAGCAACACAGGGCAAGATGGGGAAGGAAGGATAAGAGCAAAGTCATGGAGGAATGAAGGGTGTGGTTCAAAACACAAGCTGATACATATTTTGCGTATGTGTGTGCATATGTTTCTAAGGCACACACGAGGAAGATAAAGAGCAGGGTCAGGAGAGGATTAAAATTTGAGAAGACAAGAACATGGGGGGGGCTGATGTGGACAGTAAAAGGGAAGGAACAAAGCCTGGACAGTGGTAGCCAAGTCACAGAAATGGAACAGGAACTTAGAAAGGTTAAAAGCAACCCCCCTGGGGACAAATGCCTTGGGGAGAACGTTTGGGCCGCAGAACGAACATGACCATTTTGATGAAGGCAGAAAAGTGAACTGGACTCTTGGGAGCTGCCTACTTTATTCAAGATTACTTTCCTGCCTTCAACTACAAGTTGGTGCTACATCCCACATTGATCAGCTTCACCAGCAACATGAGAAAGCAACAATCCAGCAAGGCAAGTTTATTTCTTTTCATTCCAAGATTCCAAATATGGCCCTTGTCATATGTTTATAGATGAAACAGTTCCTGTGGGTTTATCTCATAATAATGTACCTATGAAACAGCCCCTAGGCAGCCCAACTTGCACATTTGTATTTTCTAGAAGAAAGCTGCATTCTTTTGATACTGGCTTACTAAGTCACTTTGTTGACCAATTTAATAACAAGCATTATAAACAAAAAAACAAAAAAATAGATCAGGTTCTCTTAAACAACAGTACATGTTCTTTTCCTTGCTACAGCATGCACTAAATCCACTGTTGCTATGCAGGAAGATGAGAACATGTGTTGACCGAAAACATTTTGTAATGTGATTCGTTCAAGAAGCCATCAGTGATGCTCTGGAACCCAGCAGTTCTTGGAAGAAAGGGGATGGGGCTAAAACTGGGAGGCAATGCAATAGCATAAAGCAGCGCTCCCTCTGCCCCTGTGCATATTTAGGCTGCAACACAATGCCTGTAAATCTCAGTGGCTGTGACGTCTGGGTAACATGCTTATGATCAGACTAGAAAATAAATTTCTACTATACATGTAACAATACCTAAAACTTCCCCTACAATGTCTGGGTCGTAAAATTAAGATCTCATACCAAGAGAAAACCAAAAAACAGTAAGAAAGTAAAAACCTTACATCTCAAACATTACCCAAGTATCTTGGACATCAAGTTAACATTATGTGTTAACTATCCTAAAATGTTCAAAGGAGAGGAAATAATGCACTTTCAAGTTTATCATGATTTATGTGAAAATTGTACGGATTATAAGGAGTAAAATGAAAATGTAGTGTAATTTAATGTACAATAATGTATGCCTTTGGTTTTGAACCTTTTCCCAATAATAACCACAGCAATTAAAACATAACACATAAAGAAAACGCAACATTGATTACATCACAAAGACAAATTAGATACATATCTGGTAGAGAACCACCAATGTTTTTACCAGTGGGGGGTCCAGTATTAAGAACATGAAGCACGAAGTTGGTCATAGTGAGAGGGGATCAGGAGAAATATATTGTAGAGGAAGGGGCAGTACACAGGAAACAACTAGCATATTTATTTACTATGCTATTTTCTTTTTTCTCTCTAGTGGAAAGAGAGAGTTAGTGGAAAGAGACACCACCAGTTAAAAGATCTCTCTGAAATAATTGTATTAACAAATACCTGCAATAAAAGCTCATAACTTAAACAAGTGAAATATAAAAACTTTGATAAACCAAGAGGATATATTATATACATATACAATTACTCAAAAGAATTAACACATCCCTCAACTTTGAAAAATGTGTTCTTTGAAAAATAGTATATTAGATCTCCATAATTTGAGTATCCATTTTAAGAAACAGCTTTTTGTAGCTTGTTGTGTACCTGGTTGTGTAGTCTACGTTGTTCTGTCTGACAATTATACCAATACCACTGGAGCCCATAAATTTTCAACAGTGTTCATACAGATGACTGCTAGAGGAATTGTGTCTATATAATTTCTCATTTCAGGTTCCCATTTTGATGCTTAGAGATCAATAATGTCTACCTATAGTGCACTGTAGGGTTGGAAAGTCCCCCATCACGAACATAAATGGATCCCTGTGTGTGTGTGTCTGTGAACTTCCCATATGCTTCAGTCCTGCATTCGTGTCCCATATCCTCTACCCAACTGAATGAGGAAGTCCATTCATGAAGAACTCTGTATAGTTCAGGGCAAAATATTTAAAAATTATAGTATTCCATCAGAAGAGGGTTTTCATCATGTATGTGGCTACTTTTTGAATAAATAAGTTGTTGGAGTCTTTGTCTCTTAGAATCATTCATATTTTAGGGAGATTTTATATAATTATAACTGGTGATTAACAAATGACTTTTTAAAAAGGCACTTTCAGTTTAAAATTGAGCATTCTGAATTTCTCAGTTTCAAAGGAAGAGATTAAAGGAAATTAAGCAATTTGTATGTGAAGTTTCAGTGGAAGAGATTAAAGGAACTATTTAAGGCTGCAGTCTTATACATACTTGCCTTATACACACTTGAACTCAATGGGACTTACTTTTGCGTAGATATGCATAGGACTTGATAACTTTTCCATGGAAATAATGGTTTTTCAGTGGTCTTAATCCCCATGCCCAAATACTGCATTTGGAGTTGGTTCAATTGTGATTTCAACACATAGGGGTGCATTTATAAGATGTCAACTATTGGAAGAGTAATGGAGGGAATAGTACCTCTTTCCCTGTCAAAACTGATTTCAGCAAACTCACCCTTAGAATTTAATATATCTACTGAATAATTGGTTTTGAGCTTTGCCCTGTCCACTAGAGTTCATGACTCAGTGAGGAACATTAGCATCTACATTGTAAGCGAAGCCTTATCAGCACAGTAATGATTTTTGTTAGCGTGCATTAATGATGTTTACTTTTACACTCTAAATGTATCTTCTGTCACTAAACGTCCCAGGCCGTATCTGACTAAGTCACACTCAGAGTAGACTCCCTGAAATGGATGGACTTAAGTCATGACTTAATTCATGGATTTCAGTGTGTCTGCACTGAGAGGGACCTCATCAGACACCATCACCCCTTCCTATCCCACCTCCAAACCCAACTCTGGATCCTCCACTGATTTCCTATGATTGCACAGACCAATGTAGCCATAAAGCCACATTAAATACACAACAAAAATGCTACAGGAAGACTACAGCACATGGTGGGTTTTAATATCATATGCACACATTTTGTTTACATCCAACCATCACAAATACTTGGCCCACTAAGAAAATAAGCGCCACCAAATGAAGCAGGAAAAGAAAAAGAAAAACCAAAAAAGCTTGCTGCTCTTACATCTAGTGTGCCAGTTACTGTGCAAATCCTGAGAAAGGGAGGAAAAACAAAGATGTGGGGAAAGTTGGCATACAAACGTAAAGTTTGGAGAATACAACCATAATAATAATAATAAAAAGAGCCCACTCTTTTAAATTCCGAGAACAAAAACAAACTACATGATGTTCAGGAGCTGTACAGTGCTGACACAAAGCTAACAACAGGAAAAAGAAAGGCAATTTGTGTGCAATAATTACCACGTTCATGAGTGATGACTGAGGAAGGGAAAGACAGGACATTTATTTTTAAAAAAAGAAAACGAAAAAAGAAAAACATGAGAATTTGTTTCAGCAGATTAAAAATATACGTAGCATTGCTTTTAGCAATTCTCAATGAATCAAAAGCATCAAATCAGGAAAAAAAAATCCTTCAAATGAGGAGGCATAAATATATCCTGACATTAGATAACCATTCATTCATGTTAGTTATGTATAAATGCATGCCTTTACAGTTTAAGTAACAGATGTAGAGTTTTAAAAGAAAAATGAACTTATTAAAACGGAAATCCAGGATTTACTGTGAATAATTATAAAAAAATTAAATTATGCCTTCAGTGTCCAAAGCATTCTGAAGAATAACAATGGATCAAGCAAATCTGTATGCAATCTGACTATCTTTACTCATATGAGCTGACTTTACTCAAATGAGTGAAAAATAAATGTGTATTTTCATACCACAATAAAAAAGTGGAGCCCATTTGAGATAAGAACAGAATTTAAAAGAAGGAGTCCTAATGTGCTTTAATGGTTTTCAGTCAAGTTAATGTGCATGGCTTTTAGCTTGATGAAAACATTTGAATAATAAAGGATATACAAGTTATAACAGCTGGAGGCAAAATAACTACTGATACATGCAGCATAAAAATATGAGTAAAGAAATTACAAAATGCAACGGTAAATAAACATTCAAGTTTTTCCCCTTTATTTTAATGAATAAAAATATGAGAAGTATTAGCTGAAGTAGGTTATGGAAGAAATACACTGGTAATACAGAGAAAGGATTGGTAGAACAACTAAACATATAGAAAATAATTCAGTGATCCTGGACAAAAACAATAACAATAAAATAGTACAAAGAGACAACAAAGGAAAATTAAGAATGAGCTGATGAGAGGGATAGAAGAGGCAAACTGGTTCAAAAGCAAAAGTTCTGATACTTGTATTTTTTAATGAAAAAAACTGAAGAAAAGGATTTCAAAACATTTCCAAGCAAAAATATTTCTGAAGAAGCCACCTTTCTGTGGTGTTATTAATTTTAGACTTTATACATCTAATTGTTACCTGTGGTAAAAATGAAAAAGAAATAAAGAAATAAAACCCCTCAGGAAAGTGGTTTCCTGTCAAAGTTCAATTACACTCTAAACAATTTGAGGATATAATATTTAAGTAACTAAAGAATGTGGCTTTAGTATGCAGCGGTCCTTCACTGAATACATTTCAACATGACTTACTTTTTTCAGTGGATTTAAGGGGAAAAGTTACACATAATTTTTCATTAAGATCATAATACCTGATCCTTCTTCTGTTACCATGCCAAGGCCCTCTGCTTTGTTCTGGCGTTCAAAAGCATTTAGGTCAAGAACACTAAAATGAAAAAAAGCAATGCATAGTTCCAGTTTTACCACAGATTACATTATCTTATGTTGTAGTGAAGTAAAATATACTTATGTGAATCAAGTGTTTCTGGCAAAAGCATTGATTCATCACAAAAGAAGCATAGCCTTTAATGGTTTTTTTAAAAGTAAATGTGCCTTGGCTTCAAGAGAATTTTAAGGGCTTAATTATTTCAGAGGAACAAATAAAATATGCTGTGAAACTTGCTTAGGACAAACAACATCCACAGGTAGGCCCTTTTTTTGCCAGGCTGATAGGTATTTCGATACTGAATTTGGTTTCTTCATGTCTAACGATAACGTAGCATATTTAGTAATGTAAAATAATATAGTCGTTTTCTCTTACCTACAAGACTGCATAAGACCAGCAAGGCTCTGAAAGAAGCCTACATCCTTTTTGTCCTTGAGGTAGTCAAGCATTTTCTTCAAACCAAAAAGAGGAAAAAAATGTTGTGTATAGTACTACTACTGCTGCTACTACTGCCACTATAATCTCCAGAAGTGCTTGCAAATAGTAAAAGCATTAAAGTACACGGATCCATATAAAACACAGAAGAGACACAACAGAGCAGCAGCAATTTAAAAATAAAAACCAATAGCATTTTTAGAAGATACAAAATTTCTGGATGATTTAAAAGAGAAACTTTAGGGGGGAAAGTGAAGGACTGCATTTCAGTGAGAGTGAAAATGCAACCCTTGGCATCTCCAGGTAGGCAGAGGCGGCCCCCACTGGGGTACAAAAGTCACCCCAAAAATCTCTGTCTAGTTTTCTGTGAGGCTGTGAGTTTAGACAAGCACTGGGAGCTGAGCAGTTGGAGAAATGGCAAGGCAGTATGAAGGTAGATCAATCAAAGAGTGTGCAAGTGAAAATTAGCCAGTTAAACGGCCACAGTAGTGTGGCAAGATGTGGCATCGTATGAAGAATGGAGGCGGCTAGGAGATGGGCCCCAAGTTTTAAATCAGCCAGGCACAAAGCAGGCAGCTGCAGATCAGCATCAATCTCTTTCTCTCCTCCTCCTGCTCCCCCACTACTGAGTTGAATCCCTCCCTCCTTTCCCCTAAAGTCAGAAAAAAAATTAATGCAATATGCGCCTTTTCAAAGTTCAAAACTTGCAGGCTTCTTGCCAGTTGGGTTGCGTGGAGGCAAGTTTACTGGAGCCAAGTGGGAGGGGGCTTAGGCTGCAGTCCTTATCCCGCTTACTTCACTCAGGGCCTTTTATGTTACAACGCTCTTTTTCTTGTCACCACCCACCTGGATTCTGCAGGGCTAGTAGGCAGAAACAGAACTTTTTACTGCTTGGGCAAGCAGTCTTTACAAAATCTGAGAGCTCCAAAATATTTCCTTATTTTTAATTAGTCACAAATGTTAAGCCGTTTTCAAAAAGTGCATCTATTCAAAATAGATACGAGAATACTTGTGTCTGAAATGAAAGAAATAATTAACATTGAGATACCAGCTAAATTACCTGCTGAACAGTAGAATTTCCTCCATTCAAGATGGCAATCCCAAGTTTTAGGGTGGCTGCAACCATTGGACCCATCTCACCTGAAAAGTAAACATTTATTTACAAAACTTCTAAATAATTTGTATGCTGATAAACATACAAACAATTTAAACAGTAAAACATATAAATATAAATATATATATATATATATATAATAATATATAATAATATATATATATTATATATATATATAAAATATAAATTATGGTTTAAAATTAAGAGAAATAATAAACACCAATTAGACCATAAAAGTTTGATGCAACACAAATATTTTAAAAAACCAGAGATAAGGCTGGGCAGTTGTCTATCTAAAGGACATTCCAAAGCAATGCTGTCATAGCTGCCCCTCTTATGCATGGCCAGCTGAAAATGTAAACTTTTTTTCAATTACTGGACTGATAATTTTTTATTTACTTTAGTTAATATAATTCAGTTATATACAGTACCCATGACGTGATTGTAGAAACTGACATTGAGTTTTGGAAAATTGGACACCATAGTGGTTGGCCACTGTGGGAACAGGATGCTGGACTAGATAGGCCATTGGCTTGATCCAGCAGGCTTTTCTAATGTACTAGAAAAGCAGGCTCTTTCCTAGTACTTTCCCCAACACATGCGAAAGAAATCCACCCCCAATACTAATGAAATGCAAATGGCAGCTTTGGAGAGACCGTGTTGAGACTATTTTGTCCTTGGAGAAAATGGATTACATTTTGGCTGCTCAGCTGTTATAGTCCTGTGGCAGAGGCAGATTTAAGGCAGTGTGACTGGCGCCAAGCCTAGGAGGTATTGCAGGGCACTACAGCTATGATGTAGTGAACTGAGCAGAACAGAAGGCGAGAGGCAGGAGAGCATTGAATGTTGGCCTCACACAGGGTGCCACTGAAATTTGAAAGACCAAAGTCTGCCCTGCCTAAGGCTGCTCGGGCATTCTCCTGTGGCTGCTTTTAAGTTAACAAATTAGCTGCAACCAGGCAATTAATGTCACTTTTAATTTTGCCTTCAAACACCTCAGAGAAGCAGAACGACAGGGGTCTCCCTCCTACTTGTATTCCCCAAATCTACACCCAGTCCGAGAGAGTCATGAGCCAGTCATCTCAAGGAAGAGAGTTGGATGCTTGTAGCTGTCACTTTAAGTGAATAACTTAAATCCTCACTCAGTGCCTCTAACTAAGCTCTAAGCTGAGAAGATCTGGAGGCTGCCTGGAGACCACAGACAGAGACAATGCCACCCACCCACCCACCTGCAGGGCTCCTGCCTACACCTTGAAGTCATCACCATGGTTCCCTCTTCTCATTCCATCAGTGGCACCAGAAACAGCTTATGAGGACCAGCATGGGCTGCAGGCTGCCGTAGCCTCATGTGCTGCCTCTCTCTCAGCTCCAGTGCAGATATTATTACTGTAAGTGAAGGTCGGCCCTATTTTTGACACCTATGTCTCCTTCTGGCTCAAGAGAAGACCTCCCACACCTTTGTACACATACACATTTCTGGCAGGAATATTTGGGAACAGAAAAGAAATGTTGACCTCTCTGATAGGAGCAAGATGGAACAGAACATTAAATTAAAATCTTCAAGAGATATAGCATATACATATACACTTTTAAAGCCTTTACCTTTACTGGCACTAATTGTCTGAAGGACCATTTCAGCAGCTCCTCGATCATGCAGTCTTGCTTGCTGGTACAGGAGCTTTTGCTTTTCCATTTCTTTTTCCTAAACATAAATCCCAGCCATTTAACTTAAGTTCACATTGTACCTTTTATGTAGGTATGAGCTCTATAGCAACTTTAGTCTAATACAGTATATGCAATACTGTATATCCAACATCTCTTTTACAGACTTCCGATCTCCTTGCTCTTTTTTTCGTATGGTAGAAATTTAGTGCCAGGTTTTTCAGTGAAGAATTGTCTCAACTGGAAACAATTAGGCTAGAATTCATATACCTGAGTTTGTATATTGTCTTGTCTCAAAAATGTTGTTTTGTACTATTCTGGTGCTGCAATTTTCACATTATGTTAAAATATTATCTAGTTTGAGTCTCTTATTAAAGTTCAGTTCATCTCTCTTACAATTCAAACTCACGCAATATGATAAAAGAATATGTTATATATTCAGTGACTTTTAGAAGATGCATAATTTAGGGAGATGTGTCAATTTCAAGTAAGGTGACATAAGAGGGTAAGCTTTGGTTCACCTTTAAATTTTACAATTTTGATGTGCTATAGATGGATGGGCATTGACTGATCTTTACTTTGAATAAATCTCAAACTCTAAAAAGGATAATAACTCAAAAGCAAGAAGGCAGAGCTAAATCTAGATAGCTTTTAGCTTTCAGCTTTCATGTAATAAATGGGAGAATGCTGGAAAATTTAGAATTATAGTGAAAAGTTGAAGTTGCATAGAGCCCTATAACTGGGAATCCATCCAAAGGTCCAGGTTAATGGAGCATGACACTATTAAGTCATATAACATCAAAAACCACCACATTATGTAGGACCTAAAAGCAGTTGCAGCAGATGTAGTCAGTTTTGCTACCATAAACAAAAGCAAAAAGAAAGAAAAAAGTAGACACTGGAAGACAGAAGAGGCTTAAACAATTTAAAGCTCTGGATATATTCAACATCAAAAATCTAAATATTTAGGTGGGGGAGAAAATGTATTTAATAACAGTTAAAGGGGGAAATCCTTAACTCAAAAGTTCTAATTTTATGCACACTTGATCGGGAATGAACAACAGTAAACTTTATTTTCAACTAAACACGATGATGAATGGACTGTGTCAGTTATTGTGTTACCAGAGAATTCTTACATTTGCTGCTGCTGCTGCTCTGTAATCATAATGTGAAAATAAAATGCATAACTATATTATTCTCTTCCTATGGCTGAAACTTCTCAAGCGTTATAAGAAATCTAAATAAAGCACAGATTAGGAAAAGTGGAATATATGGCAGCGCTGCATCCCACTGCGGCCACTGGAGTTTGAAAAGTTTGCATTTTTGTTTAAACCTCTTCCTATGAGGGGAGAAACAAAAACAAAGACACACACAACCAAGACACGACAACGACACCGTTTCAATGAAGCTGCAATACAATATTTTGACTCAAAAGTCTTCTGAATATTTTTTCTACATTCCTTTTTTTAGACCCAACCATCTTTTTCTTTCCATTCCACAGAAAAAAATCACTTATCCATTTTTGCCATCATTTTAGAAACAATAACAACAACATTAGCATGAGGGCTGTCTCCTTTCAGCTGAAGGAGAGTTGAGTGGCAGTAATTTTGTATTATTTCACCAGGAAAGTCATTTCCAATAGCAAGTGGTAGCAGCGAGAACAAAATCCAAAAAGTTATTAGATACCACTATCTAATTTTTCCCTTTAAAGAGCGATTGAGCCTACACAAATGCATTTTATTTGTGAAGAGGCAGGAAAATAAATAAGCTTGGAAAGAGGGTGGGGGGCGACAATTCAGAACACAAAAAGAAAGTGATTTGAAGAAAAGAAACATTATTGCATACTTTAACACAGAACACAAATATACAGCTATGTGACATATGTAATACAATCTTGTTCCTGCTGAATGTCTTCTCCCACTTAAAACAATACTATTAAATGTGTCATTATAGATTAATTTCACAAATAGTTATGTGTATAACGGCTCAACAGTTAGTAAGTTGCACATGTTCTGGAGAGATGCATGCAAGATCACTGCGAGGGTGAGGTATGGGGCGGCAGCAGCCCCAGACTCCCAACTTCCGTTAAATTAAGTTGATCTCCAGCTGCTTTAGACCAAAAGCTTTAAAACAAAATGTGAAAGCACCGTTTGAAGCAATTACTTTGTGATATATGAGACTTTTCTCACTTTCATTGTTTTAAACCAATGAATGTAGTAGAGTTTTTTTTTAATTTATCCATAATAGTAAATAGTGAAGTTATGATTCAGACCCACGGCAAAGTGAACCACATTTACGTAAGATGTTGATAGTCAAGAAATTCCAGAAGAATTTATTTCAGAATCCCAGATTGTTTACGTCACAGGTACTATGCTAAAAGTAATGTGTTAGGAATGAAATTTTATCCTTTCACCTACAAGCAGATGAAATGACTGAAACTTTAAGACAGTGGCAACCCTATCACTGAGATCGCTGGATCATCTGGATTTTTTGGATCCACAAAACCCCTCCATTTTGGGTCGCTTACCATGGTAGTGGTAGTGACTTCTCTCTCTCCCTCCCCCCCCTCTCTCTCTCTCACACACACACACACACATATACACACACCCCGTTCCACTATTTTTACCTCTACAGAATGCCATCAGAATGTGTCTAGTGTGTCCATGAATCACTGCAGAGGCATTCTGAGGAGGAAACAGGGTAGCAACTAGACTTCTGCTTCTTCAACCAAAGCCAGTGCTAGCAGCCCTTAAACAGTTTTTAAAGGACAGAGAGAAGCCACTACCAACATGGGAATTGCAGTGGCAAATCTGAAGGGACCCAGTTTCAGCTGAGACCCAGAAAAACCAAGATCTCACATCCCAGAGCCCACTAAGTAAAGCAGAGGGCTCTTTCTGCAAACAGTTTTCTTGCAGCAGAAAGCATACCCTCCACCTTACATACCGTCTGCGTAATCTTCTCAGAGCCATCTCATGAGATCTCAGACAGCCCCCAGCTTATGAGATCTTGGACAGCAAAGGTGGTTCAGGAGTTCTGATTTTGTGCAAAGAACGTAACCCTTGTATAAGTTGAGGGTGCACTGTATTACAGATATGGAATACTCTAGATAAGCACAGTAACTTGGAAAATATGCTATGAAGTTTTGCCCAGGGAAACAAGTATTGAAAGCAAATGGTTTGTGCCAACTGTCAAGTAATAAATAGAGTGTATCAAGCAAATAAATGTTGTTATATTTCTTTACAGCCTAATAATTCTGCAGTTGCACTCAGCTGAATTAAAAATGATCTATCTAAACTGACATGCACACAAAAACATATTGCAGCTGTTTCGTGAAGTCTCAAGCAACTGTAAACAGAACAATGTATCAGCACCACAGTGAATCAATCAGGATTGTGCAAAGGCCTGCACCAATGGAAAAACTTGTGGTTTCTTTTCTAATACAATACTCTTCCACTAGAAAAAACGACTTCAAAAAAGGACTATCACAGGCAAGTGAAAAGCTATTGTTGGATCCTAGCCACAGAATATTAACAGAATTTGTTAGATGCACATAAAAGCGATAATGGGAAATTATTGAAGTATTGTAGTATTGTAAGTGAAATGAAGGGACATCAAAGAAGAGCTAGTTGAACCACCCTCAAGTATTAATGTGGTGTTATAGTTTGGGCGGAGGGGGCCCTAAACCCTGGACATTAATAAATGACAGGATTTTGACTATTTGGAGTATTGAAGGTAAGACTGCAGGCCAGTAGAAAAATACAGGGTAAATTTCCTTTCCAAGCCAATGCCTCACCTGGGATAGAGGTGTTAATATGAGGAATTCTTGGGCCTGGGAAGACAAAGGTTGCCAAGGTAATACGGGGTGTGAGAGGGGTGATGGGGAAAGTGTGTCTTCAGCAAGGTGTGCTGGGAAGAAGGGAGAACATAGAGAGATCCACCTTGGGCAGGCTGGCTGAAGGCAAGCTGGGCGAGATGCCTTGGACTCCAGTGCTGGAATCCTGTGGGGAACAAGTCCCTCTTGAGACCATGCTGCAAAATCCCAACTCCATCTAAACTCAGGAGTAACAATGTGAATAAACCATATTTCTTACAGCTACGACAGCCTCCACCACGTCTTCAATTCTCCAAAGAAGCAGAGATCCTAGCTGAGGGTCAAGACCCCTGGAATCCCATGCATGGCTTGGCAGGGACAATATAACAATATAATGTGGCAGTAATTGGTAGGATATGACTATATATAAATTAGTAATCCTATGCAAAATAACCTAGCATAAAGCAAGACAGTGTAAATTAAGCCAACAGAGTTGTACCAGATTCACACACCATTCAGTAGTGAGGCTGCTGGTGCTCTGCCTAAGCCTAGCAGAGGGAAAGCAAGCCCTTAAAATAGTGTTCTATGCTGGGTTGACAGGTCACATGACAGAACTGAAGAGTCCACAACTGTTAGTTTCAGTATTGCTATAGCCGTGAATGCTCCCAGAGCATCAATTGATCCAAGTGGAGTGTTTCAATATGTGCGTTATGTGGAACAGGTTGCTGTTACGTGGTATGAGCCTTATAAAAAAAAACCTGAGGAATTCATCTCTCTATGGTGATGACAATAGAGGATGTGCTACCCATTTGTTGCAACTGTCTCCTCTTGAAAGAGATTATTAAAAGAAATAAGCTCGTCCATATTCACACAGGAGTATGAATGAAAATGCTTCAAGGTTTGAGTTAAAGAGACTTAGCCATTTAGTGGGATTGTTGATCAGTCAGCATTTACTTTAAATGCTTTAAAACCCTCTATCTCACAAAATTTGTATAACAATGAGATGCCAACCAAGAGAAGTGAATAGAGCAATCCTGAATTACAGCTAAGGTTTATCATTTACTATCCAATCCTTTGAAATGGACATAACAACCAATACCTTAGGTTCTTTAGTATAGGATGAAAAGAATTAGTGAGGTTAATTTTCCTAACCTATTGAGGGTAAATATGAAGACTGTATTATATGCGGACAGGATTAGAGGCAAAAAGACTAATCATGACTAATACAAAGGGTGACTTCAAATATTGAAACATCTGTCAGATAAAGGGATTGTCAATGCCGAAGACTGATGAGTTCAATAGAAATGGCAGTATCTCTTTGAACAGTGCTTCTGATAATATGTTGACAGTTCATTAACATCACTGTCATTTGTCAAGTACTAGGAGACTTGTACAACGTGGGTGGCGCTGTGGGTTAAACCACAGAGCCTAGTGCTTGCCGACCAGAAGGTTGGCGGTTCGAATCCGTGCAACGGGGTGAGCTCCTGTTGCTCAGTCCCTGCTCCTGCCAACCTAGCAGTTCGAAGGTACGTCAAAGTGCAAGTAGATAAATAGATACCACTCTGGCAGGAAGGTAAACGGCTTTTCCATGCACTGCTCTGGTTCGCCAGAAGCGACTTAGTCATGCTTAGTCATGACCCGGAAGCTGTACGCTGGCTCCCTCAGCCAATAAAGCGAGATGAGTGCCGCAACCCCAGAGTCGTCCGTGACTGGACCTAATGGTCAGGGGTCCCCTTGACCTTGACCTTTAGGAGACAGCAGTTTGCATGGCTTACATTGAGTTACTATATGACTACAGGATATTTCTCACTTTGGCTTGTTTGCTGGCATGGAACAAGAATGGGTTCTTGTCCAAAAGTCTTCTTTTATTAGAAATATAAAATCTGAAGTCAAACTTTTTAAAAAGTCTGCCACTATTTATAAAGTAAAATTAAACATTTTATAATCAGTGTTTGACAAGACTCTGTATTTCATTGTTTACCCTAGTATATTCGTTCATCGACTATGGCACAGTACACCAGGGTAAATAGTAACATAAGGTCGTTATATAGCAAATTATCAGTACATTCTCTGACACACATGATGCCAAGTAATATTTTAATCCCAATAAACAACCAAATAGACGGCTATCAATTAGAAATGGAAATATTCTCTTATTGATCAGTCTCTGTTCAGCTTTCACAATCATAAATTGCACTGTGGTCAAGAGTACTTAGTCCACAAACTATATTTTGAAGATGACAGAAAATAAATGAAAAGTTGCTTCATTTGCCATGGGGTTTTTTGTATGGCATACCTAATCTAGTTTGTTATTCTAATTCTTACAATAGAAATTGTAGAAAGCATTGAATTTGTTATAAAAAAAAAGAGCATGTGTCACTCTTGGAACTGAAAAGATTCAGTAATGTATGAAAGCATCCTTAGAGAGCTTGTCCAAGATGTTGGGTCTAACAAAACTAAATACCACAAAATTAGACCCACATAAATACACACACATTATTTTACCTTGCTGCGTTGGGATCCTGTGACCTTAGGGAAAGGCGAGGATAAGAAGTGAAATAGCAATAAGAAAAAAGTGTCCAAAGTACTCCAATGATAACTGATCAACCAAATATATATTTCATAAAAGAACTATCCCTTGCTTCCACGTCTCTGCAGGCAACTTAAAACAGAAAAACTAAAACAAGGAAGAAAAGTCTGAATCTACTTTATGCAGTTATTCAGTTAGTCCTTTTCCTCTACACAACAACTTTTCTTTTCAAAATTAGAATGAGATATTAAAATTTTCCTAACAATAGCATTAATGACTTCCAAATGTGCACAGTGACAGATACGGAAGCTGATTAATCTACTTTTTTCCCTTTTCTTGGTCACTGGCAGTTTCTTTAATTCAGCCATAATTCTGCTGGATGCATCTTGCTAGGATACTCTAGAAAGATATTCTGCAAAAAGTACTTTAAAATATGTAAAAAAATTTACTAAGATTTATCACAGACATATAAAAGACCGAAACAAACTAGTTAACAAAACAAACAAATGCAGTTCATGGACAACAATGATTAGTAATAGTGAACAAGGATGATGGGAGAAGACAGGGAGAGGGAGACGATAAAAAACAACAGTTATACATCAAAATAATATTTAATGTGTTTTTCACAGTCTCTGTGAACTATTTCCATTTTACTGATGAAGAAAGAGGAACACAAAAAGCTTTCCTTCTACATTTACCCAAATAATCTAACAGTGCACAAATCAGCACTTTCTGATAGTAGTCAGCATTTATTTATTTTTAAGTATATGTCCACCATATCTACTAGGCAACATTCCAAGTGCTGCTTGCATGTTGTCTTCTATGAAGGAGAATGACCCATGAACAAACAGATTCCTTACTGAGTACCTAAGAATATTCCTTTGATCATATTTAAAAAAATGGGAAGCCCCTGAATACGAGCATTTAGGAGGTGGAAACTGTGCAATCTGATCTCTTTATTTCAATTAAATAAATAACACTTTTTACTATATTTAATTTCAATTAATGGCCAATATCACATGTGCTGTAAACTATATACATCACTAAATACTTTTACATATCAAAACAAAAATGCTTCATGAATGTTCTTAATGAATGTAGGAAATAATTTTTCTTTAAAAACCCACAAACTAACACTTGTAACGTATCTACCTCCAGGACCTTTATTGGATGTAAATAATATCCTCTGTATCTCTAACATGTGAGATAACAATATCCCTTAGATTTTTAATAACTCGGTTAATTGTAGTTATTGACTTATCACACTGACTCGTCTCCCAAGTTTGCATGAGAAAACTACCCAAGTTCTATTTTTATTTTTTTAAATGCAGTGTTTCAATGATAAAGCATTTCAAGAAGATTGTTGCCCCCTGAAATAATTTATCCCTACCCTTCTGTGTGCAAGATAGGATATTACACCAGTTGAGTCTTGAGAAACACATTGATTTTGATTGTTGGCTAACAATAGCCTGGTTAATCTATGAAATTATACACTGGTAATGAATAGAGACATAGAATCATGTAGAGGCGAAGACAAATTAAACAGGAACAAAAAAATTGCTAAGTGGCAAGGAAATCCTAGAGGATTGTGGTGAGTAAAATCCCACAGGGTTTGGTTGTGTCCTGCCAGTTTGCTCCTACTCAGCATGTAAATAGGATTCTCTGGAAAATATATTGCAGAAATGTAGAATCCAGGGTCATTAGTATGATAGTGAGTGACACCTCTTCAACCTAGGGCTCTGTTTCTCTATTAATTATCTTGCCATAATTGAGTACTGGATATAGGAGAGGTGACTGCTGCTGAAACCAGACCAAAATAATGGTGAGCTCAGAGACTTTAGAAGAACAGGCAATTCTTAGCCTTGAAGTTCTCCTAGATCAGCCACTTTCTTAGAAACATTGCAGTGAAATCATGAGGATGTTACTTCTTATGAGAAGACCAAGGAACAATTCCTGTGAAACTTTGTACTTGGGCATGAAGACCAAAGTACAAAATATGTGAGTGGCATATCCCTTTGTACATTACCTCCATTCCTGCTTAAAACACATGTATAGCAGTAGGGTCCCTGTGCATATTTGTTTAAAGAGAGAAGAATGGGACTAATATGAGATGCAGGCACCGTTCACATTTCAATCATCCTTCATGTGTTTTGACATTGGGTACAAAATGTCTTGCAGGGACCACCTCTCCTGGCTACCTTTTCCAGCATCTTTCTATCCACAGGAGTAGAGGAAACATTCACCCTCCACAAAAGATGGAAGGGAAATTCACTTTATTTTGGGGTGGCAGAAGAAAGTTGAAGCAACAGGAGGGTTTTGTAAGGAAAGCCAAATCCTGTCCTTCCAACTGAAAACTTCATAGAACTTGAAGGGGCCTAACTTTAGTAATAAAATCTACAAGCAACTACCTTTGCTGGTACTTGGAGCTTTTGGATTATGCAGATTACAGCAACACACCTCATAATGGGCACTTACAGGAAGGAAGATACTGGAAACAGACTGCAACTGTGCAGCTACATCTTCACTGATCTTCTCTTGCCTTTTGAGCACTATTCTATGTGCTGATCTTGGCCTAGAAAACATTTTACATACTGCATCTAACGGACGTGATGGTACATCTTCTACCTAATATCAAGCTACAATCTCTAGGATCATGTTTTAAGATTGCTTGTATGCATTTGGAGAGCAAGGGCACTGTGTTTTGTCTATTTACAACTTTTGCAAAGAATACTTTCCAAATGGCTACATTTTAAATGTGGAACAACATTCCCATCAAAGCCCTCACTAGTGTATTTTGAAAGCAGTGTAAAATCTGATCATTATTTTGCTTTTAGTGGTGTGGTATTCAAACAGATAAAATGGAAGGATAGTTATGCTATGTCTAAAGGTCATTAAATATAGAAAACCATGAACCAAAAAATGCTAGTTAGATGTTATGAAATAATGTACAATATAAAACGTAAGATGTAAACAGTAATAACAATCTTACTTCAAAACTCTTGACTTCCTCTTCATTATCATCATCTTCTTCATGGCAGCTCTGAAACCACGTGAAAAGAACACCATACTTACAAATGAACTTTTAAAGTCAAATTCTCTTGTTTTACTGAGAAAAATCTCCCACTTAAAAAATGTGCTAAGTACATACTGTGCAAAGCCCAAAGTCACACAAGTGGACTACCCCTCACCAAATGGTTTGCCCCTTCCTATTTTCTTCCCTGAAGTCTTCTATGTTTCATGTAATATGCTCTGGAGAGTCCCCAACCCCTTGGAGCAGTGGGAAGAAAAAGAAAGGGAATCCCCATTGTGCAGTACTCAACAACTGGGTCTTTTACAGTGCTTGTGTGTGTTTATAGTGATAAACAAACTACCTTGGGCTCAGTTTTTAACTGAACTCAGCCAACAGATATATTTTACTCAAAGAAATTATACCAGCTGCATAACAGAGTCTGATCCCTACCCCAAGACCCACCAAATACCATTTCTTTTAGCCCTTTACCTGCTTGTGGCTTTCAGATGCCCTGGGAAAATTACATTTCTCAAAGCTCCTAGCATATTGCAAACATTGGAGTGAGAGACACTTATCCCTCCCAACCTGCTACTGTAACCAGTAAATGGTGGGTGGGATGAGTCAGATTAAAACCTGAGTTAGAAAAGGATATGGGGAATCATATGGGGAATGATTTTTAAGGTAAGCATTGCGAGTCAACAAGGTTTGTATTTAGAGTCAAACATTTACAAAACTTGACACCGCTACTAGAGATTGGGTGAAAAAAATGAAGAAAATACCTTTGCCATTATATCAGCATACGCCATATAAAGATAATCCTCTTCCAGTTTACTGTAGTGTAATAAAATAAAGAATAACTGGTTACTGTTTATCATAAAAGAGACAATTGTTACATACCCATGAAGGGTGCTCAACGTGACATCAGGTAGCAGTTACTCCTAGTGGTGCAGGCCGAACAGATCACTGTCCAACTTTGACAAGGCTTCTGATGTTTTGCTGTGTCTATAGCCAGTTCTATGGTGGCAAGCCACCTTGGCCGTGAGTCCTGGAAGACCTGCTTCCTGCCTTGCAAGCCTGTTTTCGTCTGGCCTGGCAAGACAGGGCCCTGACTGACTCTAGCTGCAGAAGCTGAGACTACTTAACAGACTCTTAACAGATTCACTATTGTTTAGTGAATTTTGGTGGGGTGAGAGGTGTTTGTTGCTCTTACTGAAAAGTGGCAAACAAATAAAAAATTCCCTCACATTATTTTGCCTGTTCTCCTAGAATATGGTTTTCAGCAAATGAAATATAAACAAACAAGGTCCTAAGGACAATCGTAATACCAAAATATTCAGTTAGTAATTGTTTTGTGCTTGTACTTCAGTAACAGAAGAAAAGACATCAACATCTTTCAAAATTCAACTTTGCTCAACTTTAGCTAAAACATTTTAGTTGAAATAGCTATAGCCTTTTCTCTCTCAGTGATGAGTATTTTTTTAAAAAAGAGAGATGAATTCAAAATTAATTGGTATTTATACTTCACAACCCCATTCAAAATCCTAGGAGGGAAATAACTGAAGAACAATTAAAACACTGTGTTATATCCAACCAAGACATATTCAGAGCACACCCGCTGAAATCAATGGATCATGGCTAGTCCAGTGATTTCATTGGGTCTACTCCAATATTGATTTAGTACAATACAATTCTATGAACTGGCCCTAATTTATTTACATTTAGCCCATTACTATTTCCAAGTGAACTAAAAATGCAGATCTGGAGAGAAAACAATTAATGAAAAATCATAAATATCCTCCCTCTCCCATCACTCTCACCATTTTTCAGTTAATGCTGTTCGACTGAACAGTAAAATAAGCTGGTGCAAAGGATCAACTCTCTTAATACATTCATCTTCTTCTGGTGGTTCTTCTCCAGGTTTCTATTAAAAAATATGAAAACATCAAGATTTTAAATAATTGATAACTTGTAAATGTGTTTATGTAGAAGTCTTATTCATATGGCATCAAATTTACTTCCATATAATTGGACTTAAATGAGGGATGCTTGAGGAATTTGTTCTTTTCAATATGAGCTGAACTAATCCACATGCCTCAGACTAATGTGTGGATCAGAACTCAGTTGTCCAAAGACTTTCCCCTTTCCCAAATATTATGTCAAAGCTCTTGACTAAAAAAACATCAAACTATGCAGTGTCTTTTTTTCTTTAAAAAATGTTTAGGGATACTCTCATTTTCCTACTCATATTGAAATACTGCCCCTCAATGAGGCCAAACTTAGATCCACAAAATTTTTAGGGGTATGCGTTGCGTACCCCTGCATCCCCCCAGAAAAAAGCACTGAAACTATGTTTTAAAATAGCATGTTACACCGTCTGATAGCTACAAGAACCTGTGAGTCCCTCTGCACAAGAGTCACCAATAGGATTTTTAAATGGCTTTGCTATGGTCTCTTGAGAGTCTAAACTTAATCACATTGGCTAAAGTTACAGATAGGTAGCCGTGTTGGTCTGCCATAGTCAAAACAAAAAAAATTCCTTCCAGTAGCACCTTAAAGACCAACTAAGTTAGTTCTTGGTATGAGCTTTCGTGTGCATGCACACTTCTTCAGATACACTGAAACAGAAGTTGCCAGATCCTTCTATATAGTGAGAAGGTATTACTCAGAAGAGGCTCATCTCAGCTATCTGCCAATCACCCATTCCCACCACCCTTCTGAGTAATACCCCTCCCACCTTCTCACTATATAGAAGGATCTGGCAACTTCTGTTTCAGTGTATCTGAAGAAGTGTGCATGCACACGAAAGCTCATACCAAGAACTAACTTAGTTGGTCTTTAAGGTGCTACTGGAAGGAATTTTTTTGTTTTCACATTGGCTAAAGAATTTCTAATGCCAACTGATGTCCATAAAAGAAATAACCACAGCCTCATGTCTGGTTGAAATAATTTTTATCTGAAAATCACATTGCTGCTTGCTCATCACAGCTCCAAGCATGGAACTGGGGATGTGACTACATTATCTTCCCCCACATTTCCTTCACTGCCTCCAGTTTCCTGCCTCTCTGGATCTTACTTGCTGAAGCAGGTATTTTAGTCCAGCTGTTCAAAGTTCCTTTGCAGGGCTCCCTCTTGCCTGCTTTCCTGACGGTTTCCACTTGATCCAGGAGTTTCAATGTGCCCTAGATTTAGGGACTGGGAAAGGTATATTTTGCTCCCTGTCCTAAGAATATGGTTGATCAGGCCAATGGCCCAACAAATCTAGCAGCCTGTTTCACAGTGGCCAAGCAGATGTCTGCAGGAAACCAGCAAGAAAGACCAGAGCACAAGAACACTCTCCCCTCCTTTTGCTTCCAGCAATTGGCGGCATATTCCCTGACGTTGCCACCTCTTGGAACTGCCATGCTGTGCCCAGCAATTGCCCTCAACATCAACAAAAGGTTTTAAATACCATGAACTGCAAACATACTGCTAAATCTTCTATCAGTGTGTCTTCAAAGTAGTGGTCTTCTGTTTCCACCCACGACTTGTCATATCCTTGAAGAAAGAGATTGACAGCTCGATGCCTGAAAAAGAAAAGGGAAAGTAGTGTGTATGTATGTGTATATGACCATTCCATATTAGTCTAAAATTTTGAACATACAGAATAAGCAAAATAAATAACTACAACTGGTGAACAATTTAAAAAAGAGGTCTTTGTTGTTCCTTCCATAAAGCTTATTATGAATTAACTGGATATGAGGATTCATTGACTATAAGCATGATCTGAAACTACATGTCACCTTTCCTCCCTTCTATAAAGTATTGACTATAAGAAGATATAGATAGATGATAAGTAGATGATAGATAGATAGATAGATGATAGATAGATAAATAGATGATAGATAGATGTGTGTGTGTGTTTCATGTTTTGTGGAATGTGATCCAATTTTGAAACTGATTTCTGATATTATAGTTTTCATTCTCACTGCATTACATTGTACACTGCTTAGAGAGTATTGTGATTAAACATTATATACATTGTCTAAATCAGTAAATAAAGTAAGAAGCCTGTACTCTACGTGGGGCTGCCCTTGAAACTGACCCAGAAACTCCCAGCAGGTGCAGAATGCCGCGGCGAGACTCTTTACATGGTCCTCACCACAGGATCACATTCACCCAGTGCTATACCAGCTGCACTGGCTCCTGCTGGAGTACAGGGTCAGGTTTAAGGTGCTGGTTTTTAACGTTTAAAGCCCTATACGGCCTAGGACCCTCATACCTATGGGACTGCCTCCTCTGGTATGCCCCACGGAGTACCTTACAGTCTGCAAACAACAACACTCTGAAGATCCCGGGTCCCAGGGAAATTAGACTGGCCTCAACCAGAGCCAGGGCCTTTTCGGCCATGGTCCCAGCCTGGTGGAACGCTCTCTCACAAGAGACTAGGGCCATGCGGGATTTGACATCTTTCTGCAGGGCCTGCAAGACAGAGCTGTTCTGCCAGGCCTTTGGCCAGAGTGCAGTCTGACCTATTTTCCTTTTTATAAGAACAAGCATGAAGGGGGCCTCCCAGGCTGTTCACAGGTCCTTATATGATCAGTGAAAGCAGTTGGTCCTGGCAAGTATTAACCGCTCTCAATCTTAACCTGATAACTGCCATTTGTCCAGATTTTAATTTGTCTGAATTAATTTTAAGATGTATTTTAATTAATTGGTGCCTGTTTTTATGTATACTGTGTTATTTATATGATGTTAGCCGCTCTGAGCCCGGCTCTGGCCGGGGAGGGCAGGGTTCAACTAAAAATTATCATTATCATTATCATTATTATGTTTCTTTTTGCAAAGTACAAGCAGAGAAGCCAATAAGGCTTGCAGAGCCTGACTGGGAGCCGCTATGATTGGTCTGATCACCCACAATAATTTTTAAAGGAAGTGTATAGCCAACCTGCTAGGCATTTTTAAAGTTAACCATCTTAGTTCCTTGTTCAATTGTATTCCCTCATTCACCCCTCCCCTCCTAGTTAGCAATATACCTAGGTGGACAGCAATATAATATACACAAATCTGCATGATCACACGCACCGTGGAAGATTATATAGTGGTGCCATTCTGAAGCAAGCCACCACCGCTCTTTTTCTCTGTTTAGATAGAAGTTTATGCCATACTGCTTTTTTTGATCTCTGAGGATGCTCAACCTGTAGCACACATAGAAACAGAAAACAGAAATTAAACACCTCTTCTAGACTGTTGCTTCATTAAAAAAAAATAATTAAAACCTCATAACAGTTGCAGGCCAAAAATACTATTCTGAAGTATGGTGTTAGCTTCTTATTGGTTCATCTAAAATGCCCTAAGCCTAGAACACAGTGTGCCCCCCCGCCAAATTATCCCCAGTTAGGACATTTTGCTCTATTGGTTTTTAAAATGTTAAGAAATATTATATGCAATACTATGCATATAATTTGCTTAGTATGTGCAATAACCAAATGCATATATATGCAGTATATGCAATAACCAAATGTTATATAAATGGCAAAATGAAAACTTTTAAAAAAGGTTTTGGTCATCCCCATTCAAACCTTTACCAGAATATTATGGCCACAATCTAGAAAATTATGCCCCCAGCATAATTTGAAAACATGTTTCTTGAACAACCGCTCCCCTGTTGCCCCACAGGAAACTGCTTTTAAAAATTAGATTTCAGAAGTCATTTGTGATACAGCATGCAAGTCTGCTGTCCAAAGGAAAACAAAGCAGATGTTCCACAGGAAACATGGAAGATTTTGGATATGCTTAAAGTTATCTGGAATATAGCTTACTACTTCTAGTAGTGGTGGTAGATGAAGGGACTAGCAGGGGGAAAGCTTTTCTTTTTAACTTCCCCACTTCTAATTTGAAAAATAAATAGTTCAGAAAACATTTAAACTACCCGTGGCATACTTGTTTATTTTGTAAGAAAGATCAAGACCATTAAAAAGAATTTAATGTTAATTGGAGTTAAATAGAATTAGCTAAAACATAAAATATAAAGAAGGTTACAAATGTTACGTACATTGGTCACCACAGATTTACTTGGGAAACAATATTGGTCTTTATAGTTAATCAAAAGATAGTACTTCAAATCACATGCTGGTGAGGTCACTTTTAAATTAAAGAACAGATCTCTGATAAAAGAGACAAATTTACCCAATTACCATGGGGGGGAAACACATAAGGATCATACTGTGAATACGGAAACAGTCAGGCAAAGAAATCAAAGCACCCTTTGGAGGTAATTGTGTATTACAACTGTGTATTACAAAACAACTCTCAGTGCAGAATAAACAAATGTCGAACAAGCATGTTATGAGAACGGGCATTTAAAAATGTGATTTAAAATATAAGTTAAAAGACAGAAATATATTCATAGGTAAAAAAAACTATTAATAGGTAAAGCTAACATAATTAGCAGTATGAAAAGACACTCCATACTTCCCCTTTTGAAAAATTTTCTGCCCCGACTAGGGAATTTCTGGAAGTAATAATAAAAAGGAAAGTAATAGATGAAGCAAAAAATGAAAGACCAAAACAATGTAGTTTATGTCACATATAGATAAAAGAAAGCTTTGGAGAAAAGTGGAAAACATTAAGACTTGATGGCTTTTGATTTAGGGCCAAACAACACACAAAGTCAAACATGTCACCTGGAACTGTGTGAATATTTTTAAAAGTGTACACAGCAGTCATTTTGGGAACCAATCAGGATCGCAGTAACATTTCCTTGTGCACTGTGTAGTCTCATGAACAACTCCAAAGCTGCTAATTGGCAAGGGAGGGAAGCTCTATTATTGTGTCAGTGGCATGTTTCAGAACATAACTGCAAAAAACCAGCCTAACTGGGAGCATTAAATCAAGTTGACTTTATTCTGGTGGTATGTGCCGTTAAATTGTTAATCTCCTACTCATGGGCAGCATGGAAGTTTTAAATGAAAGCTAAAGAAAATCATTGAGTTATGCCAGCAAATACTGTGGATCTCTGTATTGAAAATACTTATGTATGCACTTCCTAGTTGTTTTTCTGTAAAATACACATTCTGAACAAAATAGATTCATGTGTCCATAATATTTTCTCACTGTACTATTTCTTGCTGTACTATTGTGGTAGGAATCCCAGAATCCCAAATTGTCACAATGCTACAAAAAGTATATTTGAAAGCCGTAGTTGAGAGCCTTTTAAAAATAGACTTTAAGAATATTAAAATATATATCTAACCTGTTCCAGATGAAAAAGTACACTAGCTATATCCAGGACCCTTTCCACCGTCTTCTCTGGATCTGAAGTAACTTCAGTCCTGTTTGGTAGATCTTTGTAAAGAGCAACCTGCCACCTAATGGCGGGATCTTCAAGCTGTAGTAAGAAGGGATTTTATGAAGAATGTAAGCATTAAAAATAAGTATCAACTTGCTAGGACCAATATAAACCATTCTTCTAACCAGAACTAGCCTACATGGGTTGCCAAGACTCCCTTGTCAAGTCTTATCCAATTTTTTCTCCAGAATTACTAACCCTGGGCAAATCATCAAGTAGCAAGATACAGCCTACAGCAGGGGACAATTTATATAACTTACACCTCCGAGACTAATACATGGACCAAAATATAGCTATCCCTTCGGATTTCAGACTTTTCCAAATTTTGTGATAGAGTTATTGGCTCAAAAAAGTACTGAAAGGCTTAAAAGCACATTTTAGAATAATATATTTTTAGAAATCTCAGTTAAAATACATATTTAAATATTTTTACAATAAAATACATATTGGAACTACAGATAGACACACACACACTGCAGATTAATGTGGAAACGGAGTGGACAAGTGCAAAACTGACATGAACTGGACCAATCCATCCATCCCTACCTCCAGATGTTGTTGAATGACAACTCCCATCATTCCTAACCACTGTTCATGTTGGTCGGGGCTAATGAGACTTTGAATTCAACAACATCTGGAGAACCACAGGTTCCCCACCCTTCTCAAAGGGAATAACATTGCCTCCTCACTGGAGGACAACCAAAAAGCTGTTTTAACTTTCTAGTCCTTTACCTTAAAAGTTCCAGCTGCTACCATGGTAGCATGATAGATAATGAGTTTCAGTGGTCCCTTGGTTAAGGGCAGATCATAAATAGCATTATAAAACTTCTTAAACTAGGCCAGTACTATTTCAAAGCAGGAGTGTCTACCTTATTGAATACAGCAGGGCTTAGTTCTGAATAAACATTCATAGGACCACGCACAGTGATGCAAGAAGTGGCCAAAAAAAAAAAAAATAGGACCCCTGAACATTAGGTCCAGTCGTGGCCAACTCTGGGGTTGCGGCGCTCATCTCGCTTTATTGGCCGTGGGAGCCGGCATACAGCTTCCGGGTCATGTGGCCAGCATGACTAAGCCGCTTCTGGCGAACCAGAGCAGTGTACAGAAACGCCGTTTACCTTCCCGCCGGAGCGGTACCTATTTATCTACTTGCACTTTGACGTGCTTTTCGACTGCTAGGTTGGCAGGAGCAGGAACTGAGCAACAGGAGCTCACCCTGTTGCGGGGATTTGAACCGCTGACCTTCTGATCGGCAAGTCCTAGGCTCTGTGGTTTAACCCACAGTGCCACCCACAAAGTGGCAAGTGAACAGCAAATAACAGATAAGAGCCAGATGCCGGCATGAATGAGGCCACAACTTAATTGTCACAGAAAGAAGAGATTTGGTGTAGGCATGGATTGAATGATCAAGCAGCCTGTAGGTTACTCTCTTGTACATAAGCTTGCAAACATAAAATACACTATTTCCCCCAACCATGCCTCTAATCTACTCCTCATCGCTGTCATGCAGATACCAAGCAGTCAATATCTCCATTATCTCAAAGACAGAACTTTTCAGTAGCTTAACACTTCCAACTGCTGTAGGATAATTAGCCTTCCAGATATACAATATAATTTATTGTATATTCCTTTCATATATAATAATAATAAATAATAATAATAATAATAATAATAATAATAATAATATCTTTATTGTCATTGCCCCTCTCGGGGACAACGAAATTACTTACTTATATATATATATATTACTTATATATTGTTCACTGCTCTGAGGAGCTTTGGAGCAAAAAGTGGTGGGCGGGTGTCTGTGCATGTATATTAGGATTATTCATTAATTTATATACTGCTTAATACCAGGATGGCTTTTAAGACATACCTAGGAATCATATTAAAATATGTCTTTAGTATATTACAGTGATTCAGAAATGGTTCTGCACAGCAGTAGCATGGTGTGGAGGCATTAAAATAAAAAAGCTCTCCATCCGTCATGTAGATTGCAGAGTTCCTGTGCAAGGGCCAGTTGCTTCCCAAAAATATGCAGTAGTGTCATAGAAACTTTCCAGTTGAGGGTGTAATGTATGTATGTAAACATATCTAAGCAACTCTTACATATTACAGCTACTTCAAAGAGCTGCTGCCACACAAAAGTGCTTCCAGCAGATGAGTGAAACTTTGCAAAGGTTAATTGCACTAAGCCAGTAGCATACTACTCCAAACAAACCACAATGTGAAGCCAAAGTCTGTTTGAGTGCAACCATCACAATCCCTGGTTCACAAGTAACACCAAGTCAAGGACAGTGATTTGTTGCTCCTTCTAACATTAGGGAAGGAGCAAAGCAGAAGTAATCTGTGAGTACAGTCTATAAGTAGAAAACTAAACTGGATATTCCTAAACTATGTGCTTTAACCTAAAAGGCCATTAAAACAGCTACACAAAAGTGTGTTAATTACTATGAAACAGGGCAAAGCATGAGATATATGACTCTTTTTTAAAAAAAACCACCTCAGCTACATAGATGGTATCCTGAACGCCATACAGAAGATGCAAGGGTGACCAAGATGCAATACTTTAAAATTACCTTGCCCTGTAAGTGAAGGTTATTACGTATAATATCTCGAACTTCATCTTCTGTGTCTTTCTGCCAAGAAAATATACATATTATCAATAGGTTCATTTTGTTACAAGCATGCAGTTCTGAAAATACTATGTAACAGATCTGTAAGTTAATCATATTGCCAGCAGTCAAAACAGAACTGGTTATATTCTGAATGGTGGTGGTAAGACAGTATATGGCATATTAGATTGTAGTTTATTCTGTTACTAATATCTGCCTTAGGTGTGGGTAGCAATTGCCCTGTTAACTGTGGAAACAACTGTAGTTTTGCATGTGTTTCCTTTGAGTATGGTGTGCAGAAGACCTCCAGTGCTTTTGCAAAACATTTAAAAAGAATACTTGGGGGGGGAATCCAGTTCTCACTCATCCAAGTCATTTATAAAGATGTCGAACAACAAAGGCCCCAGAACAAAACCTTGCAGCACCCCACTTGTCACTTTTTTCCCAGGATGATGAGGAACCATTAAAGGGGGCCTAGTTGAAAACTGTGGTATTTGTTTCATATCCCTGCCTTCATTAAACTTTGCAGTGCGGCCCTACATATATTAAAAAAGTGATCCCCGCTCTATGCATCCTGTCTGCAGTATCCAAATCCTGTTTAGTGATGGTAAAACCACATCATTTTTATGCGGTCAATTTATGAAGTGGGTGAGTGAGTGACGGGGCTGTGATGGGGCATGGCTGATTCACCACTGGCTCCTTCCCATAAGTAAGCCCCATTCAGTGCAAAGGAACTTCCTGCACCCCTTTGCTGCAACCTTGCCTCTTGCATGCAGGTGCCCCGTGCTACTGGGAAATGTAGCAGCTACCAACACACCTGAAAGCAAGAAGCAAGCAAAGTTGAAAAGCAAGGAGAGAGGATGGACTTGGGGCTTCCTCGGTCATGCACTCCTACTCACTGAGAAGCTACACTGAGTGCAAAGGGACTTTCTTTCAGGTAAATCGGCCCAGAAAGGAGAGGAAGTTGCGCTTGGAAATGGACAGAAACTTAAAGAAAATGAGGTGGGGGAGTTGAGGACGACACAATCTGGTTGTGGGCACTGCAGAGAAATCTGAGACAAAGTAAGAAACCACATATGCCAAACACACCTCGCAGGATAAAGCGTTTTCCCTATAGAAATAATTATGAAGAATGGCAGGTATTGAAAAATATATAGGACAAGTAAGAGGGAACACATCACCTCTCTGCCAACCTAGATATAAAAGCAGATCTATATAGTCAACCTACCATACTTAATCTGTTTTTTGCCAGTGCAATTAGTTCTTGGTCACCAGGGGCACAAATATTTAGCCCAACAGGCAGAAGTCTTTTTAAAGCTGCCACAATAAGGGAAGTCTGTGTTGAATAACGATCACCTTTCCGCTTCATTTTTTTCCTTTCCTGATCAGAAACAGCTGCCTGCAATATATAAGAAGAAATCCATTTTCAGGTTGTAAAAAGAACAATTGGTCTTACCTGAAGTGTAGTTTTGAGAGTGGGGCGTCGTATCCAATGGAATGGAATGGATGTTCACCCTGTTGTGAGACACTAGACAGGAGCAAAGACTTGTGGGAAGTAGGCTGGACTCCCTCAGTTTTCTGGATTTGCCAAGCCAAGTACTGACAGAGTCCATAAAGAGAAAGAAAAGACCTGCCTACTTCCCCCTTCTGGAAATTTCTATAATAAAATCTCTAAATTGCTAAGTATCTGAATGGCAAGGAAACCCAACACAAGGAATGTGACAAACTAGCACTCGGGTTAGGACATATTCCTCCCAACAGTGTATAGCAGAGCACCCTAGGGTTGGGTCCATTGGATACAATGCCCCACTCTCAAAACTACACTTCAGGTAAGTCCAGCTGTCATTTTTAGTTTGTGGGGCGTCATATCCAATGGAATGGGACATACCACAGCTGAGTCACCAATTCAGGCAGGTCCCATCTCTGCAATACACTGACTATAATACATGTTGGAACACCATAGGACCCAAGGCTGCCTGAGCTGAGGACAGCTGGTTCAATTTGTAATGTCTGGTAAAGGTGGAAGGTGCCAACCAGGTAGAAGAAGAAGAGTTTGGATTTGATATCCTGCCTTTCACTCCTCTTCAGGAGTCTCCCCCCACAACAAACACTCTGTGAGGTGAGTGGGGCTGAGAGACTTCAAAGAAGTGTGACTGGCCCAAGGTCACCCAGCAGCTGCATGTGGAGGTGCGGAGGCACGAACCCGGTTCACCAGATTACGAGACTACCGCTCTTAACCACTGCACCACACTGGTAGCTGCCCTACAAATGTCCAACATGCGCCAAAGCATGAGATGGATGGGGTAATTTAAGGGAATGATAAGCCAAGAAAATGCAGGCCCTAATCCATCTCGCTAAGGTTGCTTTGGAAACTTTAACCCCTAAGGTAGACGAGTGAAAGGATACAGAGTCATTATTTTGGAAGGATTTTGTATAATATAAGTAGACTTTGAGAGCTCTGTGCATGTCCAGGGAGTGCCAGGCTTGCTCCTTAGGATGTTTTGGATGTGGACAGAAAGTTGGGAGAATCAGTTCTTGTTGGACATGGCACTTTCAAAAGGAAGGAATGGTCTGAACGTAGCACCATCTTATCCTTGTAGAAAATACAAAGATGTTTAGGTGTAGAAAGGGCTGAAAACTCTGACACTTGGCATGCCAAAGTGATTAACACCAAAAAGAGAACTTTGAAAGAAAGGATAAGGGAAATCTAAAGAAAAGGGGGGCTACGTTCTTGTTGTTGTTGTTGTTGTTTAGTCGTTTAGTCGTGTCCGACTCTTCGTGACCCCATGGACCAGAGCACGCCAGGCACTTCTGTCTTCCACTGTCTCTCGCAGTTTGGTCAAACTCATGCTAGTAGCTTCGAGAACACTGTCCAACCATCTCGTCCTCTGTCGTCCCCTTCTCCTTGTGCCCTCCATCTTTCCCAACATCAGGGTCTTTTCCGGGGAGTCTTCTCTTCTCATGAGGTGGCCAAAGGGGGGCTTCAGAAACTAGTAAAAAACTTAGCTGAGTCAGGAGAGCCGGGAGGAACATACTGTCTGCATCTAGACAGGAGGAAAAACTTCCCACAAGTCTTTGTTCCTGTCTAGTGTCTTGCGACAGAGTGAACACCCATTCTGTTCCATTGGATATAACGCTCCATGAAATAAAATACAAAAACAGTCACCTATTCAATATAGTTGACCCCCAAAAAGGGGGCACGGGAGGAAAGATTATAACACAACAAAAACCAAGACTCTAAATGGAATCGGGACTAATTTTTATCATTCAAGCATTTGTTTTAAAAAGATGATGGAAACAAAGGAAGCAACAAGATTATCACAATAAATCCTACACTACTCCATCATAAACATGAGTAGTCTGGCAAGTTTTCAATATTTGCCACACTTGCGAGGAAAAGACAGATGAGCATTATGAGCAAATGTGTAATTTGGAGAAAGTTGGACTTGATTATTAATCACTTAGAGGTTTTATTACTATTAAGCAGTCTATACATTTTGTAAAATAAAGAAACCAATGGAAAAACACTTTCCAAACTAGAGGAGTTTGCTTCCAACCTATACCAATCCAAAATTCTTATTCATCTCTAAGTATTCTTAGAAAATATGGTAATGGTATAAAGAATGTATTTGAAATGTAAAAGATTATTAATTCCAAAATTGTTTTTGCCGCAACAATTTAAAGCAAAAAGGAGATTGGTCAGTATATGTTGGGAAAATTCCATACAACTTCTGTAGTTTTATATACCTTTGACATCTTGGACTTTGTATCGGTAATAAGGAAAGACATGTTGTTGATTTCATTCTGCACAACGAAATTTTGTTCTTCCCTTTTAAAATTCTGAAATTGTATAAAGAATATTTTGTTAAGTACACAAATTAGAAATCAGAAGACACCCTCAATCCTTCTTACTAGTATGTGGAAGAATCAACCCACAATCCCTGGTTTAGAGTAATGTCTGAATGAAGGACTGTTTTGCTCCAAACAAACATAAAGCCAAGGTTTTTCTTACTTTACCAATCATAGTTTGAGGAAATCAAACCATAGCCTTGTTTTGGATATAATTCTGAACAAGGGGTTGTGGTTTGAGTCCTCCATGCACCAGGGAGGAGGAGTGAAACAGCCAGGTGGTTCATCATGAATGCATCTGTTAGCCATGGTTAACCACAATATCAAAACTGGGTCCTTCAAACCTTACTTCAGGACCTGTATAAAGTTTATCTTAGTCATCAAGACCTGTATAAAGTTTATCTTAGTCACTAGATTCAATTTATAATATAGTAAATTAAGCATTTAAATATAGTATAACTAACCTTTACCAGTGAACAACAGTCGTCATTAGAGATTGAACTAAATGTAGGTGCACAATTTGCAGAATCAGCAAATAAATATGACAGTGGTGATACAATACAAGCCTAATACAAATGATCTTTTTGTAACATTTTAAAATGTGGTAAATGCTGTGTATTGTATACTCTGTTCACTCTTCCTAACAATCCTGATAGGGCATGGTTGCTTCCATCTTAAGTGCCTCCACTAAGAAGTTTTGGCTTTAATTCAGGTCATATGCCTTTTTATTCACTGAATCACATCACTGCATTAATACAAACATCTGCTAGGAAATAAATGCACACTCACATATTCACTAAGGAATTGTATAAAACTGCCACCAGCTAAACAAGGTATGGACTTTTCAGAAACGACACCTTCCACAATCTCTTTAAAATTATTCCTTGTTTAATGTCTGCACAAAACCTTCCTCTCAACCTTTTGGTTCCTGTCATATTGTCTCTCTTTCCATATCCCCTACAATGATGGGCATTCTATCTGTTTTGCTATAAACAAAAACAATGCATTTACATGGGATTTTGACCAGTAAATGAATACATCAGCAACCATACGAAACAGGTCCTCTGCCTCTGGATTAGGTTCTTTCAGCCACTTTGCTCTGAAATTAAACAAAGAAAAATGTTTTCCATCACTTTTATTATTCCAGATAAAGCAGTTTACAAATTTTTCATAGAGCATTTAGCAAAGTCTGCATTTATCTTAACTTTCTGGACTAGAGATTGTACTTCCCCGCCTCTTCTCTCCATTTCTGATAAAGAGTGAGGAGTCTGGTTGTGTAATCATTCTGGCAGAGAAGAGATTACAACTTGTGGATCACAGACTCGCGGAACCCCAAAATACTGCTTTGAGGTATGTGTTTTTCCATCAAACTGTGCATAAATTTAATGAAATAAATAAATGAATAGATTTATAAGCCATGTACCTGTTGTAGTCCACAAATCTTATCAACAATGGGTAGAAGGCGTAAAGGTCCCGTGCCAATATTGTGAACTCATCTAGGATGAGGAGTTCTGCCTCCGACATATCTCCTCGGCCTTCTGCTCTTAAATGTTCTTCATCGGATATAACCATTGCAGCTTTTTTCTTCAGTTTCTCCATCAGTGGCAGAAAATGCGTTTTCAGGAGCTGAGGCTTCACTTTGCTTATGATAGGCTGAGAAAACACTATGTAAGGAATTCATTAATTTTATAGCATACTAATATATGAAACTATATGAAAAGATGTTGCATTCCCATAGTAGGTATATTATACTCCAGTGACTACTCTCTTCCTCCAAACATCTATTTCATTGTCAGGGTCCTGGTTCAGTTCAAATGCATGCAAACCTGGAATCGCCTACTGAATTCTGATCAATTCCACCTATATCCAGTCTTTTGCAAAATCTTGTCAATTCTTTGTTCCTATCACTAGAACTACTTACACTGTCTGATAATTTAGAATACCACAGCCTCTTGTCTTTGCTGGTCTTTTCCATTTAACACACTTCAATCAATTAAAATCCGTCTGCTGAAATAATCTATATTTACATTTCTCAATTTCTTATTTCTTTTTAATGTCTTGTTCAGCTTAAAATCCAGAATAGTATTAAGTATTTGCATAGCAATGGAATCCAAGCAAAAATAAATAATTCATATTATTTTTCTTTCATTTTACCTGCTAATTTCTTCATCCAGGCTCCCTCATCTATTCCCAAATTATTATGTATGATTTTCAGTATATTTCCTAGAAGGGTATTCATATGCTCTGAAGTCAAAGCTGTGCAGCACATTTCACTATTGTCAGGGTTGCTTTCTGGTCCATGCTCCCACCAGTGTGACATGTAGCTACAGAGCATAGGCAGTACAACTTCCATTACATGAGGCATTTGTGTGTAGCGAATGCCAGATTCAGCTAATTCCACAATTTCTTCCATTAGCTTCTCCAGAGAAGGAATGTTTGGAGAAAGTTCTTCTACACTGTTTGGTAAGCTAAGACCTAAAAGAAATAATATCGGTAACAATTAAAAAAAACTTACTTGACACCAATAGCGAACGAACTCTTATATTCCTGATCAGATTTTCCTTTCATACATCAGATTAGTTAAGACAAAAATACACTTTTATCCACATTACGAAGAGATGTGATTTAATATCCATTATTATTAACATCACTTAATGGTTCTTTGTTCTAATAAGTGGTTTATAATTTTTTGTTAAATATGCAAATAATATTATTTACCTTAATGCAATCTAAAAGTAAATAATCAAAATGAATTGAAAGCATATATTTGAAACCTTTGTTCAAGCAACCCTCCAAGCCATGGGAACAAACCATATTTTTTAGTGTTCCTCCCTCTTCCTACTCCTTCACTCACACATATGGCTTCATTAAATAATGTCTTACTTCATCAAAACATCAAATCATCAAACCATTACAATTACAAAATTGTAATTTGGGATCAAACTGTAACTTGCAATTCATATTTGGAAGCCTCACTCATCAGTTCAGATAATAGCTAAGTTGTCTTTAGATCAATCAAATCTCCTTATGAGTTAGAGGGGAAGATAAGAGGGAGGGGAGGATTGTGATAGAGCCTAGATTTCAAGAACCTCTGGTGCATATTTATAATGAGCTTTCACAACTATGAATTTATCACCCATGAGATCTAAAGCAGGAAATAATGATGGTTTGTTTAAAACAAGGTTAACCTCAAATCATGGTATATTAAACTGGGTTATTTTAAAAAAAACAGTTTGTTGAAATAACAATTTAGAGTTCAGATATCAACTACTGTTAATCAAAAACTAAAGTAAAAGCTTCTACTCTTCTCCTTATGCCAAAGAAGTGAGGTGTCAAGTGAGCCCAAGGCCTGCTGCAGTTCATTCTCATCACAGTAAACCATGGTTTATCATGACATTTGAACTACCAATGTATCAACCTTTTTAACAGGAAGTCACCTTGATTTCAATTGAAAACTCTGAGCTTTCCTCTCAACTCCATATTGTCCACTGAGGACAATATGCCTTTAGAAGTTTAGGCACTCGCCAAGGAACTAAGCAAATATAAAAAAGCAGCAGGCATTAACAAGTAAGAAGGTCATAAAATGAAAGGCATCTACATAAGCAGTGGTGTCTGGATAATTTATGAAATTTACGTTGGAAGCCATTTTCTGTACCTGTTCTATCTCTTGTAGTCTTGGTGTTGTAAATAGAATGTGTGTTGTGATGGTTCAGATGAGTTTCTAAGAATGCCACAGGAAAAGCACCAGCAAAAGCAGCTAGGCATTCGCCTAAAGCTGAGCGCTGCCTGCAGAATCAAAAATTCAAGTTAGAGAAGCAGCAGAAATAAATAAACCACCCACTGAAAGCTCAGGAGAATATAATTATCTTCACCTGGAACCAGAAAGCCAGTAGACACCAACTAATGTTCTCAACAGGGATATAACCAGTGAAAGAACCCTATATGCAATTACCATCCGCTTTATTTCTGAAGGCAACAGACCTCAGAGCAGGGAGCTTGATGCACAACTTAAAACACAAGGCAGGTTCACTTGATACGGCCTTTATTTATTGGGTTACACAAAAAGGGGATCAATAAACTGAAGAAAGTAGCCATTTGTTGGGTCTGTAATCCCATTACCTATGCCAGCTGAGGATGACTCTCATCAACAGCTGAAACCTCGGAAGGCAGAAAATAGCTATTACCAACGAACTAAACTTGGTCCACCAGCTGTAACTATTCCTAGGAAATTGTGCACTTGCTATTATGACACATGTCAGAGTAACCTCTAGGCTAGGCTAGACTACTGTAATGTGGTATGCATGGGGCAGCATTTGAAAACTGTTTGGAAAATTAAATTAATTCCAAAAGTACCACTGGTACCCACTTGAAGGGTAGTTTTACATTGCTTTGCATAAGCTGGACGAATGGTTAAAAGAAAGAGACAGGTCTTTTCAACAGCAGCACTCTAATTGTGGAACCCAGGAGCAGTGCATTGGTGCCCTCCTGATACCTGTGCTGCTGCTGCTGCTTAGCTGGATGGGCTAGAGCAGGGCCAGGTAGCAGCAGCAAGGTCAGAGCCATCCAGATGCACTGGCAAGACCCATAGCTGTCAACTTTCCCCCCTTTTTAAGGCAAATTCCCTTATTCCGAATAGGATTCCTCGCAAGAAAAGGGAAAAGTAGACAGCTATGGCAAGACCACTGCTGTCAATCTGATGCTTCCACCCGTTTCTTCCCCCGCCCCATCCAGGCAGACAGTGATGCCTTCCATGTCAGGAAGTTGGCTCCATGGCTCACCAGATGCACTATTCCTGTAGAAGACCTTCCTAAAGAGATCCAGAAAGACAGTCTGACTTTTTATCTTTAGAAAGTGAATCAAGAATTGTTTTGTTCCAGTAGGTCTTTGGAGACGAGCACTTTTTGATTACATAAGTGTTTATGTCTTCAATCTACTGGTCATATTGACCCCCCTCCCCCCCTTTCAGCTCTTGATTTTATATTGCTGTTGTTGCAGTTTGAAATAAATATTGTTAGCTCCACTAACGGCTCTATAGAGCTATGTTTGGCAGGATGTGAAGTTTAAAATGAGTACACAGTTTCACTGAAGTGACTGATAAAATTTCCAGATTTGCAACAGAGGCAGGATTCCACCCTAAAAGTTCACATTTTGGGTAGCGTTTTTGGTGTTTCCCTCTTACCGCTCCACATAGATACTCTTGCTTGTCCCCAGAGCATACAAGCTGGCCAATATTCTGTAACAGGAGACTTGAACATCTTCCACTAAAGAAAATGGAAATAAAAGAAAGCATTTTAAAGGCAAGTAACTTCACCGATATGCAAAACACAGCTGAGAAGGCAATGTAAATCTTTCAGAAAACCATTTTAAACAATGTTAAGTATTATGTATGGAATTATTATAATATGCAAAAGCAAAAATTGATTCTATCATGAAATAAAAGTTATATTGTCACATCAAACATACCAAGAATGAGTCTAAATTCTAGGACACAAAGGGTTGGAGCTGCGGAAAGCTGACTTTCCTGCCCCCTCCTTCCCTCTCCCTCAAGATGTCTTTCCTTAAGGGCAGGGGACCCTCCTGAACATGATGGGTTGTAGCCCAGGGAAGGAAGCGGGTTCCTGAAAATTGCATGGACGTGCCTTCCATGAGTTGAAGTGCCACTCATGGAAGGTGCCACCACCTATTTTGCAAGGATCGCCTCTTCCACCAATGTCCCCTGCACAATAGCCACCCTCATTCAGCAGGCGCACTCAACCTGAAACTGCCGGGGGAGGCAGGAAAATCCGCTTCTACCAGCCTCATTTCCCCAGATCATCTGCCGCCACCTTATTCAACCTAATTATTCATCATAAGTGGAGTGGTGGCAGCCACAGAACCCTAAATTGGCCAGCTGTTCTGGGAATCTAAATCCTGGGAGCAGGGATCCCAGGGCTGGTAGAAGGAGGAGCCAGTAGAGCAGTACAGCTGCTGCAGTCTTAGAGTTGCCATACATCCAGATTTCCCTGGACATAGGAATACAGTCATACCTTGGGTTGAATGTGCTTCAGGTTGAGTGCTTTCGGGTTGCGCTCCATGGCAACCCAGAAGTAACGGAGTGCGTTACTTCCAGGTTTCGCTGCTTGCGCACGCGCAGACACTCAAAATGACGTCACGCGCATGTACGGAAGCGGCAAAATGTGACCCACGCACGCCGTCGCATCTTACGTTCCATTCAGGATGCGAACGGGGCTCCAGAACAAATCCAGTTCGCATCCCGAGGTACCACTGTACCACAATTGGCAGCAGTGTCTGTGTGCAGAAATTGGGCAAATGTCCAAGTAAAAAATGGCATATTTTATTCTTTCCTTGATTGTGTCCAAAAAGCTCAACAACTCTGGGCAAACTACTTTGCTCAAAAACGTTTCTGTCCAGATTTTCACTGCTTGAAATGTGGCAACCCTATGCAGTCTGTGGCTTGCCTGAGCCACTCCATCCACTGCCTCTTGTCCCACTGAAATTCACAGTGCCATCTGTCCATAGTCAAACAAATGGCAGTGTGATGACATTTCAATTTTTCTTATATGTGTAGATAATCACTAATCAGAACTGTGGCAAAGGCAAAGATAGAATATTTAAGTCAATAACATTAATCCTGGGGTCTTTATGCTAAAATTATTGAGACCAACTGCAACTAAATCAAGGCACTGCCTACACTAAATGCCTGGAATATTAGTAGCCAGGCTTTATTAATGTCAAACACAAAATATTCAAGACTTGGTGATATAGAAGTACCTCATATTTCTATTTAAATACCTACGTATTAAATCTTCTCCAAATTGATGCTGTCCAATGTGTTCAAATAATGAAGATAGCACTGGCAGAAGAGCCATAGTGGTATAGTTAATTATTTGTGTCACTCCTTTTGGCTGAGTCCTAGTGTGCGTAAACTGCCCTTGCTTAAGATTCTCCATTGTCTTCTCCAGGTCCTCTGCAGCATTATCCAAAAATGTCCTCAAAGCCATCTTAACAGACTCCAATCCTGTCTTCATCACTGTCCTACATAATTATATGCACATAAAACAATATTAAATTATGTAATGTACAAAAGGAATAAAATTCCTTAGGCCCCAAAATATACAAAATAGAAGGGTGGAGACCTGTGAAAAAGCTCTTTAGCAATCCATGTAAGTGATGAGAAAAATGCACAAGAGGGCAGCAGCAGATCATGCAACTATTGCATTAATCATATCTATGGTAGATAAAATACTGTATATATCATATGGCTGTTTGAGCTGATTTTACATCAACAATATTTACACTGCATTGTTGGAACCAAAAAGGCAGGTTTATAGCTTCTAATAATAGCATAACCCAGCTATTTTGATCAAAACTGACATTTTTGAGAATAAAATGAGGTCAAATCAGTACTAAAATTTAGTGTCAAGAGGATGAAAGATGTTTCAGCATATTTCATTTATCTATTTATCTATAATGACCCATCAATGTCCACAGGGCTTTATAGAATACAAGCAAAAATGCCCCAGTTTTCACCATTTAAACCAGGCTTCCTCAAACTCGGCCCTCCAGATGTTTTGAGACTACAATTCCCATCATTCCTGACCACTAGTCCTGCTAGCTAGGGATCATGGGAGTTGTAGGCCAGAAACATCTGGAGGGCCGAGTTTGAGGAAGCCTGAAACAAAGGATTGGCTGTTTTCATTAGGGAATAGGCATGGGCATGGGCATGGATACATTTCCCCTGATTGAAGTAATTACTAATACTTTAGATTAGCAACAATTCTCCATTTTGTTTTCGTTTTTTACTGTTTTAAATAATCTTATGTGTAAATCCCGGTTTGTTTGGAAGACAATTAATAAATCAATGCTAACTGTCCCTTCCACCATCCCCAACCAACTTAACATTTTATATAATTTATTTGTTTTAGTATTAAAATGGTGAACCACTTCGGACACTTGGGCAGAAAGGCAGTATAATAAACAAACAAACAAACAAACAAATAAGCAATAAACTATTGAGCTTTGTGTTCCAAATCAACTTTAGTGACTTATTTACTTTGGAATCGAAACAATACTTCAATGAACTTATGCTTAGCATTTTACCTTGCATCCAAGGTCTGTCCCAAGATATGCAGACAATTGACTATTGAAGTTGCATCATTTCCTGAGAGGTGAGATAAGAGAGTAATTATAGTATTCCTTTCTTCTAACTATTCTTATGGTGAATTAACAAGTGGGGAAATGCACACCAGAGATGAAAATTGTTGACAGAATGTTAACTAAAATATTGTTTCAACCCTTTTAGCAAATGCCAAAAGCAGAAACAATTATTAAAAGTACCATAAAGCTGGTTGAAGCAGACAAAACATATTTCATGAATGTGGTGAGCAACACAAAACAGTATTTATGTGATTTTATAAGTGCAGTTAGATCTATGTATCTCTTAAAGATAGGGGCAGGCTTGTAATTCAACCTAAAGCAGAAACCTCAGTCTCCTTTCCTCACTCTCTGTACGACTGCATTGAATTTAGAAGCCTGTATATAGATGCTACTATATACCACTACTGAAACTAAAGCTACCATATACCAAATAACTTAATTAACGAGCTTTCAACTTCTAGAAATCCTTTTTCAATTATAGTTGGGATTTGAGCATGCTGATATCAAAAAACACTCTCTTGAAGGGCCATTATATAGTAGTGACTTATTTATATAGTAGTAGATATAAATCTACTACTTATATAGTAGTAGATATTTTGTTCAAGTGAGAGTCAAAGGTAAACACCCAGAAATCAATTCAGTCACACATAAGCACTTTGAGGTGTTTTAAAAAGTGAGTTCTAAAAATTGTTTCACTTTTGTGGGATTATATCCCCTGTGAGTTGTAGGTGTTGTGATATAGAAAGGATTGCAGCTGGGATCGAAGGAATGAGGCTCCCCCCCCCCAACAGCAGTGCTGGTATTATATGATCAACTAAACTATAAAGCACAGAAACATGCTATCTGTTCCTAAAGTTATAGGAATCATTTCCTGTGTAGATTCCACATAATGGCAAAAACAGAACAAGGTTGTGATGACACCATTTATATTAACGTGTTAGCAGTATTAAGCCATATTGAGCCAATATATATGTAAAACTAATTAAAGTGTGTGGGTTAATAATGCTTTAAAATCAGATTGCTGTCCTCCTTGCAAATATTTTAAGTTTGATGTAGAATTCTTTTCAGACTCCAGAAGAAAAGCAAAAAGCCTAACTGTATAAATGGAATCTCATGACAAATTTAATGAGAGCAAATGAGCTAAAACCTATGCAAAAATCATATATGCCGAAATTAAATGATAACTGCAATTTTTATCAGGAAACCTGAAATCCACAATAAAAATTAAAAGAGAGTATAAACTGTGGCTAAAGAAGACCAAATTATTAAACATTTATTAAAACAGGGATAGAGATTAGAAATACAAATAACTGTTTCCAATTACTTTCAAACAAAAAATTATATTGGTGTATATCAGTTTATTAATTTAAAGCATTTATATACCGCCTTGAATACAAGGCACCTTAGCAAAATTAAAAACAAGAAAAACCCAATAAACTAAAGAAACGGTAGATAAAAGTGAAAATAATAATCTGTTTTTTTAAAAAAATGTAGGTATTGAAATGTTTCTAAATGGTTCAAAATGTCTATATGATAGATAGATATTTAGCATCTAAAAGATGGCAAAGTTGGTGCCAGGCATAACTCCTTAGTGAAAAACTCCAATACTGAAAAAGCCCTCTTCCTTATAAATATAAGCCTCACCTCTGACGACCTTTGCACAAGGTCAGGTTGATATGGCTTACAATTTTATACACAATAATAATTGCACTATTACACAAGCAGTTATTATACAACAAATCCCATATAAGAGATACAACAGCAGCACAAAGTTCTACTCAAGACATACTATCTAAAAAAAGAAAGAAAGTGGGTTACCTTTATGGTGCTATACTATAAATATAAAATATCCAGCAAATACATCGTTTGTGGGACTTGCAACAGTATATTCCCACTTAGTAACAGGAATGTGCATATTCAGGGACAGGATATTCCATTTTAACATGCTCTGTTTTCCACTCCGCCCCCCAACTGCCATTCATCACTCTATGGATACAGAGCATGCTTGACTTTCACTGAGCTTGTTTTTTGTTTGTCTTAGATTTGCTTTACTTATGCAAACAGTGGGGTCCCCCCCCCGCATGCTGATACCTTCCTCTTGTTTACTGGTGGCCCCATTATGGCGCCACATTTGTTGTCTGTTGTTTCAACATGACAAACCTTGCCTTGATCATGCCAGGAACAAAAGGGAAAGGGGCAAGAGAGAAAGTTCTCACTAAACTACGTCTGCACCACTGAGATATACAAAATTAAATACAACAGATACATTTTTTATCTGGAGCTCAATTTTCATGTTTAAAATGTGCAAAATGTCAGAGCTGCCATGAAACTACATTGTTATAAGGCTTGAGAGGCACTTTTCAAGCTTATGCCTTTTAGTTTTATCTTAAAATATCTCCTTTCACGAATAGATTCCATTTTTTACCTGTTTATTTATACACTTTTGTATCCTCTGTATTCCATTAAAAGAAACTGATTGAATTAGCTAAGCAAATTGCATGAGAATTTTTTTTAAAGAAATCTTTCTCTTTTTCTTTTGTTCAAGTCCTAGATGTTAAGTACAGCTCAGACAAAAGCTCCAAAGCCTGATATTAAGGCCAGAGAAAACTATGCAATGCCTGAGCTACCCTACGTGGTACGGTACCCTAAGCTACCAAGGTTTAGGTGAAGGGGACGTGTGAAATCCCCAAATCTGACCAAACTCAGGCAAGCTTCTCAACTAGATCGAGGCAATGCTTGGCCAGAATCCTTGTGTATAATCAATAACTATATAATACAAGTAGAAGCTGCAATAAAATGCTGCAGTATGTCCTCATCTACTAACAGGAGTACTCAAGGACACATTATAAAGGGGTAATTGAAACAGTTGCACCAGGGTCCTTGCTTGCCCCAGACTCTGACCTTTCATATTTTTTAAAGTAAGCTTCCAGCTCTCCTAGAAGGAAATTTATGAAGCAAAATGTGCAGGCAGCCTTCTAAGCAACTTTTGTGAGATGATTCATCTTGGCTATTTTTGCTCCTTCAGTGTTTTCAGTCAATGGGTCAAGTTAGAACTGTGATTGATGAGTGCAATGTTTCGACACCAGACAATAGGAATTCATGGGGTCCAAACAGCTGCTGTTTTCTAAAGCACTGCTGTTTTCCACTTCCCTTTAGTGTACTTCTCTTTCCTGTTTATGTCTCAATTTCAGTTCCCTACTCCCCATTTTCCCTTCTTTTCTTCCAAGCAGCCAGGATGCATCTTCCCTGTAGTGGGTTCAGATGAGATCAGGTACCCCTAAGGAGTTAGTCTCTGCATATACTATTGTTAAAGCCCTGCCCCATGTCAGATGCAAAAAGTGAAAACTTTGCAAAGAGGAATAAACCCTTGCTTTGTAGGAGCTGAAATCCAGATACTCATTAAGAATAAAAGAATAAGTGCAACTACTCAGAAGTAGGTCTTAATGGGCTTACAGGACTGCAGCCTTGGCTTTCTCATCTGTGTTAAGACCCAATCTGTGAACTTGACACTTTCCCCCAGTCTGCCATTGTTTAATACAGTTGTATAGTTAAAGGAGCTTGTGTAGTTTGGCAGGAAAGGAACAGGATCATCAGCTCATTCCCAAAGCCTGTATGAGAAGCAAACTCTTTTGCTTCTGACTTTACAGATGTTTAATTGTTAAACAATAAATGTATAGGGTTTAAACTGTTAGTAATGCAAAGCTCAGTTGGCCTCTGCAACAACTCAGCACACTGTTAGCACCAGGACAGGCACCAAAGAAAACCCCTTAGGGTCTGGATGTTGAAAGGCAATTCAAGTGATTACTGTATATAAAGCATCATTGAGTTGCACACTAAGAATGTCAGAAATAACAAAAAGGAGCTAGACACTGAACCATATTGCCATCTCAAACAAACTCGTTAAATAGCATTATAGGTTGCATAGGGTATAGAGCATTGCTAAATTTCAAGCACTAGCATTATATTCAGTTTATTGATATTATGCAAAAAAATTATGGGTTTCAGGTGAATTCTTCTATATTAGCTGTCATCTTAGCTAAATAATTCTTGCATGGCTTATCCGGGACAATGAGAATCTGAAAAGTGAAGCTGAATACATTCACAGAACGTATCAGTAAACCATTTCAAATGTATGTTTCTGAAATGATCGAGGTTGTAATTAACCTTCACCTGTTCCTGGATCTTCACACCCTTCCAGTTGGGGAGATGCAAAAGGAGAGGCTTTCCAAGAGTAAATTATTGCACTAGGGCTCTGGAACAATAATTCATTCTGCATATGCAACACCTGTTGTATTGTGAAAATGGACCAGCCAACTCACTCTGCCAATTTAGATGAGCTTTTTCCTAACCCTTAAATAGGGAATGCCATGCAAGTTTTTCATGTACTGAAAGGAAAGCAATGACTTTTTTTTCCAGCACACAGCATATTTCCCTAATGAGCTGCACAAATGGAATGTCTCTACTGGATGTGGGAAATAAAGTTACTAAATTGGGGTGAATTTCCATGGTCCATATATGCATGGATGTGGTACTTCGCACTGTCAGTAACATGGAAAATAAGGCACTGAATAAATTCATACTAAGTCTCAATAAATTGATGTCTTATTGCTTTAACAAGATAATTGTTTTTAATTGTTTATCTTTTAAGTCAAACAGTCAACACAAAGTTTCTTACAGAACTTTTTGGTTACCACATAAATATTACTGGCTACCCTAAAGGATTTTTAGTGGGCCACAAAGTTCATGCTCTTGGTCAGGAGTAGCCAGTGTGATGCTCTTTCGATGTTGTTGGACTATACCTCCCATCATCCCTGACCTTTGGCCGTGCTTTCTGGAGATGATGGGAATTGTAGTTCAAAAACTGGAGAGCACCATGTTGTCTATCCCTGCTTGTGGACATGCAGTCATGCAGCATACATCAAAGCAGCACATACATAGTTGCAAGTAATGGCAAAGAAAATCAAGGGATGCTCACACAAGAATTTGTCAAGGGTCTCCTTACCAAACAGTGAAATCCTATGCCTGACAAGAACTCCAAGTTTGCAGAATAGGCTGAAGACAAGGGGTAAATAAAAGAGAAGGGAGGGGGAAAGGAAATAAAGGAAGGAAGGAAGGAAGGAAGGAAGAAAGAAAAATAACAGCTGATATATGAGCAGGAAAAAGCAGCATGATGTTTTGCAGAAAGAATTCAGTCTCTGAGCAGAATGTAGGACTGAGAGTACTATAAAAGTTTCCAAGAGCAGCTCTTGACAAACATGGTTAAGTAAGCACATATCGTAATTAAACAGAGAATAACTGACAATGACTATTTATACAAGTGTCCTGAATGAAATCTCACCACCACCAACAAAAAGTCACTGAAATTTTAGGAAGCAAAATGCAGTCAGTAGGCTAGTTTAATATCATCGTTGCAATTTTAGAAGCGATAAAAGATTCTGACTGAGACAAATATAAATGTTTGGTGGTAAAATATATTAAATTTATAAATGAGTAATCATGTTAAAACTTCCCTTTATTTTTAATGAACAATTTTCTTGTTTAACACACAACCAACATCAGTTGCTGTCCATCCCAAAGTTATTAAGATGTGCTTGAACCTATTAATTTAAATGAATATCTCACTCAGTTGGATAATCACTAACAAAAAAAATAATCCAAAGTAGATATGAACAATGAATTTACTTAATGGCTTCAATCCAAAGGTTCTATTTCACTGATGGAAAGTTCTTCCATTCACCTAACACAAGCTCTGCTCACAGAAGGGCTCTTTCTGTGAAAGGAAGCATCTTCAATGAGCAGAACCATAAAACAACCCCCCCCTCTCCTCCCCTACACATGGTTCTGGCCTAACATCCCCCATCTTTTTTTAAGGGTCACATGGAGGAGAGGGTGGAAAGCCCTGTTGCACAAATGACAGCCTTTGTGTAGGGCTTTCACTCATGGATTCATGAGGTGAATCCCACTCAATGTGTTTTGAGTCACTGTGGTGCTCATGAAAGCTCTCACGGCTTAGGGAGACAGAGAATACAAAAGGTATAAGGAAATGGACAATTACAAATGTTACTTTTCATGACCAAATTCAGGGTTTTTTTTTATAATAATAACGAGGGCTATTACGGAGTAATGTAACATACTCAGAACATACACAAAATAAATCAGATTTTTAAAATTGCCGGTTTTTCCAGATCCCCTCCACCAATAATTATTAATTTCTAAAAATAGTAGTCACTACCAATGGTCTGCCCTGCCACACATTCCTCAGGCCCATATAATAAAAAACCCCAAACCTATTCATCTCAGCCGTGCTGCCTGCACAGCCCCCTGTCTCTGAGGGCTCTTAGCAACATCTTCCAGAATTAATATCCTCCCTCTTCAGATGGCTCTCAAAAGAAAAGTATACTTCCTGGCCTCCGACACATAACACCAGTTATTACTGGTCACCGCTTAAACTGCCTTCATTCTCAGCTGTGATACAAAATGAAAATACTGTATAACCTACTGTACAAGCAATGTTAATGTCAATCAAAAGACTTTCTAGAGAAGGTAAGTCTTTGTTAACTACTTCTTCAACAATCCAGCACAACTTTTGAAATATACATAGAAAGCTGCCTTATACAGAGTCAGACCATTGATCCAGCTTGCTTACTATGGGTCTACATTTCACTGGCTCTCCAGGGTTTCAGATGGGGTCACTCTCGGCTTTATATGGAGATGCTGGAGGTTGAACCAATGAGCTGCAGTCATTCTCAGCAACACATCTCCTGTTGCTCATTCAGCATTGCACAACGAATGGGGCTTAGAGATTTCATGAAGTATTTTTAACTATGTTATAAAACACATTTCAAGAACCTCACGACTAACACCGAGAAAGAATCAATATGGGTAACTTGCACCTTGCACCCATTTAACTTGTGTGCATTCAGCTTTACATGCACAGGTAAAGTTAAAGGGACCCCTGCCCATTAGGTCCAGTCGCGGATGACTCTGGGGTTGCGGCGCTCATCTCGCTTTACTGGCCGAGGGAGCCGGCGTACAACTTCCGGGTCATGTGGCCAGCATGACTAAGCCGCTTCTGGTGAACCAGAGCAGCGCACGGAAACGCCGTTTACCTTCCCGCTAGAGCAGTACCTATTTATCTACTTGCACTTTGATGTGCTTTCGAACTGCTAGGTGGGCAGGAGCAGGGACCGAGCAATGGGAGCTCACCCCGTCATGGAGATTCGAACCGCCGACCTTCTAATCAGCAAGCCCTAGGCTCTGTGGTTGTCCCTTTGTGCTATTTATGTGCATAGCAATAAACAAACAAACAAATAAATAATAGAAAGGGAGCAGGCATCTGGGGGAAAAATACTTTGGCAATCCCACCTTCCATTGAACCCAATTTTGGCATTACATGCTACCCTTGGAATGTAAGTTGAGTTGAGAGTCACTTGTATAGAGGTGGCCTTTGCACTTCTGAGGCAATACATGTTATTTGGATAATTAGAGGCTTATGAATTCCTAAAAAAAAAAAAAAAAAGACTTCTCCTTACTGTCTCTCACTAGAGTTCACTGTAGCACCTCGCCCCCTACAAAAATCTGCTCTGGAGGGTTCCCCAACCTTCAGAGCAGACGTGGGTGTGGGATGGAGTGTGAGTGACTGCAACAGGTAGGAAAGGAGGAGCACTTCCTGTTGTATGAGTGGAAGTCTATTGCACTGGTTGGCAGCCACCAGTAGGTATTTCAACAGGATAGGCTAAAAACATTCCCCCCCCCCAACAAAGTATGCAGGCAACTGCTATATAACCAAGTAAGTAAAAAAAAATGTTGAATATATTAGTGAGATCAACTGTTCTGTATACATGACATGTGAAAGTTAATATTAGAATACGGAAGATGCCTCAATATTTTAAAGGGGATTTGTATTCCAGACATTTAAAAAACCCATTAACAGACATATTGGAAAAACAAGATTAAAAAGGGGGGCTTTGTTTTGTAGTTCAATTTATGCATCCCTCAGTAAAAAAATCTGCCAATTAAACATCCTAATGACTGTTTTAGTTTTTTTACCAAAAGAAGAAAAGTAGGAAGTGCTTAGGAAACAGTAGTGGAGATGAGAAAAGGACAAGGAAATTATTAAGCTTAAAGTCTTGGGGAGCTGATCACGCTGTGAAATAGACATCTCCATGTAAATTTCCCTCTTCTTAACTTATGTATGCCCATAAATCTGCCTCTGTTTTGTAGTTAGCTAATTAGGTATTATATTTTATTATGTTTTTACCTTGTCACCATTTCTTTCTCCTTATTTGAGGCATGCCCCCCGCTGCTAAGAGGCCTACTTGCAGCAGATAGGAAATACAGGCGATGGTTCTTAAAATACTGGTCGATTAAAGGAAGTACAACCTGGAATAAATACATGAGAAAAAATGGGGGGGAGGGACACTTATTATCTCAAGGCTCCATCTCCCACAATTCTTATTCATGGTGGTTCTCTCTAGATCTGACAGTGAGCCATCCCCATTAACTCTGACATCATCACCAAGTACCAGTGTGAACAGATGCAGCAAAAGTAGTCTACTTGAAGGTCTGCCAGGTTGCTTGCCCAGTCCCATTGGCTCAGGACACCAAAGGTGCACACACACACCCCCTTTCAAAAGGAAAGCCTACAGGGCATGTAAAATGTTGGGACAATGTCTTCGCTTGAGCTTAGCCATGCATTTTACTTCTATTATCATACATGAATACCCAGCACAAGAGTATGAACCTGTCTCCCAGGTTCTTCACTGCGCCTAACATGTTATTAGCATTAAATCTCCACTAGCTTTATGTGTAACACATTTGATAGCAATAAAAAAGGCAAAAGAGAATATACTTTACTTTAGCAAAGAACTTGATTTCTTGTTCATAAGGAAATTGTTCTCCTTTGCCTCTGCTGCCACCATCTGTATAAGAAAAGATAATTATTATTTTTTAATGTAACCTTTTCTATTATTCTTAAACCATATTTCTCATATATTGAATTGCATACATTAATATACGGTATGTATGTAGCAATTTTCTCCCTAACAGGTTTCTCCCTTTTTATCAGCAAAAGTGTGACAACTGGTTTAATCTCAATTGTAGCAAGCTATAATTGCTTGCAAAAACCATAGCTCAAGCCTCCCTAGTTCCTCCATTACTATTTCAAGATTGAATCAGCCTCCACACTGAACTTAACACCATGCCTCTTTTTTCCACTTTTTCTTTTAAGTAACAAGGAAATGACAGTGCCTGTCAGAAACAATCAGACTAGATAATACTACTCTCAACCCCTACCCAAATCATGAGTGTAGGTGAAAATTTATTATTGCATATTAAAATTGAATACTGCATATTAAAAAAGGAACAAGGAAGGAAGAGCAGTCACCAAATAGATAGCTTGAACGCTGGAGTGTATTATAAATCACTGGAACATAAATTTTCAAGACAATGCTCACTTGCATACTTGTATGAAATTTATTTAAACTAGACAGATTGCTTCCATTTTATATTTCTTTAAAAATTAAGACATATACCGAATGTTTTCTTCTTCTCTTCTTTATGAACTTTATGATCTATTTATGTAAGACCCACATTCTTTATATAGGAACACATGATGTATGATGTGTAGTTGCTCATTCGTTTTTTTCTACTAAACAGTAATACTAATGTTAAAAACTTAATGATTTCTCACATTTTTTGGAGGACATAATGGTCTTGTTCACATGACATGCTAAGCCAAACCTCCTCTCCAGGAAAGGAGCTCACAGACACTTTGCTTCTCTCCAGCCCTTTCTGATGCCATGTCAAGCTAATTCAAGATTTGGCTTAATGTGTTGCCTTGGGGCTCATGGCTAAGTTATTTCCTCATTAACCACGAGCTTTAACCAATGTTAAAATACAAAATGCTCATTTACAGTGACTTACCAAACTCCAGAATATACTGATGGGCTTCATCCACGTATCTTATCAGCTGCTGAAGAAAACTGTAAGCAAATCGTTTCTCGATGGAAGGCGTGTCTAATTCTAGATCCTTTAGACCTCTAGAACGACAAGAGCTTTCACTCAAACTTAGAACCCAAAAAGTAGTTTTTTGTACAAAAACGTGCAAATTATCACAAAGCTAGCTGTGGCCTTGTATATTCACCTACCTGCATATACTTTTAAAGTAATTTAGATTAAACTCATATTAATACAGCAAAAAATGTTTCTGTGTGTTTTACATGAATTTTTGTTTCTCTTGGCATCATTTTGCCTTAATTCAGATGTTAACCCAAACCACTGCATTGGCAAGTCTTAATATGAGCCTCAGGTTGTCCTCTCCCTAATTCTCCTTCAATATTATTATTCCCTTCTGGTTGGTGGCAAACTATATCTTCAGGTTACATCCAAATCAACTATCTGTATCCCCTCAGCTGGACAGATCAACTGTCACTAGAGAAAATAGCACCACTGTATAGGAATTTCCCTTATATTCCTCCTGTACCATCCTTCTTATTTTAAGGATTTGATGAAAAAGACGGATTGGGTGGCCTTTACAGCTTTCAGCTGTTTTAGGATGAGAAATATGTCATATTTTATAGTATTACTACTTCATGAGCATTTCAGTTTTACAAACAAAAATGCACATATACTGGTAGTAGACAACTAAATTTTGCTCAGAGTAGACCTGTTTAAATTAATGAAGCTAACTTAGTCATCTTTATTAATTTAAATGGGTCTGTTCTGAGTAAAACACTTAGGCCCAGACTGAACTAACCGGATGCCAGCACAAGGGCTCCTCTTAGTGCAACAAGGTTCCCTACCCTCACCAGGCTCCCCCGAATTCACGCTTGGAATTTCAGGAGAACCCCCAAAAGAGTGCAAGGGCGAAGAGGAAGGGCCATTCCACCTAGAAGCACAAATGCTTGCACTGACAAAAACTCTTAGAAGAGCGCAATGCTGAATTCTTCCCAATGGTTTTGTAGCTGTCATCCAGTGTTCAGGAAAAGTTCAGAAACAGAAAACAAAAAGAACTTCACAAATATTTCAGACTTACTACTTCATTCATATTTTAAACAAAAAAAAACTTCCTGCCTTTTGTGTGCATATGTGTGCGTGCATATGTATTATTAAATAAATAAATAATACACACACCATATGGCGAAGGTTTAACTCAGCATTGTTTACCTTTTACCTAAAATCTATTGCAACACAGATTAGAATTTACCTTGAGACGACATATCCATTGATCTGTAGGAACTTCAGGATATCTTGTGCTTTCTCTCTGTCCTTGGCCTTTTCTTTGGCTGTCAGTGTATCATATGGAACAAGTAAGGGATGGTTTCCTCCTCCCACTGTTTTAAGTTAGAAAAATGACACCATAGTTAAGACTGAGGGGTGGCCAACTTAAGATATATTGTGAATAACTTCGAAAAGGGATCTATTACTGTTTTATTCCAAAATGCCCATAATAAACTTCCATAATTCATTAAGCACATTACAGTTTAGTCATAGGACATATAGGACGTAAATGTAATTAATGTTATTAAAAGGTAAAAATATATATACAGTATGCAAAAAAGTACAACATTTAAAAACATAAAAGCTTTGACAATTCAAATGCCAGAATCAAGGGGTCCTCACTGCCATGGCAACTTTGTGGGGTGCAGAGGAAGAATTATTGGGACAGAGCAGATGCCTCACAGAAACCAGCCACTGGACCATGTTTGCAACAACAGAATGAGAGTGGGAAAGTATCCAGAAGATCAGTTTCATGTGGGATGGGACATAACAAGACACTCAAAAGGCTGGAGGAGCTCTCCCAGAGGAAGAGCTGCCTTATAGGTAGCTAATATGGGTAACCACTTCACACTTGCCTCTCCTCACAAGGAGACTAGTTTATCAGAAGCCAGTTGGGCCTGGCTTCAGTGTCGCAAGAAAGACATCACAGCGGTCTAACTATGCCCATCTCCCTAAGCATCTTGTAGGGAGAGAGTACAACTAACCACTTTCACACTGGTCTCAGCTGATGCACATACTTCATCTTCCTTCAACAAAGTTGTGGTCTGTTTAATCCAAACCATTCATGTCAGCAACTTCTTCCTCCCAAGGCCCGACGGAGGAGCAGCGCTGAGCAGCTCCATCTCCCAGTGCATAACACAATCAACTTAAATCTATGCACTACTCGTGAGGCAAGTCCACTATTCTTTCATTAACTCATCATTTGTAGGGTTAATATATGGATTTTTAAAAATGAATTTCTCCCCACCTAGCATTCTTGAAAAGGGAGTCAGAGAATCACTTCTGCTTCTCCGAAGTGTTTTTTTCAATGCACTGGGGGTTAAAGCCATTATTTGATGCTCCCACCCTGCCCCATGGAAGGCTGTTCTACAGCATTCTTTGCACGGAGATAAAAAGGTAAAGGTACCCCTGCCCTGACAGACTCTAGGGTTGTGCGCTCATCTCACTCTAGAGGCCGGGAGCCAGCGCTGTCCGCAGACACTTCCGGGTCACGTGGCCAGCGTGACGAAGCTGTTCCGGTGAACCGGCACCAGAGCAGCACACGGAAATGCCGTTTACCTTCCCACTATAAAGCGGTACCTATTTATCTACTTGCACTTAAGGGTGCTTTCGAACTGCTAGGTGGGCAGGAGCTGGGACCGAATGACGGAGATATTAAGCATCAAAAGGGAACAGAGCACCAAATGAGTGCCTAATAACCCACTAAAGAACAGACATTAAAGACGCCAGCACATGATATATTATATGCATTTCTGATAAGCTGTTTTAGCAGTTGAATACAAATATTAAAAAGGAAGGCAAGCAAGATGTCTGCCTAGCAGGAGAAGTCGGTGGAAGCAGGGCAGCGTAGCCCACCTGCCTTCCAAATATCAGGCATCCCTCATGGTTCCTAGGGAGAAGGATGAGGCATGGAATGTGTGCAGCATTGGTGTCCTGACACCATACTCCCACACCTTTTTGAATTCCCCACTCTTCACCATCTCTCTCTCAGGAACCAGCGGTGACACTTAGTGATGAGAAGAAACAAGAGCAAAGTCGCCCTCTGTCCTGCCAGTGCTGGATTTATAATAATAGCTAACCAAGCTACAGCTTAGGGCCCCACTCTCTTGGGGGCCCCAAAAAAATTTAAAGGGGAAAAAAACCCTGGGTGTACATTTCCAAAATATAAGATAAAAAATAAAATAAAACCTACATACAGCAACTGTGTTTTGTGTTGTGTAGGCTCCTGTAATGTAAGTAATGGGCCGCCAATCATTTTAAGTTAGAGCTTAATAATTATTTCACTATTAATATACTACTTCTTAATTGTATTTCAGTTCAACAATTACTTTGTTAAAATACATATTTTGTTATGTGCAAATGGCTTTAGATATCTATTAGGTCCATAAATTACCATATAGCATATATTCAACACAAAAAACAGCGACAATTTGTTGTTGACAAAGGACAGCTGGACATATAAAGGGCCCCATTACCTTCAGTGACTTAGGGCCTCATCAAACCTAAATCCAACCCTGTGCCCTGCCCTGCCCGTAACTGCTATGATAGAAATGAATCTTTGCTAAAACTTTTCAGTAGCATAAAGAAAAGAAGAATCAAAAATATGACTCAACTTTGCAAAGCTAAACACACTTTCCAGCACATTGCCACCCCCTCACTTCTAAAAAAGGCAACGCTTGACTTTATCTTCTGAGGTTTTAAACTGCATTTTGCTTTTTTTCTATTATCTGTTTTCATACTTACAGTTGGGAATGAAAATCCTCAGTCTGACAAGATGTAGTTATTAGGTTGTCATTTAGCTAAAAGATAATTTCTCACAGTTCTATATTGTGGGCATCAGTCAAGAATTAATGTATTCTCTGCTAGCAACATCTTTTTACCTACTAAGGCACGCACTTTAACTTGGATAAGGCAAGGAAGACATTGAAGCAAATGCTTGCCTTTAGATTTTGACATGGTATTCTAAATGAGCATGGCATTGAAAGCTTTAAAAAGAAGATATAGCAAATTATGAGGAATTTAAAATGGTTGGCAAAGACAAGTGGTGTTTGTATGGCTTCTGTCTGTGTATGTTTTAATGCATACTGTAGGAATATCATGTTTTGAAAAACTCTGAGGCCTTATTTTTAAATTTAATAGCTCATTAAAAATTACTAGGTGGGATAACCCATACTGTGTATCAGTATTATTCAGTTCCAAAATTATTCCCAAATCAATATCTTCAAAATAGTAAAGGTAAAGGGACCCCTGACCATTAGGTCCAGTCGTGACCGACTCTGGGGTTGCGGCGCTCATCTCGCTTTATTGGCCAAGGGAGCCGGCTTACAGCTTCTGGGTCATGTGGCCAGCAGAACTAAGCCACTTCTGGCGAACCAGAGCAGCGCACGAAAACGCCATTTACCTTCCCGCTGGAGCGGTACCTATTTATCTACTTGCACTTTGATGTGCTTTCGAACTGCTAGGTTGGCAGGAGCAGGGACCGAGCAACGGGAGCTCATCCCGTCGCGGGGATTCGAACCACCGACCTTCCGATCAGCAAGCCCTAGGCTCTGTGATTTAACCCACAGCGCCACCCATGTCCCTCATCTTCAAAATACACAATGATTTATTTGTATTTTTTGCATAGTATCATCAGTATATGTAGCCCTTTCATACATATGTAAGCAAAAAACAACAACACAAACCCTGGTCCCTGCTGTACTACTCAGGCCATTTTTTTTTATTAACTTCCAGAATGTATTTATATGTTCTAAACATATGTATATCTGAATCTATACCCTAAAAACCTGGGTGAATTACTGCAATCCTGTTTTTTTTTAAATTAATGATTATTGTTAGGAAACCCAAGTGAAGAATTCATACGTCCGTAAAACTATAAGCAAATTCTTTACCTTTTGCTTCAAGCTCTATCTTCTTTTTCTTTGCCCATATATTGTGATAGTTTTCAGCCATCATTTCAGCCATAGCCTGATGAAATAAAAAGATTTGTTTCATAACAGCTAATCTTAAGTCATGCTTGTTGTGCATTTTTGTTTTATTGTTCTAGGATATGGCAGTCAGCTTCACAATAGCCAATTTTAAATGAAGCTTCTTTTGCATTTATTTTTATATTATTATGCTTTTGCTAAAGTTGCAAAGGTGCACTTCAGATTCCCCTCCCCCAATAATTAGCTTCCTAGTACATTAATTTTACAAATCTAAGCTTCAAGAAATGATCTCAAACATTAGAAATGTTTGCTTTAATGCAGTGATCCCATGAGATCCCATGGGATTAGGGGTGGAAGTGTTTTTTGCCTGTGCAACCCAAAGATTTGCTACTACAGAGGATTGGTGGTGTTTTCCCATAATGCCTTGGGAGATGGCATGAGGGTTTGCAGGAGGAACTGACAAAAACAACAGATTTATCCTCTGCTAACATTGGCGCTTATCCCTAATCACTGCCATGGCACAGAATTAATTGTTATTGCAGATCTTAATTGTTCTAACTGATTTATCTTCTGAATTTTTTTTTCAAGCTAAAAAGCTTCTCAAGATACATTGAAGAAGCTGTACTCTGTACTCTGCTTGGGGCTACTCTTTGTAGTCCACTTTTTGTAACCGGATTATAATACAAATGTTTGAATTTAAGCACCTACAATAGCACCCACTAGTTTTTGCTGCAAGGACTAACCTGCTTAATCCTCTGGAAATTCTTAAAATTGTACAGATGTCATATACCAGAGGATAAGCAGGGAACTTGCATTGTACAAACACAGTGAAAGGAACAAAAGCTTTCTTAAATGTTTTAAATACATGACATTAGCTGTGATATGACTTACATGCAGTTCTCTGGAGAGGGTAACATTACTCATGTCAATTGCACGAGGGCTATAACCATGGACAGTATCTACAGAAACCTGAGTAAATATTAACAGATGTGTAAAAAATAATGACCAAATACACGTTAAAAAGTTAAATGACAACTTACAAAGGATAAGAGGTTTATTAATAAATCCATCGGGGAAGAGGGAGCAATTGAAAATTTATCAGCCTACACATATTTCTCTATTAAAATGCAAAATGCTGCAGATTAATAAGAGTTAGGCACAGTCCAGATAATATTTTTTTATAATAAAAAAATATTGTTAGTACAATACTGACATTTTTGGGACTTTATGAAACTGCATTGTGCCAATTTTCCATTTATCTAAATGAATAATTGGCCTGTGCAAGGAATCACAGTGAAATCAAATAGAAATGGAACCAAAAGATGAGACATGCTGAGCATTAATACAATATTCTTCCAAAAACTACAGGTACATGATACAAATTTCAGCTTGAAGAAATTGTCTATCTACTGGAAAAGGCAAAGAATATTTTAAAGAAATGAATGCTGCCATTTCTCTTTCCCCAGAATCTCTCTTGAAACACTATCCAGAAAAAATAATAATGGACTTGGTTGTAGATTAAAGTTATTTTCTAGAAAATACTGCAATCCTGATAATCATTTATCAGGAATAGTTGCGATTACCTATACAGAGCAATCCAAACTCCTGACCTGCCAAGCTAGAGAAGTTAGGATGTGATGGAAATCTTGCTCCACAGGGTTCCACTGGTGTGTTTTTTTTGGGGGGGGGGTGTCTGCTACCATGGAGGTCTCTGTTTCATGTACCAACAGCAGAAGCAAACATCCCTCTCCCTTCAGTAACAGCCAGCATAAACCCCCAAAACTGGGTGGGGAGGAAACAGACTTGGTTGGCAAATGTTCCATTGGAACATAAGCCAATCCAGTTACCAGCAATGAACCTAATCTGAGTCTCTCTGCTGTACCAGCCTGGAGTTGGCAGAGCAAAGAACAACAGTTGTGTATCACCTTCTGCCCTAGGCCAGCATAAGCAGCAGAACCTCAGATATGGTGGTGGCTCCAACACTCCACTGAACTCTGATGCTCCTGGCCAGGAGTTGGGATTGCAGCCCTAAGACTCTTCAAAAATAGCAAGTTTAAAAAAACACATACAAAATAGTGTCACAACACTGTATAATTCAGTCTGTATTACTTGATTCATTCAAAACTGCACACACAGCTTTAGAATTTTCCTCACCTCTTTTCCCTACATGTGCAACACAACTGAAGTACAGCAGCAAATGAAGCTGGTACCTGATTATTTTTCATGACGATAGTATGCCAAATCCTCCTCTACATCTAAACTAGTCCTTTATATTTATTAACCATTGGATGCCTGAGATTATGTTACGCGGTAGAACCAAACACTTGCAGCATGATACAGGATGTACCTGACTTGTCTGTGATATTCGGCGTGGCCTGTTATAAAGAGCCATAGTATCTCCTTCCCTCGTTCTCTCAACCCGCCATCCCCAAGCAAGCATGGTTTTCAAGGACTCCTTGATTGGCCATCTGTAAATTTCTTTCTCCTAGGGAAAACAAATATATGGTTATGTTTTTAGTTATCAAGTAGCTGAGAGGACAGTACACTCTCTTATAACACTGTTTATTATATTTTAATTATTACATAATTTAATAGTAATCTAATACTTGCCTAGGTTATCTCCCAGACCTCTAGCTAACTCTGGTATAGCATAAAAATGTGAGAATAACCAGCATACTACCCAGCATGTCCACATTGGAATGCAGAAATATAGCTTGATTCTACAAATATTCATTTTAAAACAAGTTTCACTGCAGTCAACGTAACAAACTTTTCACACACAAAAATGGAATCAGAAGTGGTCTGCAAGGATGAATTGCAATATCACTGTATGAAGTAGAGATGATGAGGTTACACTACCAGCCATCTCAGATTATCTCAACAGGTGTACACAAGACAAGACAAGGGAAGTCTTGGACAAAACAAGAATAATGATAAGCCCATCACTTAAACTAAATCTGTCAACGTAGGCCAAAGAGAGAGAAGCAAATTATTTGTTAAAAGGTGCAGCTCATGTAAAGGTTTGATGAAAAGATTCATAAAGAGGGTAGCCCTGACATGAGGTGAAAAACTGAGGAATCTAATTCTATGTGTTTAGAATTCATAGATAAGCCATTCTATTTTTAGGGAGGCCACCAAGGAACAAGACACATACTGGATGTCATGGAGTGTGGCATCAGCCAGAAATGTAGCTGCCCTGGAAATTTTAAGTAACATTCTTGTTACACAGTCTAGGTCCTGATGGGAATTCTCTAGATCATCCAGCCATATGAGGGATGCCCTAGTAAACACTGAGGATGGACACAAGTGTTGAGCAGCAAGGACAGCTGCCTCATGCGCTCTGCATAAGGCGAAGTCCAGTCACCATTCTGAAGAGTCCTTAAACTGTGAATTCCCATTTTTAGGAAGAAGGAATTTAGCAATGAAGATGACACATGATTATCCATGGCTGGGTTTTTCAGCATATTCATAAACTGTTGGTCAAGGTTATAAAACCTATTGGCCATGATGACTTTTTTATATTGTAATGAAGTGCCCTACTCTCTTTCCTCTCTCACAAGTTCTGCCTCAGACCAGACGAGAAACTTCAGACTGGTGGAACGTGCTCAATTTGCACAAAAATATCATTAATCCCGTCTTCCTAACTTAGAATGTGTTCTAATATATGAGAGGAGTTCTAACAACCAAGGGATTTGTCTATTGTTTTAGATATCACTAAAGTTAATTTTAATAATAAAATGAAAAGATCACCACAAACAAAACATTTTACATGAACTTCTTACCTTTTCTGCTAACAGTTTATATTGTTTCATTAATGGCTGCACTTTGGAAGATTCTGAGTATGTTTCACCATATATCCACCCATTTGCAAACTGATAAAAATAAAAAGCGGGAGGGGATAAGCTGAACAGGAATCTTGATGTCATTTATGTTTTGGATGGTGTTTTTGCATGCTATGATTATGCTACACCCACTTGTCCAAGAGAACTAGACTCACCAGCATATTTTTGCCTTGGTTATTTTGAACTTAAAATGACTTAACAGCTGTAATAACAATATCCTATATTCTAATTAGTCATGCAATAACTAAGAACTTCTTATCATATATATGATTATTAAGAACTTCTTATCATATATACTAATAGTGAACTCATTCTCAGAATACTAATGTAGCCAAAACAGCTACATTATCCATGCACAGGCTAAGAGGAACCCAAAGGTTTGCAAAAGTTTTTTTTTAAAAGATGGGGGAAGAAAATCATCCCCTCCCCAACAACAACAAAAGCAGCCCATTGACTGAGCACTCTTAAGAGGGCATGGAATGCTGACTAAGTGTTAGGGAATGGAAACAGAAATGTGGCTGAGGAGGTGGAACAGAGTGGAGCACTCCAGTGCACCAGTGTGCTGCAGGTCCCATCTATGGAGAGAATTTTCTGAAAATCTCGGTGTCAAACTTATCTTTGTTGCTTGTTTTTCATTTCTGTCTGTCTCGCTCCTTGGTTTCAACAAGAAGCAAGGTTTTTTAATTGGTTGCCCTAAATATGTGAATAATTCTCGCATATAATATGCAGTATTATATGAATAATATTACATGTATATACTCTCCAGGTTTCCAAAAGTAACAGATGCATACAACAATGAATATAATTGTTTAAAAATACTCATGTATTAATACCGATAAATTTATGCTGCAGAAATATAATACTGAATGACACTTGAGTCTTTTATATGTATAATATACAATTTTTGCATATAATTTTGCATATACCGTAATTAGTTGGCTCAGATGTAATGGGAGACTTGATATAATGGGGGGAAAGCTCAATTGGGGCAGAACCACCAAATTCTGGGAATAAATCCATTTAAAGTGGATTATTCCAGCTTCCCTAGTCCCAACTATGGTAGATATAGACTTAAATCAAGTGCATTTTAAAACAAATAGTAACTAAAAGCTTGCATGTGTATGCTGTGGTCATGAAACTTATATTTTTACCACACAAGAGGTGCTCTTCAAAGAGAACAATTTTTTTTAAAGGACCATATATTAAATAGTGCATGCATGATGCAGAAGCATTGTATATATACCTGGCATCCATCCACCCCACGGCACTAATATGCACCGTTGGTAAAATTGGATCAGATACTTATGATTTCTATTTTTCTAGATCTACAATGTCATTTTCCAGATAGAAGGCAACCATGCAAACGCAACCATCCAAATATCTGATAACAAACATAAACATCCTTACTAAAAGCAAAAAGCAAAGAAAAAGTGTTAACTAATTAGATCAGTATAAATGTAAAAACAGGGACTACTCATTTACTGAAACTCAGAAGATAAATGCATTTAAAGAAAACTTTTTGATTAAAGAAAGAAGACTGTTCTACTCATGCAACATAAACAAGATTCCATGATGGATACTAAAAATGGAAAATGTGTTTCAGACTATTATCCAGACAGATTTTTAATACTTTAAATATGCTTTGGGGGGGAAAGTTGCTAAACATTTTACCTTTTCCATGCACCATTTATCATGGGAATGTTCTGCATATTTGTTAATAAAGTAGTCTAGCTTTTCAGGAATTGTAATGCTAGATAAGAAAATACAAGACCAGGATTAATAATATAGATAATAAATTGTGCATTCCTTTTAATCCTTCTTTCATAAAAAACAGTTGATCATAACATACTTAGAGCCCAAAAAGAGCTTGAAACCAGCAAATACCTAGCAGCCCACCCCCCACCCCCCAATATGGACCAAGTTAAGCTTCAATATGTTCCAAGGAAACCCTGCTGATCATTACAAAACCAGCCAAATGTTGTTTGGTAATAACATGTAAGTGGACCTCCTCTGTGATGACCCCCTTTGGAATACTCTCCCTGAAGTGGTCCAAGAAGTGGTTACAGTAATCAGCTTTAAGTGCCTCTTCAATATACAGTACTTGTCTCCCCAGCTTTCCCACAAGGCAGTAAAGGTTTAGGATCAGAGTTTTCCTTCTCCTTGATTGGCTACCTTCCCAGCTTGACAAGCATCATCTGCCCCTCACTTCCCTCTACAGCCTGTGCAGAAACTGCCTTCTTGACTGTCAGACCCACTATTGGTCTCATCTGCTCAATCTGCCAGAGCCAGGGGAAGTCTCTAGCTCACTGAGGATTAGAGACCCATCAGCTACCTTCACCTTGTTTAGCCAGCCAGTTGAAGTTGTTTCCTGGGATGTGGCTGCTGTCGCATGCGGACAGCTTTTAGGAACCGCAGGCGAGAGCTGAGTGCGTGTTGGACAAAATACACCAGAAGTGGCACAACAGTATAATAAATCCTTACTTTGAAGTATCAACAGGTTGTGGATTAAAGTTCCCATCTGAATCCATGGACGCTTGCTTTTCCATCACACCCACATAGTTTGATTCCATGTAATCAGGAGGCAAAGCCCCAGCCACTGCACTCAGGCACGGCAAGGCCAGTTTGAATAGTTCCTGTTCATATTTCTGGGAAGACAAAGTAGAATACAAAAGACCTAGCAATGAATTGAGACAGCCTCTATTTTTGCTGGAAAATTAGCAATGTTTTAGTATCTGAGCTAGCATCACTTGTACTTTGATCTACCATGGCGTGTACATTCAGGATCTTCTCTGGGCAAATAGCACTGGAGGGAGGGGTTAAATTTCTCCTCCGTATCTATGGTGATCCTGATTATTATTAGCCCACCCCACAGGACTGATGTCAGTCGAATTTTTCAAAACATGACATTAAATACAAAGATGAGTCCTTAGGTGGTTCCAGGGCACCACCATTCACTTAAAAAAAGAGGGGGTAGTGCGAAATCTTTTTCTGAAACCAGCTTTCTGCCATCTTCTCTATTTTATCCCATTTGTTTACTTTATTTATTTGAATTCCACAGAGTGCTCCGAAACTGAAGGATAACAAGTATTGGTGACCCATGGTAACTATAATGGCCTTATCAAAAGGAGTGGAATCATGAAGCAGCCACCATGTAAAGTGCCCTCACAATTTAGCAGGACTGCAGACATGGCCTCCAATGTGATATGAGGAGCTATTGCCAGAATTATCAGAGGAAATAAAACCTGGCATGCATGTACAAGCACTTGTTTATACACAAAGGAGTCACATTTTGTATGTAATGCACAATTATTATTGCATATTTGGAAATTATTCATTTTCAAAGAATACTGTCTTCACATTACGTTAAAAGCCAGGGATCCTGGTACAATAATTTAGTTGCATTCATGGCTATAAATTGTCATTTTTATATACTTATTTTATTAGGCAATCAAACTTTGCTGGGGAAACTATGAAGAACATTTAATAAAGGGTTTGCAGGAATATCCATTTCTCAAAAAAGACATTAGAAAAATTAGAGTACATTATTCTTCCAACATGCTTAAAACATAAACTTAAAAGTTACCTTTTGAGATAAGGCATCAAAAATACCCCAGAACAACTTCCTGGACAAATGAAGTTCTTCTTCTGAAGCAGCACCAAAGTTGCCCCATCCTCCTGGTAAACAGTAATACTTCCAACATCTTTCATAATGATTTGTCAGCAACTTAGGAGGGGAAAAAATAACTCAGTTTCAGAGAATCCACTATAAACTTTGTAGAGCAGTTAGGTATGATCAGTTTCAGGTACTGAGACATAGACCTCCAGGTATCGGGCAATATAATAATGATGATGATGATGATGATGTGATCTGTTTTGAAGAGTGTGCTGGATGTAAATGACTGTGACAAAATGTTTTTGCTTCACAGTGTAGTCAAAATGCTGTTATCAGATCTAGATTCTGAAGAATGATGGTAAGTGGCAGTTGTATATTCTGAAAGGGAAGGTTAAAGACCACACTCACCTTAAGAGGCATCTTTGCATGCTCATTTAGCAGTGGAATATCAAACACTAATCTTCTCAACAAATGTTGCATCATTGAAGGCCTCAGCTGACTGCAAGTAGAAAGAAAAAAGTGAGTAGAAAATGTGTTCTACTGTTGGAGGATAGCAAGCAACCTACTTTGCAGACCTTATCCAAACAGTGTAGAGTTTATTCTGCACATGTCTGTTTATACTTTGTTGTATTTCTTTGGATTCTCTTATGACTTATGAGAATAATTTTAAGAAACCCATAAACTTGTATTCATCCATTCCAACCCAACCCTATGAATATTAACAGTTCAATGGGATTTATTCCCAAAGAGGTGTAATGTTCTGTTGCTATTTCAAAGCATCCTGAGTACATTCAAAGCATCTTTAATGTATTTTAATCTTTGTTGGAAGCCGCCCAGAGTGGCTGGGGAAACCCAGCCAGATGGGCGGCGTACAAATAAATAAATAAATAAATAAATTATTATTATTATTATTATTATTATTATTATTATTATTATTATCTTGAGTATATTATCAGGGAGGTGACATATTGGGATTATAATATACAATATATTGGGCAGCTCCCAACAGAATACTAAAAACACGATAAAATATCAAACATTAAAAACATTTATCACCAATGTTATTAAGAGACACTTTCGCTCTAGAAACTAATTTTCCTATAAATCCCAGAAGTATACACTTACCCACATATGGAGAGTAGGCACTCTTCAATAGAGTCCCGTTGAGCTTTGGTAAGAGAGCAGCCCTTGGAAAGTCGGTACACAGTATGTAGCAAGGAATCTATAAGGGAAGCATGGTGTTCTGTGCCAGCAAAAAGAGGAGCACATCTAGTTAATAAAGGCAAAACAGCAGTGCAGAGGTACCGATTGAGAGCCAGGGCCATATCTGTAGCACTCAGAGCAACCTATAAAATAAATTGTAAAGCTATTAAGGTAGGTAAGTTTTGTTCTATACAAATTGGTTACATATTAACATGATGACAATCTATTAGGTTTGCTTTCAAGGAAGGCAAGATGGATTTTTATAGGAATAAAAGGACATTATGAGTGTGCTAGACTTGTTTTGTTTTCCTCTGCCATTTGTTTTCAATATTTAAAAAACTCATATATTTGCTAAAATCACATAACATGTTTATTATTTCATATTTCATTTCCCATTGTTTTAATTGGAAGATTCAGCTGTCTGTAATCACAAAATATAAAACAATAAAAATAAGAAATAAGAATAATTAATTTACAAAATGCCTGTGTAATGTAATGTAATGTAATGTAATGTAATGTAATTATGAACTCCTCAGATGGTGTGAACTGCTGAGAGTGCCATACAATGATGTTTACGCACCTACTAAATACATTTTTGTTTAGGCACTTCTGAGGTGTAACCCAGTCATTTATGGAAGATTAATTTTATATTTTATGAAACATTTTGCTGTTTTAGAGTCTGATTTTTTTTAAAAAAAAACTTTTATTGTTCACAGATTTTGTGTTTCTGCAGTTTATTATATTTTTTTTTTACTTTACACTGCTTCAATGGCTTTGTGCTCTGAATTTATCTAAACATTTGTTTATTATTAGTAGATAATAATATCTTACATGAAAATTTGAATTTCTCTAAAGTTATACAATACATCCATGGAATTTGAAGTCAAGTCTCCCAACTTTCAATACTCAATTCTAGAGTATTGCAAAAACTTTCCTTATCATTTTCGAGAAGTCAGAATACATGCATGGTATAGATCTAGATCAAAGAGAGAACCTAGTAATCAAAAGTTAATTGTTACCGTATCTAATGAAGCAGCAGCACGAAGATCTGGCAGAAAGCCAACTTCAAGAAGGTGTAGAAGAAAATCCTGGTCTTCAATCCCATAGACCCTGTCAAGGAACAATACCATGGCTGCCTTGTGGTCTGGGCAAAACCCCTCTGACATATCAGGTTCCACCACAGTACCATCTGAAAAAAAAATCAATTACACAGATTTCTGGTACTGATACAAGCAAATTGTACCTGCAACAAAATGTTGCAGCATGGAGTGCTTCTGTTCAGGATTTCAGGCAATCCAATTCATTCCTCCTCCCCTCTAGTTTTCCCCTCTGACATTAGTCAGCCAACAGTCCGTGTCCACTGAGCATGTTCAGTCCTCAAATGGCTTGTTTCCCCTGAAAATTTTTCTGTATCAGCAAACCTGGGATTCTCCCAAGACTTATGGTATCATACCTCCCTCTTGAGCATTGATGGTACCAACTTGCCTACATAAGGACCGGCTCTCAGAGAACTGAGATCACTATTAGGATATATGATTGCATAACTACTTCCTGCCAAGAAGAATGAGTGTATGAACATACTCTAGACTAGACATCCTCTAGATGGCTTACCCATTTTCTTGACTGAATAAAGGGAATTTGGCAGATAAAACCTAAATCATTCCAATCACAAGCACTATGGCATCCTTGTTATTGCAAATATTGATACTGAACATCTAGTTATTGGTTTACTATCTTCGAATCATTATTTAATAATCACATACTCCTGCAATTCTACAACTGAGAGGCTCGTGCCAAGGAAAGTCAGTGTGAATTTCTGTTTCATTTCCATTTTAATTTTCATACATATTTGAGAAAAAGGTATTGTAAATCAGTCAAGCTTTTTATGTTAGAACATATCAGAAATAAAAATGGAACACTTTTCTTACCTTTTGATATTGTTGGCATGTGGAAAGGAATACTAATCACACCCACCAAATCTTCCAAAGGAATCAAAGACCGCAGAATGGATCGTATTCTAATTGCTTCCCCTTTGCCAGCATGGATTAGCTAACGAAGGAGTAATGCAAACATTTGTTTATATGATTGATATCATAATATGTACACATATTATTTATAAGCAAGAGAGTAACAGTAATGATTTCAAACAATGATTTGAAAATCTAAAATACTGGGGGGCTACAGCAAAGCTTAACATACAGGTATTCATGAGAAGCTAGAGTTATAGTACACAGTATATTGACACTAGGTTGGAAAGTTGTAGTGCTCGTGTTAAGTATGTTTGGAAAGCTTCACTCACTTAGAATTGAAGAGGTAACGGTGTCAATGGTTGCATTTCCCTGTATGCTCAAGTGCTGTTATGCTTAAAAAGTCTGAATGGATAAAGCCAAAACTCATACTTAAGTTTCTCAAGAGTATACCACCAACAACAGCAGCAACTTACAACTTGATACCCATTCAGAAACAGCAGTACTATTAAACCTGTGCTCTGATTTTAACCAATTAGCAGCAAGTAGATGTTAAACAAGGATGATAAACACTAGTAAACAACAGAACCTACATGCATTTCTGGAGCACAGCGTCCTAGGAGATCAATCAAAGCAGCATAAAAGGTCATGATGGCATTTCCCATGTGAATGGTATCATCTTCTTCTTCCACCTCACTTCTGTTTAATTTATTTTCCCCAACAGGAAGGAAAATAGAGGATCAGCGAGGAATTTGTTATGGAAGCTTAACTTTGTTACAAAAGCAAGACTAGATTTTATCCCTGGTATATCTAATAATAATTGCCTCAGACTGACTCTGGAGTCCAGTTATATAGACTTCTAATATTGCTCCACAAGAAAATGTAGCTTGAGGTATCTCTTTTACATTTATGTAATGAGCCATCCACTGCAAGCCCTATGCTAATTCAGTGAAGATTACCTTCATGGGGCACTGTGAATCAAACCACAAAGGGAACAATGCCAGGCTGCTGAAGGCAGGTAAGCTGTTACTTCAAGTGGTGGCAAAGGGTGTGTGTGTTTTTTCTGTCTCTAAAAAGAGGTGTGGGGCTTGGCCATCTCCTCTTCAAAGGTAAGCCAATCCCCCAAAGTTCTTAGAATTTGCCCTCCCTCTGGTAATTACAGACTTTTTCATGAGAGATGGTCCCATGAAAGGTGTGTGGAGAGGAGATATTTGGCCCAGCCTTAAACCCTTCCTCCCACACCTGCAATAAAAGGACTTACACCATCTGATATTTAAGAACTATGGAAAGACGACTGCTCTGCCCCAAAATGAATTATGCAGTATTTATTTTCCAAAGCATCTTAGTAATACATTGATATATTCCATTGTTAATAAGTTATGTAAAGTCAGTGAATTATGGTACTGATTCAGGAGTAATAGAAGATGTCAAATTCAAGGCAAATATCTGCCTATTTGTGGTATAATAAAATACTACTATTCTGATTTACAACAAGAAGAAAATGTACGATTATTACGAATACTCCCAAAAGTTTCAAATGTTGAATTCTTGGGGACTATTGCATTTAGAAACCTGTTAGGTTTGGCAGCTGACAAAGTATTTGCAAATTATGAATAAAGCCTTATTTTAGAAAACTGAATTCTGTAAGACCTATTATAAAATAGGTCTGGGGAAGTTAACCCCTTCTTTACTACCTACAGTGTTTTATTGGATCCACTACTTGGTGAAGGTCCATCTCTTGTGGGGTCTTCTGATATTTTTATGGCTTCCTCCATGGCAGCAAGCAGGCCATTTCCACCTTCTCCTCTCAGTGCTGGTCCAAAACATTCAGGACGTCGAATGAGCAGTCTTACCACCACATTGGCATTCTCTTCAACGCTCTCTCCTACAGTCAGTAAGGAAGGCCACAGCCAAAGTCACAATCCAGGGCTTACATGGGGGTGGGAACAAGCCTAGATGAACTGGTACCAGCACCATGTTGCTGTGCCAGATGGAGCAGAAATTTTATTCATTACACGGTCCAGCTGTAATGACAGCCTCCTAAGAGTGACGGGAGAAACCCACGTCTAAGTAAGCTGAGAAGGTGACTATTATTATTCTGGCTGCAAGTAGGGCAATCCCACTATATCCAGATCAGGAAACATTGGAATGCCTAGCCAAATCAACCTTTACAAGCCATTTAGAGGACTTTCGGATTTCTGACATATTGTTGGGAAGTAGAAAAGTGAAAGAAACATGGACAAAAAGTAAGGGGCTAGGGTGAAAAAGACTTGGGGGAAGGGAGTTGAAATGGACACTTGGAGTGTGCATATAGATGAATTTTAACACTCATCCAGTGTTACCAAATGCTTATTTTAGTTCACTCTTTTGTTGCTTCAACCTCTTTGCTACAACAGTACTTTCATCATATTCTTAGCCACCCTGGTTCAAGGTAAAGAACAGTCATCTTGAAATCATTGCAATCTAGAGCCTGCATATTCAGATTTGTAAAGGCTAATGTTTTATCAATGATTGCAATATTCTGCAAAAGCTTGCCCTACAGCCACTTGCACATACAACATACCACTTACAAATCAGCAAAGAACAAAAGGAGAATAATTAGAAAATTGATGTCACAGTTACACAGGCACATAGCAAAACAGAAAGCAATATACCCTAACTGTTCCCATATTTAAAAAATAGAATACAAAATAACGTTTCCCAATTTTAGCCCTTCAAAACAAATGAGAAAGGCTGGTGACATAAAACACAAGAGGAGCACCACTTAATTTGGTGCATTAGTAGCAGTGATAGTCAAAGGTTTATATAATTATTTCGGAACAACAATAGTGGTACAAAATTAATAGGCTCCTACAGTACCATTGCAAAAAACAGCAAAACGAAGAAAATCCAAGTATCGTTCTCCTTCCACTGGGTTCCATCCAATATCTGGGTAACCTTTAGAAATCAGCAATGAGCAGCTTTGCAAACCACATCCAGCCAAGTAGCGGACTACCTAAGAACAAGGCAAAATTAAACAAAAGAGGCATTTACTGCAAAAAAAGAAGAAAAAGCTCAAGCCAGTATTCTAATAGGAAGTCCTCTTTTACTCCCTTTTCAATAGACTGGCTATTGCAGCAGCAGAAACCCAAAGAAAAACTAATGCTATTCTAGGCTGCATCAACAAGAAGTATAGTGTCCAAATGAAGGGAAGTCGCTGTCCTGCTCTCTTCTGCCTTGGTCAGACCACACCTGTAATACTGTGTCCAGTTCTGGGTTCCACAATTTAAGAAGGATATTGACAAGGTGAAATGTGTGCAGAGGAGGGCAACCAAGATGATGAAGGCTCTAGAAACCAAGCATTATGAGGAATGGTTGAGGAGACTGAGAAGAGATTTGATAGCCATCTTCAAACACCGTATCTCAAGGACTGTCACGTGAAAGGTGGAGCAAGCTTGTTTTCTCCTGCTATGGAGGGTAGGACCCAAACCCATGGAGTCAAGTTACAAGAAAGGAGAATCTGATGAAACATCAGGAAAAACATTCTGACAGAGCTGTTTGACAGTGAAACAAACTTGCTCAGGAGGTTATGGACATTCCTTCATTGGAGGTTTTTAAGCAGATGGCCATCTGTCATGGATACTCCTATTGAGATTCCTGCATTGTTCTGCCCGGACACTGAGGTCCAGCGCCGAGGGCCTTCTGGAGGTTCCCTCGCTACAAGAAGCCAAGTTACAGGGAACCAGGCAGAGGGCCTTCTCAGTAGTGGCACCCACCCTGTGGAACGCCCTCCCACCAGATGTCAAAGAGAAAAATAACTACCAAACTTTTAGAAGACATCTGAAGGCAGCCCTGTTTAGGGAAGCTTTTAATGTTTAATAGGTTATTGTATTTTAGTGTTTTAGTGTTTTGTTGAATTATTTCGTTGGAATAATTAATAAATTATTATCATCATCATCATCATCATCATTATTATTATTATTATTATTGCAGGGGGTTGGACTACGTGACCCTCAAGGTCTCTTCCAACTCTACAATTCTATGATCTAGTGAAAAATCCAGACAAACGTGAGACCTTAACATCATGTGACTGTCTGATAAGCTGCTGGCACAAATTAATGAATGGGGTGCACTTGGGGGGGGAGCATACTGAAGCTCCACTGAATTCAAAGAAATGTAAACATGCTGAACTTCCTTTGAACTTCTCCCAATTATGTAAAATTTGTGCAGCGTTGATTTTTCTCCTGCATCAGTGATCTATTCATTGATTTTCCCAGAGAACACTTCACTTCTCTACTCTTTCAAAGATGATTACCACAAGCTTATTTATTCAGGCTGATTATTCACAGATCTGCTTTTCCACTCAGGTCGTGTTCCTCTGTAATTAAACTAAAAATCAAAATCTAGTTTGAAAATGTGTACATAGCTCCACACATTTAAAATAGGGTCATGTAAGATAGCTGCTGATCAAGAAACAGCAACTCAGAGATAGAAATAGATTTTCACATAGATCCTGTAGGACGGGGCCACATCCTGCAGCACTATGAATACCCAGGTCCAAATTTTTACTAGTCAATGGCTATTAGTCATGGCAGCTATTTATTAGCTCTGGTATCAGGCATTTGAAGACACAAGTAGGAGAAGAATGTTCATGATCTACTTGTGGGCTTCCTAGAGGCATCTGGTTGGTCACTGTAGGAACAGGAAGCTGGACCAAGCAGGCTTTTGCTCTGATCCAGTGGGACTCTTCCAAAGCAGATCAATGTCATTAACAGTTTCTGAGTGAATCTTGGGATCACAGAATCATGCTGCTGTTGATGACAGTCAGCTGTTCAGTTGCTGGGAGGTAGAGAGGGTTGCAAGTCTTATAAAGGTAAAGGTAAAGGTACCCCTGCCCGTACGGGCCAGTCTTGCCAGACTCTAGGGTTGTGTGCCCATCTCACTCAAGAGGCCGGGGGCCAGCGCTGTCCGGAGACACTTCCGGGTCACGTGGCCAGCGTGACAAAGCTGCATCTGGCGAGCCAGCGCAGCACACGGAAACGCCGTTTACCTTCCCGCCAGTAAGCGGTCCCTATTTATCTACTTGCACCTGGGGGTGCTTTCGAACTGCTAGGTTGGCAGGCGCTGGGACCGAGCAACGGGAGCACACCCCGCCGCGGGGATTCGAACCGCGACCTGACGATCGGCAAGCCCTAGGCGCTGAGGTTTTACCCACAGTGCCACCCGCGTCCCTGCAAGTCTTATAGGAGATTATAATCCTATGGCAAGCAACATGGATGTGGAAATCTTATGACAGGGAAGGGTACCTGAGAGAGTCTTCAGATTTTGGATTCCAACTCCCATCAGCCCCAGCAAGCAGCACCAATGTTCTGGGATAATGAGAACTGCAGACCAGCAACATTTGGATGCTGACAGGTTCTGTATCCTTGTGCTGTGGCATTTAGACGGCTACTACTGTATTTCATTAGTAAACAGATGCTTACGAAGATATGTAAGATACGTATGTATAAAAATATAGTTAGCTATTCAGAAGCTGGTTTACCTTTTCTAGATCAGGTTCCCGCAAAGCTAGCGCAAGCTCATTATTATCCATTACAGATGCTGCTGCAACATCCAAAGGAGTTGATCCACGCATAGAAGGGGATGCTGTTAAGAGAACATTTCAGAAATGTTTAATGTATATAATAGGTTTGCCATACGTCCAGAATTTCCCAGACATGTCTGGAATACTGCATTCGTCAGCAGTGTCCAGATGGAAGTTGCCCAAATGTCTGGGAAAATCTGGGCAGCAATTTTCTTTTCGCTCAACAACTTTGGGCAAACGCAACAACTTTTCTGTCTGGATTTCCACTGTTTGAAATATGGCAGCCCTAGTATATAAAATGTAAAGAAGTAGCGTGACTTACAAATAAATATCACAGCTAAGCAAAATTACTACCCAAATGACACAGGTTTTATGTTATAGGTGAGGTTCTTAATTTTAAAAATGAACATATGTACTTTTTGTTCAGTCAATGTCATTATAGTTTTTAATATAATTTAGTAACAGTATCATAAAAAACATTTTGCTTCACACGTCCAGTATAGAAAAATATGTTCTGGGAAGGCTGTTCTGTAGAACTACTGTGGTAGTGAATGCAAAGCGACTCACTAACATGCTGGGGCTTTGAACAAAAGTGCAATCCACAACCTGTGGACTCCAAAGACTTCTTAGACAGCAACAGAATATATGGGTTATGAATTGAAGGAACAGAAGGCTCTTTAGAATACTTACCAAGCCCAACACTGCTGTTTTCCAAAAGATAGCTAAGATGATCAAACATAGCCTTTTGATTCTGCCTGCTGATGCGGCAAAAATAACATAGAAAACGACAGCAATTTGCCACCATCTTAGGAAAGGTGATTTCCTAGACAAACAATACTATGTTAGAAAAATAGAACAGTTTGTAAAAACAACATTTTAATATTTTTAATGTGTTTTGTGAATTTTTGCAGCTGCCAAAAATTCCTTATTTTACAAAACATGGTCCTGCAAGTTATTTCTTCTGCACATCTTCCAAACAGGCATTTGGAACACTACACATTTCTAATCTATTCTGAAGTGGAGGCCATCTGCAGAAATCAAAATGCAACAGAAATAATTTAGCTTAATTTGATTTAAATCCATTAGTTCATCTTAATTTCCCTTCAAATTAATATTTTGAGGATCACTATATACCAGGGGTAGGCAACCTAAAGCCCGTGGGCCGGATGTGGCCAAATCGCCTTCTCAATCCAGCCCGCGGACGGTCCAGTAACCAGCATGTTTTTACACGAGTAGAATGTGTGCTTTTATTTAAAATGCATCTCTGGGTTATTTGTGGGGCATAGGAATTCGTTCATTTATTATTTTTCCAAAATATAGTCCGGCCCACCACATGGTCTGAGGGACAGTGGACCGGCCCACAGCTGAAAAAGGTTGCTGACCCCTGCTAGATACTAACACACTTAAAGCTCTTTCTATCTTGTTTGTCTTTGAATTTCATATGCAGTTAAGATTAAACCAATACCTAGGAACTTTTCTCTATCCGTAAGAAAATATAGCACCACACTCATTTTTAAATTTAATTAAAATTAAATTAGACATAGAACCACAAAGAATAGTTTTTTATGTCTATATTTATAGCAAAAGGGGGCATGGTGTTTCTTTCCAAGTAAATTCTTAAGGGCAGTATCCAATGCACATGGGGGAAGAGAAAGAGGCTGATACAGAGGAGGATGCTTTCAGCCTTCCTCGCCATTCACCAATTTCTGCTTCCAAAACATACCAAGCTAAGGAGAACCATGTGCTCACTACCTGGTAGAGCAAAGAAATGAAGGTATAAATTGAGATATGTATCTTGAGTATGGATGCTGCCTATTCACACTGAATTTCCTTCCAGTCTGGAAGGGGGTGCACATTCCATTAAAAGAATGTAGCCCAGATACCGCATCTGCACTTGGATGCATGTTGAATTTAGGATTGGGGCTCCAATTCTAGGAACTGATATGCATCTAGGAGCCTGATTCATCATATGTATCTCCTTCATTGGAATTGGATTTTGGACCTTAATGAAAGTTAAGCTGCTAACTATAAGCTGTGTACCCACTCTACCTTTAAATCACCTTCAAAGCACATTTTGTTCCCCTCCACGAATTCTGGGCACTGTGGTTTGCTAAGAGTTTCTGGGAATTGTAGCTCTGTGAGAGGTAAACAGTGCTCAGAATTCTGTGAGGGAAAGAATGTGGTTCAAATGTGCTTGAAAGGCATAGTGTGTACACAGTCTATGTCTGGCATTACAGTCAATATTTAAAATGTCTTCTTACCTTTGACTCTCCTCCTCCAAGTACGTTCACCATTACCTCCATCACAGTCTCATGCATACCTAATGCTCTCATAAGATTAGGATGTTGGTAAAAAACTTTATTGTTCATTATATCTCTATGATGAAAAAAAAAATCAAATATTTAAAAATATACCAACCACTTTACAATAATAAATAAGAATACAATAATAATTGTTTTAACTATTTCCCTTTAGTAACATGTCATATAAGAGAAAGAATTTTAGGAGGGCATACTCTGCAAAAATTATGCAGGCTGCCACTCTGCATTCAGTAATAGATAGAAGCTGCATGAAATCACTATGGTGGCGGCTCATCTTTTCACATTCAAAATGTATGAATATCTTCGAAATAAACGGAAGCTCATGAGAGTCATTTCCCCCCATAACTGATTAGACCTAGGATTAATCAAACATATTAAGAGAAAAGAAAAAGGGTTTTACCCTAATCCACGAATCATAAGCTTCTCTTCTTCCTTGCCCATTCTGACACTGAGGAGAGACCGGATCTGACCAAGAGAAGCAAGTAAGCTGATTGTATCTTCCACTGATACGCCATTTATAGTGTATGTCTTTGGCAAGGCTCGAACCAGGCCACCAACTCCATCATATTGGCGATGTAGCAAAACGAACATGGCCCTCACCAACTCTGGGTCTTCTATGACTGATTCTTGAGCCCATCGTACCATGGTCTCCGAGATCAGCTGTTGGAGAGTTGCTAAATGTAGAAAGCATTAAGACAAATATATAGCAATGCTTTTTCACCTTCGGCTCCAGCTAGTTAAGTGTATAATATGCTATACGTATCAGAACTAGAAATTTAGAAAAATGACTTTACTGAATATTCTTACTAAATAAATAATACATAGTTAAGCTTATTAAAAGGTAATGGGAAGACAGAAGTGACATTGGATTTTAAAGTATTACTATCATATTCACCTACCAAAGCTTTCATAAATCATTTGCCAAAAAAAATCTTTTTTTAATTTATGGAAACATATCATTGAAGTTTTTTTAAAAAGCACATTCAACAGCAAAAAGGTAATTCCCTATTTATAATCGAAAGCTGTGAATAATTTCTGGTTTGAATAAAATTATTTGTTGAAAGCAAAACAATCAATGGGTAGAGCAATCCTATACTTCAGTTACAATGCATAAACATCACCATTACACTGGCAAAATGGCAACTATATTTGATGTATTATTCTTAGTCTGGGGAAAAACACACACAGCTTGAAAAAATGCTAAATGCTGCGAGCATGTCAGATACATTACCAGCATTCTTTGGAATGCTGCCAGACCCTATGTCACCATCACACAGAGGGAGCCAGCCTGAGCACAACAAACCAGTGTCATTTCTTTCACATTGCCAACATACAAGAAACACAGAGAACCAGGCAGCATCACAGGGAAGGGGAATTCATGGCACTATTTTGTAAAGCAGGCACAGACAGATACAAACGCTTTCAGGAATGCACTTCTTTTTCTGCCCAGCCTTATGCCACAATGAAAGAAAGACACATAAACAGGCACAAATATCCAAACAGGCTCAGGAAGCTTCTAGCTCACATTCACATGGGGAAATCACCCCCCCCCCTTTCCCAGTAGCCATCATTCATTGAAAAAAGGATGGTAGTTTTTGTGTTCACGGAAACTTGTATAGAAAAAGAAGTTATGGTTAGATTCAGACAAACATATCAGACTCTGCTTGATGCAATTAAATTATCATGGTTTTTTTATGATACCCACATGCTACGTTACTTACATGGCTTTTTAGCATCATCATCAATGGGCTTCTCAGCTTGTTTCTTTTTCAAGTGTGTGACTCTTTCCACAAGATATAGCAGGCGACCTTTAAGAGTTAAATCACTATTTCCATCCAGAAATCCATCTTCATCTAACTGAATTCCTAGGTGTAAAAATTCAAGTGTTTATTAGATATCTAGAAGTCAAAAAGATACTATCTTTGGGGGTGGGCTAAAGAAGGCTGCCTGCCCTCCACGCCCCCCCCCTTTTACTCTGGGTGGGTGGTCCATCTTGAAAGCTAAAAGGAAACCATGATTTTTATCTACAGTGCATCAGAACCAAACTTCCAGCATATTATCTCAGAGGCAGAACGTAAGCTCAGGTCGCCCAGAGTGTGTGCGCAGAGTACACTCCCAAGTGGGGCGGGGCACAGAGAGAGCCCGCTGCGGTGTGCCTCACAAACCACACCTGGAGTGCATATGCCGCAGCCTCTCTCCACCCCCAGGTCAAACTTCACCTGAGGATAGAGCTGCCGTGGCTGGCTGCCTTGCATGCTGTACATGACATCACAGCAGTTGCTACCGACTCCTCTCTCTCCACTCCCAACTCAGGCATGACCTGGGAATGGAGTTGTGGCTGGTGACGTTGGGCGCGAGGAAGCTGTCTGTCTCTGCAGCTCCCTCGTGCGCCAGAGCCAGGCTTCAATGAGAGAGCCTGTGTGTGGGCTCCTGGTTGCGCCCCCTTAAAAAACACGCCTGGGCCATGGCCCCCACAGCTCCCCTCTAACTAAGCCAGTGTACAGTGGTATCTCGGTTTACAAACTTAATCCGTTCCAGAAGTCCGTTCTTAAACCAAAACCATTCTTAAACTGAGGTGCACTTTCCCTAATGAGGCCTCCCGCCGCCAGTGCCCTTTCACCGTTCGGATTCCGTTCTTAGACCGAGGTAAAGTTCACAAACCAGGACACTACTTCCGGCTTTGCAGAATTCGCAAACCGAATTGTTCGTAAACAGGGCTGTTCTTAAACCAAAGTACCACTGTATTTAGAAAAAAGAAAAATAGCCACTGCCACCGTGGCTGCTGAGAAGACCAAGGAAAGGGGAAGGGTACTCAGGCAAGAGCGGTGTCCCTGCAAACATCACCAGTGACATAGGCCACATGATTTGCCCCAACATGCCACGTGGTGGTGCCAGGTCTGTCCAGTTCTGCAAAAACCTTTACTGTTAATGACCTACAAATCAAGCCACAATTTTGCTTCAAACAGTAATGCAACCATTACAAGGTTAAAAAACCTGAGCACTCTGATTTTTACTATCCTGTTATGATTGTCAGTTACTTATCTGCAGTGTTGCATAGCTTCTACACTGGTTCTTTTACATGCCTGAAAATATGTACTTTAGTAGCCCAAGTTCAATGAATCAAGACTACAGCTGGCCACTATCATGGAAGCTGTATTTTCCACACAACCTATGCATTTTTTTAAGCTTCAAACAGCAACCAATATGATATTGGTGGGCCCAAACCTCATAATGATCTACCTGTCCATTTGTCACCACAACACTATTAGAATGAGGTTGCCTGCTGAGGGGGAAAGTGGGAAACAGGAAGACTGATGCAGACCCAAAGGCTTTGTAATTTCTCTAATATATCTTTGAGTTTTCTAATAAAATTGATGAAATTATTTTATTTGTTTAAGCAAATAAAACAAGAATCAGAATAAGAACAAGAAAAAGTTAAGATTTACCACAGTGTGCCATCAAATCTTCATGAAAATCCAAAAGGTGATCCCTTATTTCTTCAGGACAAGGGCAATCATTTTTATCATCCTTAAAATTCAGCAGCATATTAATCTTTTAAAAAACATACAAATTAATAATTACATTTCAGATATGTTTACAAGGTTATGTATAGGATAGGAGGAAACTTTTTACTATTAGACTTCCAATAGCAGCTTAATATTCCCTATCTTCCTTGATGAGAAAAAGCCCCCTGCTCTAAGCTAATCTCTGGGGTGGAGGGACGAGGGGAGGAATCCCTGTTTCACAAGCAGACATCCTTTAGACTTTTTAAAGGTAAAGGTAAAGGGACCCCTGACAATTAAGTCCAATCATGAACAACTCTGGAGCTTGGGTGCTTATCTTACTTTACAGGCCAAGAGAGCCGGCGTTTGTCCGCTTCCACAGACAGTTTTTCCAGGTCATGTGGCCAGTATGACTAAGCCGCTTCTGGTGAAACCAGAGCAACACATGGAAATGCCGTTTACTTTCCCACCGGAGTGGTACCCATTTATCTACTTGCACTGCGAGCTTTTGAACTGCTAGGCTGGCAGGAGCTAGGACCGAACAATGGGAGCTCACCTTATTGTGTGGATTCGAACCGCTGACCTTTCAATCGGCAAGTCCAAGCGGCACAGTGGTTTAACCCACAGCGCCACCCTTAGACTCTTTAGCCATGACAATTAAATGGAACCTTGATGTATGGAGACAATATATTCAGTATCTGGTGCTAGCTGAAGGTCATCACCTGATTTAGAGCACCTAGCATCCAGCCATTTGCTGGAAAAACCAAAACAATTCATCTGTTATTATATCTACCAAAAATCTGATGATGTATTGTTCAGGAAAAGCAGTATGCAATGCAAATTGATTCTAACCTTGAAGAAAACTTGAATATAAGAAGCTGCCTCCTATTTTATGTTATACCTGTTCCTGTGGTGGAGACCGAAACTCCTTTGTTTTCTTGGCTGTCAGTGCTGCAGACATATTTAATGCCTGCATAACCTCATTGTATCGGAAACGCTGATTCTCTTGAAGTTTTAATACAAAATCATCTGAAAATGCTACAATGGCTTCTATCCGATGGCGTATCTGACAGTCACAAAGGTACTGAAGTAAATGACACATCTGAAAGAGAATGAACAAGGGGGAAAAGTTACAAAACACAAACTATTAAAATTCAACTAGATTTTTTTTAAGGGTTAGATGTATGCAAATGACGGGCAACCTCATGGCAAAGAACACTCTTTTCTTTCAGTAATATGTAAGTTTATCCACATCACCCTTATTTTTCTAATTCTCTTTTTGAGTTGTGATATTTGTGGGTTTGGGATGCGGGTGGCGCTGTGGGTAAAAGCCTCAGCGCCTAGGGCTTGCCGATCGAAAGGTCGGCGGTTCGAATCCCCGTGGCGGGGTGCGCTCCCGTTGTTCGGTCCCAGCGCCTGCCAACCTAGCAGTTCGAAAGCACCCCCGGGTGCAAGTAGATAAATAGGGACCGCTTACTAGCGGGAAGGTAAACGGCGTTCCATGTGCGGCTCTGGCTCGCCAGAGCAGCGATGTCACACTGGCCGCATGACCCGGAAGTGTCTCCGGACAGCACTGGCCCCCGGCCTCTTGAGTGAGATGGGCGCACAACCCTAGAGTCTGTCAAGACTGGCCCGTACGGGCAGGGGTACCTTTACCTTTTTATTTGTGGGTTAGCCCCACACTTTCTAAAACAACACAAACACCTTTTTCTTTTGGGGATTTTTCAAAGTTTTTGATTTCAAGTTTTCATTATCTCTCATTCTGAATACTAAAAAAAAGTCCACCCTCTTGCCTTCACATATCTCAGCACAAACCTTTAATTTCTGTTTTGAATCGTTTTGTTCATATAAACTTGTTTGCTTGTATGTGTGAAGTATTTTCCTCCATGGATTGCCTTCAATCCAGAAGGTAAGAGACTCAGGCCTAGGGGACAAAAGTACGGTAGTCCTCCAGGCTTCTCTACTTAGCCCTCTGGACTATCCTCAGGCCACACCTCTTACCAGTGCCTTTGCCTGAATGGTAGATGTCCTTGAAGTGATAATGCCCTTTGCTTGCCTGGATGGAGGATAGAGAAATGTGGATGGGTGAACAAAACAGCCATAGCAGATGTCATTACGATGGATTATTTCATGATTACCTGCAATTTCACTGGCTCAGGAAGTTTCATTTGAAGGAGTCCTTCTTCTGGGACCTTCTCTCCTCCTGTCTCCAAATTTAGTCCATCTGCAATTAATTCTTTTTTTGCTATTACTCGAGTCTCGTCCTCATAGACTGAGTCTTCCTTAAAAACACTAGGTTCAATCAGCTGCAATATATGCTTCAGGTCTCCATTATGGAAGATCCCCATTATGAGAAGAGTGTAAAAAAGCTTGATCAAAGGAACAAAGAGAAACTCTGTAGTCCCACCTACTGGATCTCTGACATGGAGGCTGCCCTCTTGAACTGCCTCCGTCAGCATCTCTATGGTTTTAGTCTTCAATATTTCCAGAGGAAATTCAGGACTGTACTGATAACACTCATTGTTGATTCTTACAAAACTGGGAGAGGAAAACTGCATTCTGGGCCGTAGGGAAGTGCTGAGTCCTATGCCAGGTAGGCCATGCTTTTTGTTTTCATCAGGGAACAGAGTAATGCTCTTAGTCTCATCTGTCATGGGAACAATAAATTCATTGTTCATCATCAGCCTTGCAGTAGCGTAAGTATTAAGGTGAATGTCAATTAGAAGGTCATAATAGCCGGCACGTAACAAGCCCGGCATATACTTGTTCTCAATTGCATAAAGAAGCTGAGACTCATCCACATGGCTGCACATGGCATGCGCTACTCGATTATTCCCAAGAGCACAAACAGCTGAGTACAGTCTGAGAGTATGGTAGTGGAATTTCAACAATTCTTCTTGTTCTGACAATTCTAAAATGTCTATAGACCTGTGGAAAAGAAAGTTTAATAATAACTTCAATATCTAGGAAAAGTGAAATATTATTTTTTATAAAAATCACTGAGAAGAGGTCAACCCGCATGAGTATGAAAATTGTTGCTTAAGTGAAATGAAAATATACTGCTGTTAGAGATGCTTACATATTTTTGTTGCAGCTCCTACTTGTATTAAGTAGGAGCTGCAACAAAAATATGTAAGCATTTTTTACCCTGATCTTCAGCCAAAAAACGGTTCTCAGAGTGGTGCAGAAAGAACAGTAATAAGGTGGTCCCCAACATGCTGTTCAACATATCAATATGACCAACGAAACAATGGGGATCAACTTCATTCCCTCCACCAATTATGGTGTTTTGAAGTTGCTTCTCCCTTTGGCTGGCTCCCTTAGATAACTCTCCGCTTGGCTCAGAATGCTGATGGACAGATTCAAGTTCTGCCAGTTGATGGTGACAGCAGCTGAAGCTAAACAAAGGCTTCTGAAGGACTGCAGAAGTGTTTGTCCTAAGGAAGTGACAGAACATGGTGCTGCTCCTAATGAGTTGAGGGGGTGAGAACTGCTGGCTGTTTTGGATCCACCCACCAAGCGAATAGCAATGACTAGAAATCACAGCAAGGAAGAAGAACACCATATTAAAAATTTAAGGCACTCAATGTAGCCTTGCAGGCAAGTCACCACAATTTAAATGATACTAGGATGTTATGCCCCTGTTCCTCAGGAAGACCATCACAGCAAGGGGAAAGCTAATCTGCTCCTATCCCATCAACCAGATGAGGAGCAATTGCAAGGAGCTTTCCCCCACTCTCCCTGCCAGAAGGACCACACTGCTCCAAATTCCAGTTGCTCTGAGACTTCATTAGCCTGAGGACCATGGCCCATATGGCTGTGTGTGTTTATTTATGAGGTGCAGTGGGGAGTGTATTACAGTGGTACCTCGGGTTAAGTACTTAATTCGTTCCGGAGGTCCGTTCTTAACCTGAAACTGTACTTAACCTGAGGTACCACTTTAGCTAATGGGGCCTCCTGCTGCCACCGCCGCGCAATTTTTGTTCTCATTCTGAAGCAAAGTTCTTAACCCGAGGTACTATTTCTGGGTTAGCGGAGTCTGTATCCTGAAGCGTCTGTAACCTGAAGCGTCTGTAACCCGAGGTACCACTGTATTCAGAATATTTTGATTGGAAGGGGAAAACTTCAAAGAGTTGCGTCTAATTATGTCTGTCCATTGATGGAAGACACTTTGATCCACCGGAGGCTTTCAACAGCAGAACAGGGAGGAAGGCAATTTTCACTGATTACCCCTCCCATAACCTCCTGCACTTCATATCTGGTCAAGAGGGTTTGGGGGATGCTTTGGGACAGCATGAGGATGCGGGTGATACAGTGATGCTGTAAATCAGCAAATATCACCTCCCTCCCTGATCTACTGATGTAAGTCTTCACTAGATCAAAGATCCTTGGTCAGTGGAGAGGCACCACTGGATACATCCCAAAATTAATAAAATACAGAAACATAAAACTCCGGAAATATGATTTGTAATTGCATGAATGTCACCATAATATTCCACCTTGATTTATAAATGCAAACAAGGAATACCTGTTTTCCTCTGGGATGTGAAGTGACATGAACTGCAAAGGCTCCAGGCACTGTACTGACCAGCCTTGACGTTCACTGATCCGTGATATGTCAACTTTCAGAAAGTGGTTTGGTACTCTACTCCAAAGCACATGTGTCAGAAACTGAACATGCAGACGGGGAGGGCACTGGGGGACTGGGTTTTTGTGCTCACTTTTGAACAGGCCAGCCGACAATGGCATTACATTCTGGAAAGAGCAATGCAGAATTGCAAAAATTAAGACTCCAGCATATGGCAAAGGACAAAGCAAACATTATGCATGACGAGTCTACAGCCCCGCCCCCCCGCCCCCTTCTGACTGTGCGCAAAAGGCTTGTGGTTCGCTTGGTTTCCTGGGAGGAAATATACAGTTTTCATCTGAAGACTGACAACATTTATGGGTCCCATGTTTTTGTTTTTATCTTATTATGGAAAGGCTATTGAATACACTGTTTCTTAGCAGCATCCTCCAGAAAAGTCAAGATTTGGGCATAAAGCTACCTAATGATTGAAAAAGAACCGGAAAAACAATCCCCCTCCTCCACATAGCAATTTTAGGCTTCTGTGAGTAAGTAGGAGGAGAGACCTCTCAACACTATGTGATACTGTTTCAAAGGTTTATGAACTCACAAGAAAAACCCCAATATTACAAACATTCTAAATTCAACAACACAGCACAGGAACAAATGTTTTTAAATTACCTTTATTCTTCCCAATTCAAATTGGAAAACATTGGGGCTTGTGGCTTGTGCAAATACTGCAGGGAATAATTTAGTGCTTGGTTCAACCTAAATTATGAACAAACAGAAATGCATTATAATTCAAGATGATAAGTGCATGAAACAAGCACAGTTGAGGATGAAATTTCTGGGAATGGAAATTTATTTTCCATGAATACTACTACTATTATTATTATTATTATTATTATTAAATAAGTCTAGTTGTCTGTTCTTGAACAAATAACAACCTAAGAAGAATTACCTGATAATAGGTGCTTAGCTCTTTGCCATTAGCTGTGAAGGACAGGACACCAGTTGCAGCATCAACCGAACAGCCAATCTCAAGCCCATTGTTATTGCGCCCTTGCCCGGGACTCATGCTCTCACCAGCGCATACCATATAGCAGTTGCTGCGTTTGATGCTGTATTTCAAAAGATGAGCAGCATATGAGATACTGTGGAAGCTGAATGTTGCAAACCAAGATCTCAAACTCCATCGGGCTCCAGTGTACACATGGGCACCTGCATGCATAGGGGCTACATTATTCTAACTATGCACTTATGTCCTACTAGAATCATTAGGAATTCACACACCCTTCACTTTCAAGGGCTTGCATCCAATGTCCTAGTTCAGATCATAATTCCAGGCTTCATAAACCATGATTAATGAAGCTGGGAAGCAGTGCTGAGACCAAGGACTCCTCACTCTCCCTGTGTGACACTTGTGCGCTTCATTTCTTGCTGGTATTAAACCGAATTTCCCTGTTATGTCGAAAGTGGGGAACTCTAGCTTAATGTCAGCCAATAAGATAGCATAATAAACCCAGATATTATCTAGGCTTGTTAATTAATATTAAGCTAGAGCTCCCTGTTCAGACATAATGAGGAACTCTGGCTTAGCCTAAGTGAGAAATGAAGGGCTGAAGCAGCACATAAGGGGAAGCACATGAGGGGATGAATGACTGGTCCAATGTTTGTTCCCAGCTTTTATGAAGCCTGAAATGATCATTCAAATTGAACTGCTCTCTATAAATGTGGAGTAATAGCACAGAGCTACATTTAATGTTCTTTAACTACAAAAACAGCAGTCAGCATTTTTCACTACATAAACAGAGAAAGGGTTCTGCAATTTAAGTTCCAAAGGCTACTAAGTGTATTTAGATCACAGTTTGCATTGGATTGAAAAAAATTAAAAACATAAAGCTTCACGAAGCCCTTTACGGAAATAAAATAAAATACAGTGGTACCTCGCAAGACGAATGCCTCGCAAGACAAAAAACTCGCTAGACGAAAGGTTTTTCCATTTTCGATTTGCCTCGCAAGACGAATTTCCCTATGGGCTTGCTTCGCAAGACGAAAACGTCTCGCGACTTTGTTTCCTTTGTCTAAATAATAATTCGCAAGACGAAAAATTCGCTAGACGACAAAACTTGCGGAACGAATTAATTTCGTCTTGCGGGGCACCACTGTACATGTCTTCATATCTTCCTCAGGAATTAACTAGACAAAAGGGCAACAGAATGCATTTTTTAAAAGATGATATATTTGGCAAGTGATTATATATAATTTTGAAACATACAAACAAAAATAGAAACATTACGAATCAATAGAGCATCCTTAGTCTTATAATGGAATCACTATGATGCACAAGTTTTGACATCACATAATTCCGATCGAAAGAGAAACAAAACCAACCTCTCATGAACTTTCCCTTTTTCATCTCCTAGGGTTACGGTAACAGTACGGACTCTATCCAAATCAAAGCTTGTGTCATACTGATGGAAGTCAGATGTAATCCAGCCCACCCAGACATTAGCAGGTTCTTGTCCAGGAAAGATACGCACAGAATAATAATACTGTCAAGAAATTTTAAAAGACCCAAAATATTAATTTTCCGTTTTGAGCGAGAACTTCCTTCTTGCATAAAAATCCATAGCTGACTCAGATTAGGAATTAGACAAAACCTATATTGTGTTTTCAATTTCATTTTGTCCCCAAACAGCCCCTTCGTTGACCTACTGGTCAGTACAAATTTTTAAACACTCATCTTTGTAAATTGGTTGAATGGCATGGTCCTGCAAAGTTTTTTCTAATATAAAGTAATTCCATGTCCTGCATGGGATATTACTGGTAGCACTGGCCAATGTGCTTCAACTGTGAAAATACACCATTAAATAACGTCAGTGAAGTTCCTATGTGATAGTAGATTGACTTTAAATATCCATATTGTGTTATTTATAGACACCATTGATGAATATGGTGATGAAAGCATTATAAAAGCTATTGACAATTATTATAGTAAAAGCATCTGTACAAAACTGGGTAATTAACAGCTTTGAAACTAACACTGATAATTTGGTAAGATAAGCATTGTACTTGACAAAAAAATCTGTGTGTATATTAGGAAGAGAATGCGAGGAGGACATAATGATGGAAACCCCACCAGATTTGACTAAAACTGGTCTCAAATTTATTGGCTGCAGATTCCAGACCTTTTGGTGTTGCATGGGCAGCCTAATCCTGCCAGGCCAATTGGTGGGGTAGGAATGAAGGCTGCTTTACGACAGCTGATAGTATAAGCCACTCTCTCTGCCTGCCATCACCAACCTGGGAGTGTGGACAGCTATGAGCCCCTACTTCTAAGACTGCTTAAGGGCACCTCACTGGGTCCATCAGGGAACTCACCCCTTGGTTGTGGTGCTGTCCAGTGCCTACAAACTAGTCAGCTAGTTATCAACACTATAATAGCAAGCATATTCTGGTCCAAAAGGTTAAGGGAAACATAGCCCTTGGGATCAGTACTCAACCAGAGGCTCAAATAAACTGCTTCTCAGCTTAGCTGTTGGCCAAAGGTAAAGGTAAAGGGACCCCTGACCATTAGGTCCAGTCGTCGTGGCTGACTCTGGGGTTGCGGTGCTCATCTCACTTTATTGGCTGAGGAAGCCGGCGTACAGCTTCCAGGTCATGTGGCCAGCATGACCAAGCCACTTCTGGTGAACCAGAGCAGCGCACAGAAACGCCATTTACCCTCCCGCCGGAGCGGTACCTATTTATCTACTTGCACTTTGACGTGCTTTCGAACTGCTAAGTTGGCAGGAGCAGGGACCGGGCAACAGGAGCTCACCCCGTCATAGGGATTCGAACCGCCGACCTTCTGATCGGCAAGTCCTAGGCTCTGTGGTTTAACCCACAGTGCCACCCACGTCTCAGCTGTTGGCTATCATCTAACAAATGAAGGACAACCGCAGAATATCAAGTAGCACTGGGTAAGAAGAAAGCACAAGTCATTGCCCAGATTGGCTCTGAATCTAAAGTCATCAGCAGGCTGGTGTTGAGTGAGGGATTGCAAGAGGTGACATGGCTAAACAATATTACATCCTTTCGTCTTTCTCATCCCTCCATGCTAAGTAGAACACGGTAACTCCACTAAAGGTGGGAAACAACCAGCTTTGAAAGTCTACACATCGAATAAAAATTGAACACCAGTACATTTTGGTTCAGCCTTATAGTCAACACAATATAGAAATGATGAGCTAATAATAATAAATAAGGTTATAATTTAAATGTAATTCAGTAGCTGCGGTTCACGGATAAGCAGTTTATAGTCATCTATAAAATTAAAGAATGGTGCCTATGATAATTTCAAGCTGTTTATGTACTATCATAATAGAAAAAATATGGCAATTATCTGAGAAAACACAGTACAAATAGTAACACTAAGTTGCCATACTGTAGATGTTTGCATTAAGTAATCATAATCATCTCTTTCATCAGCTAGGACATCTTCAGTGAGCCTTGCAGAGTGGCTTGAGCTGTAGTCTGGCTTCGTCCTTCTCAGCATAAATCTGTAATATATCAAAATATTTGAGAGAGAATAAATAACCATTTTATAATTTCTGGATACAATGGTTCGATAAACATAATACTAGGCGCTCCATTTGATAAAATCTGTTTATGAGTTTATCAAACCTAGAATATGAATTTTTTTTTAAAAGGCACACAAACAGTGCTTAACCAAACTCCCCATTATTCAGTTTAATAATACGTCCTTCATAAATCTGCAGGATAACATACCCGTTTGAGTAATTTAGGCATACATTATCCTAGAGATTTGTGAAGAACATATTATTAAAATGAATAATGTGTGGAAGGGGGGGGGGTTTGCCTGAGCACAGTTTGCTCACCTTAAAAAAAAATTAGTGTTGCGTATATTCCAGTTTTGGAAAGAAGTCTTTAATTGGATAGAAGTCTAATAATCAAGCCATGCCCTGAGTCACAGAAAGATCTTGCTTCTCTGCCCCACCCACCCCAAGCTACCATCCCATCCAACTGTCTGCACCCATTACCTGGCACACATTAAAATTGGTGAAGCCTCATAATGGGAACCCATGGCATTTATGCAGAAACACTGCTGTTGCCCTCCTAGATCAGTTATGGGTGGAGGTTAAGGATGCTGAGGAACAACCAGGTGTGGGGACAAGTAGGGAGCAACTGGGAGGGAAGGAGGGGGGGAAACTGAGATGGAGAAGACAGTGAAGTGACCAGGGGCAGAATGGTGGGGAGGAGACAGAGAGACTAATGTGTATTTGTGTGAATCGCTTGGGGTGCTGGGAGAGGGGTCACATGTGAAAAAAAGAGAAAAGAAATAGTTTAGTGGCTGGGAGTGATCCTGAGAGAGAAAGGAGGAGGGAGTGTTGAATTTCAGAATGGATAATCCTGAAATAGAGGGGGGGGGTGATCCTAAGAGAGAAAGGGGCAGGGTTGGGGATGGGTGATCCTGGCAAAGAAAGAGGTGCTGGATTTGAGAAACAACCGAGAAACAATATTTGAAGTCTACACTGAATTATCCAGCAGCAACAGGCACTGATTCTATGATGCAGAGGCAATTCCCAGAGAACAGTAAGCAGGAAATTTGCATGACCTTGAAAGTGAAACAGTGTGGTTAAAATACCACAGAGAGATCAAAGCACTTGACCTTTGCTTGAGGCGTGAAGGCTTTCTCTTGTGTGTAGTCTTTATGATTATTGAACTCTGATTTTACAGCTTCTTTTTCTATACGATCAGGTACGAGGTGACCATGAGCAGTCTTCATAAGAACTTCAAAGTCAGAATCTGCATCATAATCATCCAAGTCATTCTTTGGTCCAAGGCGGCTGGAACTGGGCACTCCTCCTCCAGGCATTTTAGAGAATACTTCTGCACATTCAATAGGCATGCTGAGCCGATAGAACATGATTTCTGTTTTACTATTCTGAGACCCAAAGGACTTCTGTGTGACCTTCAAGCATGGGGAGCTGTCCGCAGTACCATCTATTCTTGTAACCTACCAAATGCAAAAACTAAAATGTAAAATTAATGAAAAATGTAAAATTGAATGCACATTTACTTGCATTCAAAGGTTTTTAATAGCAAGTAAATATTAAAATATTAATATGAATATCACTGATGCATTTATAACAAGTTCGCAAGGTAAGATTACTATTAGTACAAGCTGCCCATTAGAGCATCAACAGTACAATTAAAAATTTAACCCTCCAACAGTTGCAAAAAGCACTTTAGTAATCTAATATTTAGGTAAAAAATACAGTAGTCAAGTCTTGGTTTTAAAAATGAAAACTGACCTCCTTTCAGCCCAGCTGCATCTTTACCTGCCTTACACCAGACATCATATATGTGTACTACATCATATATGTGTAGGGCAGGTGCGTGTGGCTTGGCTGAAACTGCCTCTTGGGCCCTATGGACAATCCTGTGGGTCTAATTAGGCCCATAGACCTTAGGTCCCCCACTGCTGCTTTGTCTTAACCCCACAATGCTTTAGGGGACAGATCCCACAGGGATATATAGACTACGTAAACTTTTCCCACCTTCATAATCTAGATCCGTCTTTTTCAACCTTAGGTCCCCAAGTGTTGGACTACAACTCTCATCATCCCTAGTTAGCAGGACTAGCAGTCAGGGATGAGGAGAGTTGTAGTCCAACAACATCTGAAAGAAAATAAAACAAAGCACATCCAAGTACTGAGTGATATCTACATAGCACGGGGGGAAATCTAATTTAATACCACAATTGTTGCTTTATGTACTGGAGAGGGGGTATCTGCACTACACCTTTCAACCTGGAATGATGGCACAATGGGGCTTGCCACTGAAGCAACCTTTCTCAACCTGTGGGTCCTCAGATGTTGTTGAACTACAACTCCCATCACCCCTAGCTAGCAAGGCCAGAGCTCAGGGATGATGGGAGTTGTAGTACAACAACATCTGGGGACCCACAGGTTGAGAACCGCTGCACTGAAGGCTTTGCAACCCTGCATTAGGCATCAACAGTTTGCAGTAAAATAAACTTGGGGATTGCATCTATGAAAGATGCCTTCTACACTCACTGAGAAGAGAACTTAGCATACTGAATTCCACCAAGAAACATTACAACCATATGCAGGTTTATTCAGAAACAGGGATGTAGGAGAATTCTGCTCTGAGGAGACACTTTCCACCTGCTCATTCAGTGTTCAGGAATGGAATTCACTGAAGTGAATGCAATGTGCATTTATTCGTATAACTTTTTTATTAAAAAATCTGCAAGCTTTACATAATTAACTACTTTGCTATGGTTCTGCAGAAGAATGGAATCAACACAGGCTAGGATGAATAAATGCCAAAATGAACATTTCTAACTTTGTTCAGGCCTACACAAAAGTAAGTCCCCACTGAGCTAACTCCCTGATTAGTGAGTGCAAGATGAAATTCTATATCAACTCCCTGCCCACTCCCACAAAATGAACTGAAGATATATCAAACCTCAATATGTTCATGATTTGGTGGTACTGGGAGAAACTGAGGTAGTCTCTTGCTCAGCCATATGGTGATGTCCCTGTTTGTATTCACCGCAAATGGTTCGTAGCCTTCTTGCAAACCACAAATAGTGAAATATTTCAAGGTGCTCACTTCTTTGCCAAAGTTCATTCTGCCCACTTGTGATAATCCCAGGCTACATGCAGGTATAAAGCCTGCCAAAACAAAAACAGATGCAATCCATGAATCATAAATATTCAAAAAAACGTTTTATTTATTTACCCCTCCCCCCACAAGCCAAAAGAACAAGTCTCTGAAATATATAATATCATAATTTTATCTGGATAGGAAAATGCACGCAAAAATATATAAATTCAGTATTCATGTGGAACACCCTATATTGAAAAGGGCAAATTAGCCATATATAATATCATTCCTGGAAACAGACTTCTCAGCAAAGTAAATCAATGGTGTCAAATGTTCATGGCCACATCTGAATAGAGTCCTGGCTCTGCTAAATGCTGTAAAAATACTGCTCCTCAGTTGTATTCTTATAATTTAATGTAAATTGCCTTGGGAATCAGTTGATCAAAAGGTGGAGTATAAAATAAAACTTCTTCCCACATCCATATATCTTGGATGCCTTCTTTTAAGACTTTCAAATTCCCTTTTGATGTTTGATTTAGAACAATAATAAATGTAGCTAAGAACAAACCCCCAGCTGCACTTGTCTAAATTGTTGCCATTGGGATAAAACATTGTTAGCAGGGTGGGGGAGCAATTTTAACTTACCATGTTTCCCTTCTTAAGAGAGGAAATCACCTTCTCCAGGTGAAAGGGAGAGCCCACTTCTGACTTCACCTGGGTGGGGAGCTTCCCATCCCTCCCAAAATGAACCTAGCGGGCAGAAACCCTCAACTCACAGGAAGTTGCTGAAATGAACATGAACATGTTCAAGCTTAGAACAAGAAATTTAAGACGTGGAGAGGAAAATTCCTCTTAGACCCTGGACTGCTGCAACTGCATGTGGTTATGAATATAGTTAGGGCCAAAATAAGCAAATAGACTGCTGTCTGGTCTGTCTCAAGAAAAGTAATTTATGCAACTCAACTCAGCCAGCAGCCTGGCAAATCTCCAACACAGGGTGTCCACTAATAAAGGTCAAAGAGGAAACAGCAGCTCTAGTAGAATGCAAAGGTCCCTCCTGTGAGGGGCAGCTTAGTCATTCCATAGAATAATTGCAAAGTCATGCAAATAGGTGTGTTCAGTCAAGGTCCGTGTACAAGATTGTCCCAGACCTCGTTCTACCCCATTCATTGATGTAAAATACAGCAGCGACATTGTTCATGGCCATGAGGATGACCTTGCCAAACACTGCTGGGAAACATTTACTATTTATTTACTTACAGAGGTGTTTTTTGTGGAGCTGCTCAGGTGTATATTTTCATTAAGGTCATGTGGATGACATGTTAAAAGACTTTCCTATAACAGTAAGACTTGCCACCAAAGCCAGTTAGCAGCATAAAATAGTTTAAGAACTTACTATCACCAGCAAGTTGTGTGCCGTTTATTGCTGGAACAATTATTTTCTCAAAATGTGCCTTATGTATTACGAAAATAAATAAAAACTTTATTAAGAGAAAAAAAGAACTTACCATCACCAACCTCAAAGTCCTTGAATGCTAGCTCGGAACCCGAGTCATCAAGAAGGATTTCTCCATTCAGAGTGAACATCATGGTGCGCTCATTCAAGTCAACCATACAGCCTACAATATCCCCTGTCAGCCAAGAACGGCCAAAATGCTCATTTCCCTGATGCCACCGTTGAGCCTGGGTAATAAAGGATTTCATTATTTGAATGAAAGGCAATTAAGAGGACTGTGCCTCCAGTGTATGACTAATAAGCATCCCCAAAGATAAATTAACATGCTACTACAATTAATACTGCCATATAGCATTCTGCAAGTAGTTGCAAGCAACTGTTGGACTGCAAATCTTACCATTAGCATTGTGAAAGGTTAACAGTATTAGTGTTAAAAGCATCAAAAGATTTGTAGGGCATATTGTCATTTCAACACAAACAACAGAAGCAGAATCCAAAGAATATCTATTTCATTTGAATAATTATAAGTTCATTGTAAGCCAACTGATTTGCTTTGCTTTTTTGCAAATTATCATTTATTAGTGTGATAGTATTCTGGATGTGCCTGGCGTTCTCTGGTCCATGGGGTCACGAAGAGTCGGACACGACTAAACGACTAAACAACAACAACAACAACATTCTGGATGTTGGCTGGCTGGAACCCTGCACCAGAGAATTCATGTTAGTAGTTGAGGATGCACTGCAACATTTTGTTCCTTGACCTATGATTGAGACAGGAGCAGCTGAAGTATGGAAAGTGTGTCAGTTGGGGAGGGGTAGAGAACAACAGTGAGCAGAGGGAGAGAGACCACTGACCTGCTCAACCCTGACAGCTTAAATATCAGAGGGGAGTAGAGTTGCAGAATACATGCTCTAATGGTAGTCCCCTTCCACCTTGCAGGGACTATAAAGGAATATTTCAGAAGAGGAGGGACGGTAAAGAAGGTCCCCATTCCCTCTTATTTGCTCTCCAGAGCTGATCCTCACCCACCCAGTACATAGACAGAAAATGCTTAGGTACAGAACAGCCTTGATTGGGGAGAGGGGGGAAATGTGCTTTAGAAATAACTCCCATTAAGATTAGCACTCATATATATTGTATACACATATCACTGTCCCAGGGTACAGCTTGTGGGTTGCAGTAGGCAACTGGCTCCATTTCTGAGCCAGCAGTTGACTCCTTCCTCAAGTCACTATTTTGCAGCATGACCAGACTCTAGCTCCTGGACTTTGACATTCTAGTACAAAACAAAATAGAACCCGCAAGTCTAAACTCAGCCCAGAGATGGATGAATGAATGAATAAATAAATAAATACATACCTTGAATCCATCAAAAACAAATGCTTGTTCATCTGATCCAAGCTCTTGATCTGGTTGACAACCTGGCTTGGCCCAACCAACCCTCATGTCTTCTGCGGTCACTACTTCAAACTCAAAATACCACTTTCCTGTTTTCACTGCATATGTCTTCTCTGTTCGGAAGATCCTAAACCTTTCCATCATACCACAGAATACATCTGGTCTTGCAGCTGCAAAATTTAAAATATAATAAACATTTATTTACTTTTTGCAAATAGGAAAGTAGCTGATTGAAGGCGCTTCATCATTGTGGAGGTTCCAGCTTTGCTCAGTTACCCAGGAGCAACTTTCATTGAACACAAAAGGTCTTCATTTAGAGTAAACAAGCATAGGATTGCAGTATAAACTCTTGATAGTGAAATATGTTTCGGACCTAACCATCCATTCCTGACAGCACATCAATGCTTGCTGCGGCTTATGAAACTTGTAGTACAAAACATCTGGAGGATGGCTGTCATAGATGAGCAACTTATAACACCTCACTTGAAAAATGTTGTGTAATAAGAAATCTTGCTTAAGCAGAGGATATGGTACTAGAAAACAAAACGAAAACCAGATCTGAGATAGTTATTAATGCCAACTACAGGAGCTAATGGGGAAAGAATGAGAACATAAATAAGAAATAATGTTTACAAATTTTCCTTTTATTTATTCATTAGGATGATTTCCTTTAAGAACTAAGATACCATTCTAACTGAATTGGAAACAACTTCCAGCATGGTAAGAAAATTGTCAAAATCAAGGAATCATGACCGAATTGAGATTTGACAGCTAAAGATGCAATCCTAACCCCACTAAGGCCCAAATAATTTCAGTAGGATATATGTCTGAGTTGACATGGTTAGGATTGCAACCTAACATTCTTAACCATACCCAGCTTCCATGGGGCATTCCTAAATTCTGTTAGTATGTAGCACACTTTAAGAATTTGAATTTTTTTATATATAAAAGTTGCATAGTTGTGATGAAAGCACTTCTATTATTGGTTTCATGTGCTTATTTAAAAAAGCAGCATTTCAATACCATGGTCTTGATCAGGAGCCTCAAGGTTATAACCATAGCCAATGAGGGTACGAACTGCTTCCCGGAGACTGTCTTTGTTTGATTTCTTGGTGCGATCATCAAGAAGGGCATAGGGAACAAGTCGAGGGTTTCGACGGTTCTTCACATCCTGAAGAAAGATAAAAGTAATTCATTACAAAGTCAAGTTTTAGCAAATTTTATAAGAATTTTTTTTAAAAAAAAATTGTGTATTAGAAGATCAGGACTAAACCAAAATATCTGATGTTCAGACAAAGAGCAATTAATTGGTACAATCAATATTGTACTTAAAAATTGGGCTAATTCTGTAAAAATGACAAGTATATAAGTATACTACTTATTTAGTGTTTAAACACACACACACACACACACTTGGTTGTGTGTGCATATATATATGCTTCTTATGAATCAGCTTTCATACTTTGGTTCAGATATCTGAACACAATATATCTGTGTATGCCACCAGGCAGAAGAGGTGTCTGTACAAACATACCACCATTTTCTTCAAAATATGCACACCTGCGAAAAGATTGAGCTACTTGTATTTTTAAGGGGGGGGGTATTTCCCCTATTTTGTACTGTGATATCTGAATGACATTACAAAAACTGTTTCAGGATAAGCAGTCCTTGCATAATATAGCAGTAGCAGAGCTATTTTCCAAGGCAAAAAGCAAAGCACCAGAACCATTATGACTTGGATTACTGTTTGTTTGCTATAGCCAAAGCAGAGAAACCATGCTATGTGTTAGGCAACCTGACATGTATGCAAATAATCAAAATAAGTTAATGTTCCCATTTGCTCAGAAAGGGTTCATTTCACTAAAAGGCATTTCTCCGTGAGAAAATATCCTTTTAGTATATGCATTAGAACAGGGCCCAACAACCTTTCTGGATCAGTGAGCACATTTCAGATTATGAGAAGGTGCTGGGGATGCCAGGCACAAAATAGTTACCATGGAAGAATGGCCTAACATAAAATGGCAGCCATAGGAGGCATGGCAGAAAACCAAATTAGTGTACAGTTATTGCTATTCCCCCACCCGAATAACTTCATGTTTACTGTCAGATGTCAATTGTGTTCTGCTGGTTCTGACTGTGGAGACTGATTCCCCTGAACACACAAACCCCCACACAAAAATGCTGTTACTGTTCCCCAGTACCAGGAAAAAAATATACAAAGTGACCACATCACACGCATTCACACACACACAGTCACCACATGAATCTCTCTCTCTCTCTCTCTCTCTCACACACACACACACACACACGCACACACTTACTTAACATGTACAGAGTCACATAACCATCTGTCCCTCTCTCATACAGATTAAACATACAGGCTGCATACCTACCTCTCTCTCTCTCTCTCTCTCTCTCTCTCTCACACACACACACACACACACACACACACAAACACCACATACATACATCTATCCTCTCTGCCCAAGGGCATCTCTCAATTACACAAACACCCACCCATTCAGAAAAGCACCTCGAAAGGTGAAGGAAGTGCCTGCTACTTCTTTTTCATCCCAAAAAAATGCATGAGGACCATCAACCTGGTGCCCACAGGCACCACTGGGTTGGTGATCCTTATAATAAAACCATGCAACTTATGATTAACCAGATTCACTCTGAGCCCTATAAATACCTTTTCCAATAAACATGATACTGTGAGGTTTATCCCTTTTGCTTCGCCCTCAGAGGCGCACTCCATTGTCTCTCAAGACAGACGGATGGCAGCAACAACCATCTTTCATTCTTTGTTTCCCAGGGACCTTCAAAGGGTATAGCGAGCCTACATTGCCATGCAACATCTATTTCCTTTGGTGGACAAAAGTGAACCTAGTAATGCATCTATTTTGGTTTGTCTTCATTATAGTTGAAGAAGGTATGACAAAGTACGAGGAGCTGCGACCTGGTCCAAAATGGAGGCAACCAAAGCCATGGATTGTCAAAAGAAGCTCTATTGCCATGAGCAAATCAGCCATTGTGCCATGTGCTACAGCAGATGGAACAAGATGTATTTTCACCAGCTAGCCAGAATCTCTCATTTCATGGTGAATCCAGTTCTAGTCACTCTTTGTTGTGTGAGCATAGAGGAAGATGGACATTCCCATTTGCATTAAATGTAACTATGAAGTTCAACATGAGAGCATCGTGATGCATGTCAAGCACCAGCATGAACATCTGTATCAGTTGCGCATGCAAATCTGCTTTGATGGACTGTGGTGTTATGATGTGGATGAAATAACAATCCACATCATAACACCACAAGATAAAATGTAACCAATGCTACCACACCCATCCATGATTTCTGACACTGATATTTGTTATTGACAGCCATCTTTGATAAGAAGAGGAAAATGGGGTGGGGATGGAACTCATTGCTATTTAATTCCATACTACTTTTCAGATACCTGAATATTGTTGAATGTCTTCTTTTGTATAGCACCAATCCTGAGGAACTGAAATAACTGGAAGGCTATGAAATTACACCTCTAGACCTAACATTTGTAGGGGACAAAGTCCTATCATCATTTATATTTTGTCCTTTGTGCACAATTTATTTTTACCTTATTCTAATACCATAATTTTTGCTCACTGACTTACCCTTTTACTAGATCTTAGAAGTCTAACGAAGTGAAAATTATTATTATTTTAACTTCAGCACTGTATGTACCAAACAAAACTTGAAGTGAAAGTTTTGGTTAAGAGATTGAACAAATTAACAAAATAGAAATTTTTCCTTCTAGGGAAGGAGTTTAATAACGAATAATTTATTAAGAATTGTTAGTGCAATAAATAGTGTCTGCACCGGTACTGTCACACCATCACAAAACATGGAATTATATCAGCAGGGATGTTCCAGCAGGAGTGAAGGGAGACGTGACTACCTGCCTTACAGAATTGGATGCAGTTTGGTTGTTTAGTGACATCAGTTTACAACTATATCTCTAGAACAGTATTTCCCATATCTGAGTTCCCACAAACTGTAGGACAAAAACTCCTATCATCCCCAACCATTTACCATGCTGGCTAGAGATAATGAAAGTAGGGGATTCGGGGTTGGAGAAGACTGTTTTAGAACATGCTCATAAAACAGATGCCTACAATCTGGATGTGTTAGTTTTTGTTGGCTTCTCTAAGATACCTAGATGGCCAGCATGAGAAGCAGAATTCTAAACTAGATGGCATTCTTCTTAGGCTATTGAATATTATGTAGCTTAATCATGTTTCATGTTTCAATTGAACTCCAGAGAAAATCAAGCTTTCACCTACCCAATAACATTTTGAAAATCCAAGTTTACAGTTCACTCCAATATATCAATAGACTGACATTGGAAGCCTATCATCAAATACAAGCATGAGAAACAGCCAGTAGACCTAACAGTAACGTAGAGATCTCACTCCATCTCTACCCTTGCAGTAATCTTGGACAGTTATGTCAATTTATCATCTGGGGAATTTCTACTCACAGCACCCCATGCTACCCTACAGAATATCATAGGGTGGTGACCCAAGAATAGAGATTTTCTGCTGTTGCCCCTGTACTATGGAAATCCCTTCCATCTGCCACATGTGAAGTAGCAACTATCAATTGCTTCAGACATCTTGCAAAGACTCTTCTATAAGACTGGATCCTGTTTTATATGACTGAATATTCTGAATTTCTGTTTTATTCAATTTTATATGTTTTTATGTGTTTTTCCATTGCTATTTTACTGGTTTTAGGCTGTGTTTTTGTATGAAAGCTATACTGCTAGTTTTTTTTAAGACTGTACACCACTTAGAGATTATTTTAAATGTTAAGCGGTATAAAATTGAACTACCACAAGGGTATTTGCTTTATAGCTTGCATTAGTCTCCTGTGATAGCAAGGGTCTGGACAGGTTGCTTATACAGCAACCATTTCTAAGATCTACCATACATCTTAGAAAAATTAAAATATCTTAGAAAACTTAAAATATTTCACAGCAAAGCTTTTAGACTATTAAGGATGTTTGTGCATTACATACTCTTGCTCCAGATACCACCTGGTGCCTTTTCTACAAAATTTAACCTTCCTTTCACTTCAGAAGTCTATGGGAAGTGCTGAATGAGCAAAGTTCTAAGAAACTCATTGCAACACTTAACAACAGCCTCTTATAAAGAGAGTAGTTACAACAACTTGAAATGTGTAAGAAAGCAGTCCTCTCTTTTTTATGAGATGTACTTAATAACTGAAAAGGAAAACGGGTGTCATTGCTTTTTTCCTACTTTTTTACATAGATTCAATGCCATAAATCTAGTATATAATGAACTGCAGCAACTGCATTTTAATGAAAGATAGAAAATGTGAAAGTACATAGGATCCAGTGGTCCAATCCTGATGGCTAAACCTGGGGCTTAGCTACTAAAGGCAAACTGAATTTTAGTCACAAATCTACCTCTTCATAACATGCACTGTTTTCATAATTTAGATGGATTTTGAAATATACTGTTGCAATTAGTAATTAATTAAATACATGCTATATTTTAAATCTTATAAGATTGTATTGATTCAAATATGACCTAAAATATGATACATCCTCCTATAAAGGGACACTGTCAAGTATTTTCATTAAGTTCAGAATTTATTTTGTGTTTGATCCAATAGTTCCCTTCTGTACACAAGAGGGGTCCTTTCATGAATGCAAGGGCCTTCAATCCAGTTTAGGCTCTCGCTAATGGAAGGGGTGGTTTTCACACATTCCCCCTTGATGTTTCCTGTGCTGTTCTGGAGGGTCCCCAAGCCACTGGAGCAGATTTTCAGGGGTACAGGAGGGAGTGGGTATCACTGAAAATCACCTCTCCCCCTTCCATTAGCAGATGTTGGAGTGTCCTTTTGGTGGTCAGAACACTGGCAACACCAGATCTAACCTTTTACCATTGCAAACCAATGCACTTTTAAGAAGCTGTGCCTTACTTACAGTACTTACTTGTTTGTGATCCCTGCCATCAATGCTGTCAGCACAGTTCTGTGAAGAGGGCATACTAAATAACGTGTGGTCCTTCTGCTGGCTGGCTGGCTGGCTCTGCAGCAGCAGAATAAAAATACTGTGTACAATCATGCATAAACAGCAGCTATTGCTCTTGAAAGGTTCCTTG